AGAAAAATAAAATTTCCGAATTAAAGTTTCTCAAAAAAGGTCCTACTTGTATTGACAGTGATTCACATCTGTATATGGGGTGTTGTCCGGAAAACTAAGAATTGAAGTCGTGGCACATGACTTCTTAACAGTGGTTTTGGTCGGATCAAGCTGTGATTTCGATCGCACTAAACTATTTCAGATTAGAGAGATTGTATCTTGGAATCACTTACCAAATATACAAAAACGTCCTTGACAGGTTCCTCCACTACAATCATCAGAATTTATAGCAGAGCACTGAGTGCAAGTGACTGGAAATGTATTTATATCTAAAGCTACAGTAATAGGATAATGTTACCTGCTGATGAGTCAAGGGAGCATTGCGAGTTGCACATGTAGCCTAAATGGCAGTTCAGTAAGTGCGCCCCACTGGACAATCGCAGAAAATCGCATTTTTTTTAAGTTCTCACATCTCTGTTTTCATAAATCAATCAAGATGGGCAAGGAAACTCCAACACTCAGGTTCTATTTCAGTTTTTGAAAAATTGAAACTGTTTACTTTAATTACAGCAAAGCAAAATACAAGGAAGCCAATGTTTCGACGAGTTCGCCACTTAAATACAGCGCTCGTCAAACTCCTGCGCCTTCAAGCTCCCAAAGGAATGTATGTGTAGTTCTATTATTGACCTTTTTCTAAAGTTTATTTTTCAGAATGAGCGAAAACGTAATCAAGACGAAACACCATCGAGAGGGGGATTGTCAATAAAGAGAAATCGATTCGAGGCGGACGGATCTTCACGGCGCAGTAGGAGTGTTAGAGCAGAGCAAGGAACGTCTCAAGTTAAGGAAGAGGAAAACACTAGAGGAAGACGATTTCTGAAACAGTAGGATTTATAAAATAGGTTCATAAAAAATTATTATTCCAGTGGTGAGGCTGCTATTCCACAATGTACGATGTGCAAAGAGGAACAAAAACCAGAGGACGAGCCGCTGATGGAATGCACATGTTGCAAATCAAAATGTATGTTTTCTTTATTTGAAATTATTTGATTATGGAAAATTGTCAGACCACATAAACAAGTGTCTTCGTTATAAAGACGAAATAGAAGCCAGCATACGGAAATCGAGAAGATTAATTTGCCCTAGAGTAAGCTTTAGTTAGTAAAGTCTAGGGTTTTAAAAGTATTTATTTACAGTGCATTCATTGTTCGGCCTGCGAAGAGTTCATTGGAGATCCGGAAAATCTCGAATGTTCCCAGTGTTGCCATGCTTGGCATGGAAGTTGCGCTCCAAAAGGTCACTTTTTGACAAATGATTTCGATTCAACTTGGTTCTGTGCATCTTGTTGTAGAAAAAGGAATATCAGGATATTAGATTCGCCGGAACCAACGAAACCGTCTAGAAGGAAAATAAAAGGATACAAGCCTGAAAAACCAATTAGTGATATAGACTTTGCCATCGACATCAATGTCGATGAATTAGCAGAGCTTCAGGATAAAAGAGACCAGATATCAAATTTGTTGGCATATGAGGCTGGATTCTCTTCCGAGCAACCTCCAAATTTAGAGGAAAGTAAAAATAAAAGAAAACGCAAATTGGATGAGGATGACTTCTGCTACACTGGACTGAAAAAGAATCAACCGGTGCCAAAAGTTGCTAGAATAGATAAAGAATCGTAAGTTCATAGTGAGCCTGTAAGCTGCAAGCAAAATTCTTTTCTTGTTTCAGGTTTGAGCAAACGAAAAAGGATGCTTATCCAAAAGAGTTGGAAACCAGCGAAATTTCTGGTGGACAGATTATCCATTTCGGAACCGGAAAAGCGTGCAAAGCAGTGTATAAATCGGCCTATGAAGAACCACTGCAGTCAGCTTCGGATTTGTACTTTTGCAAATTTTGCATCTATACGACTCATCATAAGCAAGACCTAATTGCACACTGGGAAAATTGTACCGCGCGGCATCCACCAGGAGATGAAATTTATCGAGATGAAGACATTGCATTCTTCGAAGTAGATGGCGCCGTTCGAACAAAATATTGCCAAGATTTGTGCCTTCTCGCGAAGCTTTTTATCTCCTCAAAAACATTATATGCTGAAGTGGAGACGTTCATTTTCTATGTTTTGTGCGAAATTACTACTGAAGGATATGTGATTGTGGGATATTTCTCGAAGGAAAAAAACCCATCAAAAAACAACAATTTATCGTGTCTTCTCGTTCTTCCGATGGTGCAGAAAATGGGATACGGTCGTCTTCTCATTGATATGAGCTATGAACTATCCCGACTTGAGCTCAAAGTTGGTCACCCGGAACATCCACTATCCGATCTTGGTATTCTCGCCTACCGTGGTTACTGGCGTTCGAGCCTTCTTTGCTATCTGCGGCAACATCGCAAACAAGATCGGATCAGCATCAGGGATATCAGTCTTGCCACGAGAATGACTCCCTCGGATATCGTCAATCAGTTGCTGTTGGATAATATTATTGCCTTAAAAGGAGACAACTATACAATCAAGCTTGGTAAACGTGCTTTCAAATTTCCAATATCTCAATGCCGTCGCAAGTGCATTGATCCTTTGAAGTTATTCTGGACTCCAAAACCACCGACGGAACCGCTTGATCCGAACAAATTGAACAGTTACGCGAAATAACCGAAATCTGAATAATTTTGAAAAAATATGCCTCATTTCCATTTGCTAAAGTTGAATATCATTTATTGACAAACCCTGCATTGATCTCATGTACCTTAAAACAATTTATTTAATAATCTCATACATTCGAAATTTGAACCAATACAGTTTTATTCATATTCTTGCAACGATCTTATTTATGGTCAATGAACGATGTATTTCTCTTCCTATATATCGTTTAAAAAATATCAGGAACTTCTAAATATAGGTGTCGAATTGTTATTCATCAGAAATGCCGTGCCGTCTTCGGAAAATTACAGTTTACGAAACAAAAAGTCGATTTTACATAATTGGTTGTGACAGTACTGGGTCCAGATACAATGTACTCAAAATAGATCGAGTCGATCCGAAAGCATTGATAACTGGAGAACCTGAATATGACTATACGAGAGAAGAGATTCTTGAACTTTTGTCTACTATATCGGATGGAAGTTCAGGTACTTAAACATTTTTTTTTCTCTACAATAGCTGTCGATGCCTTCCAGTTGTGTATAAATCATCTTCAAAGAAAGGATCGAAGAGTGGATTGGTGGAACGAGCAACCAACGCATTCGGAATTCTTGGTGTGGTTAGATTTGTCGAAGGCTATTATCTTATTGTAATTGATTGTTTCTAAACCAGTTCAACTTCCCTAACTTTTTTAGATTATCACTCGAGCCGTTGCTGTTGCCACACTTGGATATCATCCAGTATACAAAATAGTTGAGGTTGCTATGATCCCCATCGCGATGGATGGAATTTCGTCAAGCTCCGAAGAACAGAAATATGTCAAACTATTTCAATCAGTTGATTTGAGCACAGATTTCTATTTTTCTTATTCCTACGATTTGAGTCGGACTTTTCAAGACAATGCACTTCGTAGTAATTGGGATAATAACGGACATAGAAAGCTGGAAGCGGATGACAGGTAATAGTGATGCACAAAATTAGTTGGTATTTGGTTCATTTCAGATTTGTCTGGAACTCATTCCTGCTGGAACCCCTGCGAAAAAACTTGATCAGTGAGCGTTGGTTTATCGAAATTGTTCACGGATACGTCCGTCAGGAATACATATTCCTACCAGTCGGCCGCATCTCACTCACAATAATTGGTCGCCGATCAACCAAGTATGCCGGTACTCGATTCTTAAAACGAGGTGCTAATCCATCTGGGAACGTTGCAAACTACGTGGAAACGGAACAAATTGTGTGGGATATGGCATCATCCGGAAATGTTGCCAATGGACGGTTCAGTAGTTTCGTGCAAATGCGAGGTTCAGTTCCGATGCGCTGGTCCCAGGATCCTTCTACACGTGGTGTTGTTGGGAAACCACTGATCTTGATCGACAATCATGAGCCACATGCACAAACAGCTGCGAGTCATTTTAGAGAAATCAGGAACAAATATGGAAACCCGATCATCATTATGAATCTGATAAAACGGAATGAAAAACGACGACACGAAGGAGTCTTACACACTCAGTTTTTGAAAAACATTGAGTACTTGAATCAGTTTTTGGATAGCGATGAAAAGCTCTGTTATCTTTCGTTCGATGTGGCAAGGTGTAATAAAGCAGCTAACGCGATGCCATCAATAAACGTGCTCAATGTTATGGAAGATCTTTCGATGAAGTCGGTTCTCAAAAATGGATGGTTTCAGTCGTTCCCACTAAACGAAGCTTTGAAAACAAGTCCACGAGAGGGATTTGAAACTTTAGATGTTCAATATTCTAAAGATGGACGATTCATTATCCAACATGGGATCTGCCGAACGAACTGCGTCGACTGTTTGGATCGCACAAATGTTGCTCAATTTGTGATTGCAAAAGTGGCTCTTGGATGCCAATTATGCGCTATGGGAATTCTGGATGAACCAAGTCTTTCATTGCAAAGCGAAGTTTGCCGTTTACTGGAAGATATGTTCGATGAACACGGCGACACAATGGCTCTACAATACGCCGGCAGTCAATTGGTACATTCCATTAAAACGTATAAGAAGACTGCAGCGTTCCAAGAGCGAAGAAGAGATGTCTTCCAAACGTTGTCCAGATATTACAGTAACACTTTCAATGATTGGGATAAACAAATGGCAATCAATCTATTTCTGGGAGTGTTTCGTCCGAAAATCACTTCGCTGAAAAATCTGTGGGACTTGACAACCGATTATAATCTACATTTCCCGTACCCATTGAAAATTCGTACTGATTATTGTGCATGGATTCTGACAGAGAAAGAATTAGATGAACTGGTTTTTCTTGAGTATAACGAAAATGAGAATCAGGATGGATATGTTGAAATACGGTCGATCGAGATAGAAGGTCGTCGTGGAAGCGAAGGAAGTGAATACCGTACTCTGCAGTTTTCGTCGGACGAAGATTTTAGGGATTATCACAAAACGTACGAATTTACTTCGTTGGATGATCGAATTGGAAGACTGTTCAGCATTGAAAATAGAGCGATCCAGGTAGATGGAATTAATCAGGAACCAACTTCTCATGCTCAATTTTTGAAGCTTTGGAAAACTACAGTAAGACTTTTTACGATGAGAGATATTTTGATTTAAATACAAATGTTTCAGGAGACCAAAGAAAAAGAATCGAAGAAACCAGCAAAGAAGGAGAAGGAAGAAAAAGAATCGGATGATGAAGATGATGACGAGGGAATATCTACTCAGTGGTCTGATGTAGTAGAAGCTCAGCAGGAATGGTATGATCTGGTCAATCAGTCAGGGAACATTGCAAGTACAAAGACACCAATTTCAATTGTGAAAAAAGACATCGTTCCATCCCGATCGAGAGCTAAACGATCACTTCTGAGCACTGGTCTACAGTTCGCCAAGGACATTTATCATTTGGATCATTTAAAGACGCAGCCTGATGAACGGAGATATTATGAAAAGTACGCCATTACAGCGTTCAAATGTAATGTTCGGGATTGGGAATCGGTGAAACCAACGTTGCTGAGTGAATTCAAAATAAATCCGGAGTTGGAGGCTCGTCGACCTACTTTCTTCACCGCGGATGATTGTTATAGAGTAATCAATCAGTGTTTTTTTTCAGAAATTTTTTTTTCAGTCAGAACAACCGGATGTCAGCGGCAATTCTGAACGATTCTACACCAAAAGTGATAATCCGCTGACAACACAATGTTCCAATCGTGACTACGAAACATTCTCGAATTATATGGAAGCACCCTAATTTTGTTATGTTGTAAAAACCACATGTAAAAATAATTATTTATTAGAGGTTAACCGGGAAAAAAGCAATCATCTGTGATATTATAAACTAAACATTAACAAGTAATGTATCTCAATGAATCAATTATTACATTCCATGTTTACCCATTTCTTAAAGTTTTCGGTTTCATATTATTATGAGCTCATTTTGTGTGTGCGTTATTTTAAGAAAATGATTAATATTGATTGAAAATTGTGAGAGATCCAGAGAATCACCGTCTAGAAGCGCGTATTGTGAATGGTTTAGGTGCACGTAGGGAGGATGTGATGACGTCGATAGGAGGAGCGAATGCACCGTCAGTATGCCATTCGAATTTTTGCATGAGAGTGCAGAAGTAGAGGAAGACTTCCATACGAGCAAGATTCTCTCCTAGACAGGACCGTTTTCCCATTGAGAAGGGGTTGATACGATCGTCACGAATATATTCGCCGCGTTCCTGGAAAAAGAAGTAATAAAATTTCAAAATGAAAGAGTTTCCATTTACTCACATTAAGGAATCTGTCTGGATTAAAATGTTCTGGATCTGGGAAGTGTTTCTTGTCGACATGAACAGACTGGAATTGAGCAATGACACGGGTTCCAGCTGGCAGACGATATCCTTCACAATCCTCAACATCTACGAGTGTGCATCGAAGGAAATTAACTGGGAGAACGTATCCGAGACGATAGACTTCTTGCAGGAAGGCACAGGTGTATGGAAGTTGTTTCTGATCATCCATGACGACTTGCTGTAATAAATTGAGATTATTTTTGAAATTAAATTGGAATCTTACTCTATCTCTTCCAACGTTCTTATCCAGTTCATCATGAATTCGTTTTTGCGTCTCCGGATTGTTAATCAAATACAAGAATGCGAATCGAAGAACGATGATGATAGTTTCCATTCCAGCAGAATACAAATCGTAAATCGCAACAATCAGTTGTTTCTCTGTGAATCCATCTTCCAATGCAGTTTCGGCAGCTCTGATTTTCATTTCTTTCAGAAAAGCATCCATGTAACTGGATGGCTCTTCATCGTAGTTGATTCCTGATTTATGTTTTGCAAGAGCCTGAATTTTCCAAACAATTAAAATTCGTGAATTCTGAATTCTGAATTCCAACCTGTTCCAAATTCTGAATAATAGCATCATTGGCTCTTGTGGTTCTTGGAATTCCAAGGCTCAATGGTTTATCAAGATAAGCCAACCAAGGCCAAGCATCTAGAAGTTGAGTTTTGGGTGAGGTGAAGTGTTCTAGTACATCGTTGATTGCCACGTGGAAGTCAAGAATTTCCGTCTCATTCCATTCCCGAGTGAATCCGAACAAGTGCTTGTGAATCACATTTCCAACTACATGCTGAAAATTAGAAAATCGGAATTTCTAGAATTTTGAAATGTTTTTTCTAACCACAAGAAGAGGTCTCAATTCAATGGAACTGTCCTTCTGATTGTCAATTTTTTCAACCAATCCAGAAGCCAACGAAGCAATTGTATCCTGTGTTCCAGCTTGACCAACTCCAAGAGAACGGAAAATATGTGTGGTGAAGCGGCGTTGAGCTTTCCACCAATTATTTTCCATGAAGAAAAGACCGTAGTTTCCTTGAACCAACATATCCATTATGAATGTATCCGGACGTCCAGAGAACGCTTCTCCGTTTCGAACAATGTTCCGTTTCAACATCTGAAAATTATTACTGTTTCAATAGATCCCAAAATTATAAATTTCTTGTAAAGAATCGCTAAATATGTATATTTAGTTTTGGTTCAACTACAGTAACCGAAGAAAGCGGAAACGCCTTTAAACGGCAACAGAAAGACGCGAACATCATTACATTTATTTTCCCTTCCTTCTTCGCCAATCATTTATTTTATATTCTGATCATCAGATGATAAATTGATAACCAATATCAAACTGAACCTAAATATGGTACTGTAATGACGCAGCGATTTCTCGTATCTTCTTTTCTATCCATTCTTCCTTTTTTGTCACTTTCACCGTGACTTCTTCAAAGATCTGCATTTGATGGTTTGATCTGCACCTAATCTGCGCCCAGTCTATGATCAACATTGATACTTATTCTATCACCTATCATCAACTGTTTTCCGTTTTCTCTTCTTCTTCTTTTTTCCCCACGTGCGAATGGAGAAGTGTCTATTTTTGATCAGGGCCAAATTTTTGTGGATGTTAGGATTCGAAGTTTCAGACCTAGTTTTTTCTGGAAGCCATTTGAGAATAATTACTTAAATTTTTCAGAAGAATAAATAATTCATTTAAGTTCTGATTCTATAATTATTTATTTGCCGCATAACCTGTAATTGAAGGGCCCCCTCCCCTGACTGTCGTTTGAGCTGATGTTTTTGACTCCTAGGAAAGCTATTAAAGCTTTGTTGACTAAAAAAATGTTTTTGATATTATGATAAACCATCTATCAATTGACAACTTTTTTATATCTTTGACAGGTACTGAAGTTAGGGGACCCTTCTATTAGAAGTTTTATAATACGTTTTATCTTCGAAGTATAAACTACCGTAACCAAATCAAAAACTTACATCATAATCACAAATGACAACAGTTGGGAATGGTAACCAGAGAGTGAATATTCCACCATATTTCTTTTTGAACTCATTTATGATGATGTCGATTCGATCCTCGGGAACTTGAAATGTGTTGCCTGAAATTTCTTTTTGGAAATTTCAAAACAAAACAAAAAACGATGCATACCAATGAAAGGCCATGGAGTGGGACCGGGTGGTAATCCTCTGATTTTATTTGCAAATCGACAGAGGAGAAGCATTACAATGACGACTAATATGACGAGCTGTGCGAAGAGCATTCTATAAAAGTTTCTGATGTATTAATTTGGAAATTTGTCTAATTCAGATAAAGATATTAATGTCAAGCTAGAAACTCAATATATGGTACAGAGTGAATAGGAGTATGACAAGAAGGGACTGGAACAATCTGGAACATTCTGGCAATGAAAAAAAAAGAATTCCCATAAAGCAGAAGGTGAATTCGGGGAATAGGAGAAAGTTTCCCTGGTCGTTCTATGGCAATTTTGAGACTTGAAAAGGGGGGTGGAGAAAAAAACATAGTGACCATTGAGAACAAAAAAGGGAAGATAAGGAAAAAGGAGAAGAAGATCAAACAGTGTCGTTTATTCTGTTCACCGGAACTATGAAGTTTGTAGGTGATAAATCAAGGGATTCCCCTTGGAGTTTTTTGAAAAAAACTTTACCCTTTTTTTCTTCTGAATCCGTCTTCATTTTGATTTAAAAATACACCGTATTTGCTCTAATAGAAACCCACTCAAACCGTCAATTTCGTGCTCAATCTCGATTCCGGTGATAGATATTAATGTTTTGACAATGGATAAATTATTTCTCATAATATTACCAGTATTTTATCAGTTGACATATTTTTGATATCCTTCACAGGTACCGAGATAATTGAACTCAAAGTTGACGGTTTGGGTGCGTTTCTTTTAGAGCAAATACGGTATATTTTAGAATCAAAATCAAGACGGATTGACCAAAAAAAGGTTAGAGATGTGATTCAAGTTTTATATTCAAACTTTTAAAATACATTCAAATTGAAAGAAATAAGGATAATTCTGGAATACAAACAAGCCAAACTTTTAAGACACGTTTTCCGAGAGAATGGAATTTGAGTCAACAGGCGATGGCAATGGAAAAAATCACAATGACTTTTGTTTTCAATTAATGCCAAGTGTAGAATTCTTCCATCTTTTGCAAAACTTTTATGTGTGGAGATATGCATTTCTTTTTTTTTTGTAATCGTTTTTAAGGGTTTCCTGACTTCAGGTATTGAACTTTAAGACACAATCTCTGAGAAAATCGACAGCACCATGGCAATGGAAAAATCAAAAATAGTCCTAGGAGTCTGATATTGTATGTGGTGGGTATAGGGGCTACTCTAAGACTTTTGACCATAATACCCATAAGCCACGCCCCCTCCTGGCCACGAAAAACTACCGTAACCCCAAAAAATTATTTTCGTTCAAAATAATGATATCGATTCAAATGTTTTAGATTTGAATTTCTGGTACTATTATGACCATTTTTTGTGTTGGGACCAACTTTCTACAGTAACCCTAAAGTAGAGGAAATTTCACTTTTTTGCATTTTTTTTCACTTTCTTTGGAATTTCTCAAAAGTCTTCCGGTCATTAAAAAACCAAACCCGGTTTTTTCGATACTTTGGACCTATTTACATTGTAATAACATAGTGTCACAAAAAATTAGGGGGTCTCAAAAGCGTTCTATTCGAAACCAACTTTGGTCAAAAAATGAAAATGAAGGTAATGAGTTCATCTAACTTGGAATGAATTACTCTTGCTATTTTAAGCGTTTTTTGTGTTGAGACAACAATTCTAACTCGCTTTCTTTCAGCTGAAAATTTCGATTGTAAAAAAAACCACTGAAAATCGGTCGTCGTGAAAATTTTAAAATTAGTGTAAGAAAGATAATACCAGATTCAAAATTAGCGTTAAAAAGTTACACATGAAATATGTGTTTGAGTCTAAAAGTGCGAAAACATGGGGAGTACATGGCAACAAAAATTCGCCGAAAATCGACCATCTCCAATTTGTATGAAATTTGCACCAGATGTAGCCCTTTTGATGGGTAGTATTTCGACATAGTTTCAAGATCCAATCTTCATCGTCTTCGTGCATTTTTGCAATTTTTAGTTTTGCACTGAAAATGGCCTTGGAAGCAATTTTTGCCACATTTTGGTGCACGAAGATGATGAGATTTTAGAAATTCCAAAGAAAGTGAAAAAAAATGCAAAAAAGTGAAATTTCCTCTACTTTAGGGTTACTGTAGAAAGTTGGTCCCAACACAAAAAATGGTCATAATAGTACCAGAAATTCAAATCTAAAACATTTGAATCGATATCATTATTTTGAACGAAAATAATTTTTTGGGGTTACGGTAGTTTTTCGTGGCCAGGAGGGGGCGTGGCTTATGGGTATTATGGTCAAAAGTCTTAGAGTAGCCCCTATACCCACCACATACAATATCAGACTCCTAGGACTATTTTTGATTTTTCCATTGCCATGGTGCTGTCGAGTTTCTCAGAGATTGTGTCTTAAAGTTCAATACCTGAAGTCAGGAAACCCTTAAAAACGATTACAAAAAAAAAAGAAATGCATATCTCCACACATAAAAGTTTTGCAAAAGATGGAAGAATTCTACACTTGGCATTAATTGAAAACAAAAGTTCAACTGGTGAGAACACACAAGACAAAATTGAAGAACAAAACATTAGTAGAGTTTCAATGTTGAACAGTAGAACTTGAAATTCGGAAAATTGTGTATTTCTGAAAGTGCATGAGGTGTTTTTATATGGTAACGGTGCACTGGATTCCTCACGATCAAACCATACTTTGTATCCACTCCAATTTTTTCCCTCCCTCTTTTCAAAATCCCTCCCCTTTCGTTTTTTTTGGTTGAAACTCTTTTGACCACTCCCCTTCTTCTTGTTCTCTTGGAATTAGACCTTTCAATTCAATGAAACAAAACTCTCTCATTTCCCTTCATAAATATGCTCCGCTGCTATGGGAAGTTGGTAATTGGAAAAGGGAGATAGAGGGAGACATGAAGAGGAGTTAGATATTCGGTTGGTATGGAAACGACGGGAAAACAAGAGAGACAACCACTGATTAGTTTGGGGAGGTGGTGTATGGCTTCGTGTTGTTGGACACTGCAGTTTCATTATTGCTCATGTATATACACACGCTTTTCCCTTCTTCTCTTCTTTTTTCAATTCCAGATTTTACGAATACACTTTTTGATAAAGGACCTTTTTTAGTAAAAAACAGATTGAGAACATTGTTTTCTTTGTTTGCCAAATAAGACACAGTCGTTTTTTATTTCCTTTCCAGAAGTCATATGATTCGAACTGAACTCAATGTAAATGCACTTTGGTATACTGTAGCAATAAGCATTATTTTTTCCCTGAAGGTTGTGTACTGTATTCTAATAGAGTGCCACCCAAACCGTCAACTTTGAACCTTTATATCTCGGTTCCTGTGAAATATATCAAGTTTTGGTCAACTAATAAAATGTTTACCATAATATCAAAAATATTTTGTTAATTAACCACTTTTTGGTATCTTTCAAGGAAACAGAGATATATAAACTCAAAGTTGACGGTTTGATGGGCACCTTATTAGAGTGTTTACGGTAATTTGAAAAGCGTCCCAGCTTCTCAACTCCAAGTATTGAAGAATGAGATAATAAAAGAACTTGATATAACAATTACTGACAAACCCTCTGCCTCTAGTTGTCCTGCTCCAACATTTCGGTTCCCAGTAAAGTAAATTTTCAGAAAATTGGTCAACTGATAGAAAATGTCACGAATTGTAGTTCCAGGATATCTTGTAAAAGACAGAATAATACAGAGTAGAGTCGCCATAAGAATTTGGCGTTCAAGGAAACTGCTAATCAGATAAGCTCGATTCCATGGTCGGTTACCGTAGTTCGTTTTAAGAAAGAGGTATCTTAAAATCACTCGGACATCATTCTCCTTGGTGTATATAAGAGTTATAACAAAGTCTGTCCGTCTTCATGCCAGGCTGTGGACTTTTGAAAAGCTTGAAAATTAAATATAGATTTACGTGACCCTTTAAGAAAATGTGACTAGTGGAGCGACGACCCAGTAAAAAACCAAGTTAAATCGCGCCGAAGGCGCACCAGCTTGCTGGTAACAAATAAACGGGAAAGAGGTTTTGGGAGAAACCACTCAGATTTTATGAGCCAATATACCGTAAGCACTAATAGAATGCGCCCACCCCCAAGCCGTCAACTTTGAGCTTATATATCTCAGTTTCTATAAAAGATACTAAAAATTTATCAAGTGACAAAATGTTAATGATATTATAAAAAATATTTTATCAGTTGACCACTTATTCATATATTTTACAAGAACCGAGATATATTAGCTCAAAGTTAAAAGTGAGCGGTGGCGTTCAATTAGAGTGTTGGCGGTATTTATTTAGAAACAAAATATTTGAGTTTCAAGTAATTAAACATACTGCTTTTTATTTTTATATTCTATATTTTTTCTGGATAATGGGCTGGAATTTTTTTGTGGCTTCTTTAGTCTATTGATACAAAAAACAGAGACCTTTTCTCAAAAATATCAAATTAACTGCCTTCATTCTAGTCTTGTGATTTGCACTTTGTCTGCAATTGGAATCATTTACAAATAGCGTATTTTGTGTATCCCCAAATCATCAATTCTTTAATTTCAGGCCACTCCCTACGTATTGAAATAATGTACTCAATTGTTATGATCTTTAGAGACTATGCCCATCAATCTTCTATTGTTTACCACCACACTCCATACAAATTGTTCCAACAAAAAAAAATCATCAAAAAAAGTGTCCTAGATTTTCCATCCATCTTGACTTTTCTCGTATAGAACAAGAACGAAAGGGTCAGTTTTTAAATCGTCAAGTGGTCTCAGAATATTCTGGATTACGGTACACACTCGTCTTGCGACACAATGAAGTTTGTATCTGTTTCGTAACATTTCGAAATTGAATTGACAACAGTCACGTTTCTCGGGTGCGTCTGTATGTCTGTCGGGGAGATGTTCTGGGTACGTCTTCTCCTTCTAGATATCTCTTCTGTCTCCACCAGATGGTCAATTTCTAAAAGTTTTTTGGGAGACGTGCAATTTGAAAGCCATTGATGAATAGTTTGAACACTTGATTTGTTCAACTGATCATCTTGAGAAAAAGAGAAGAAGAGACCTCCTCTCAATTTTGAAACTAATTCGATGTGTACTTCACTTCTTCTTTTTCCATAACCACAATACACACAGAATACAAGAAAGACTTGTGTTCCGTGTTTCGAAACTTTGAAACCTATCAAATTAGAAAGTGTCGGACGGACGGACGGCGCTGCTGACGTAGTCGTCGCTGATCAGAATTGTGATGTTTAGAGTTTTGAAATTGAATTGAAAAACGAAGAAGAAGACAAGAGGGTTCCCGTATTATCCCTCTTGAACATGTTTCGAGTGTACCTCCTTTTATCTACAGTCAACTGGCCACTTTAGTTTATTCTTTTTTGGTTTTAGAAAAAAAGTTTAGAAAAATTAATGGACGAAAATGATATATATGTCAATAAAAATTGTATGAAGGTGTTTATAAAAAAGAACAGAGTACATTCAATTGAGCACTAACCATATTCTTATCAGAGCATTACGAAAAAAAAGTGGGCATTGAGAAAGAGAAAGTTCCCATTCGATTCTAGAATATACACTATTAGAAACAATTCCTGTAACCGGATGATCAGAACAAACAGCTGTTAGAAGTCTGAACTTTCTGACGTTGGTCAGAGTACAGGTACACTGCACTCCTAGTTTTGGATCCTAAGACACTATAGTTTAAATTCCAATACAAAAATGATGAGAATTCAAAATATTGAACTGGTTAGCAGAAATTCGTTATTGTCTAAGTGTTCGAAATATGAGCAATTGAGCAAAAACACTTGTCTTTTATGAAATCTATATTCTTAGTTATTAAATTAACTTCCAAACACTCATGACTTCGTTCGAGAAAACATTTTGAATTAAAAAAAGTTTTTTTAGTAGTTGACTTTTTTGAACTGAATCAGAAATATTCATTATTATATCATGGGCAAGACGAGACTGGCTAAAAACAAGCGCCGGGGCGGCACCTGCTAAATTAAGAACAGTCGTGGCGCCGGAAGCGGTCCGTCGACAAGCCGCCAACGGCCCGCTCGCATCGCCAAAGAGGCGACCGTCCCCGCTGTGGCTATGATGACAACCAGGATAACCAAGTGTTAATATTGTCATCATTATTAGAACAATGTTGAAATTTTCAGACTCAGATGATATAAGTAACATATTTCATAAACTTTTCTTCAAAAAGCCATTATTTGATACTGTAATGTATTCAAAGTCATTAATAGTCCCTAAAAACCCCATTCCTATAGCCTTACGACCTGCTAGAGAACATTCTGGAACTTTAACAAAAATTCTGGAATCTTTTCGCCAAAAATAAATAGACTTCGATTTCTTGCAAAATACGAATTTTTGTATTCTATTCTTATCTGAAACTTGAAGCGTTGAAAAGTCGCTGAAAGTTATTTCCGATCTGTATTAACATCATAATCTCTTCTCTACTTGGAATCACGGAAATTAATGCTTGGAATTGCTGATTTTTGCTTTTTGTTTATCACTATCATCTGACAATTTTTGTAGCATCAATCAAGAATTTCTTCCGTTTTTGGAAATGACTCAAATCCGGAGATGATGTCAATTGAAGCAAGTTATTACTCAACTTCTGATCTTTTTTCTAGAGAATTCATACAGTTTGATAAGAAATTGATAGCATGCTGAAGCATACAAATAGAAGAACAGAAACCGATATCAGAAGATCATTTTCAAAAATAGGAAATGATCGAAATCTCGAGATTCGTTTCCGTTCAAGTAACAAAAAACATGATAGTTTGGAAGTTGATTCTTGAACTGATAATGAGGAATTGTTAATAATCAGCAATAACATTTCTCATTTGCTGATGACTTCTTGAAAAAAATACAATTTTGGGGAGCATGGAATTCAGTTGAGAGATTTATCAGTGCTCCTAAAGCACAGTATCAGGCGATAAGATACACAAAAACGTATTTTCCAGTTAATTTTCTGTTATTTTGGCCGTTTTCAGGAGTCTGGATCTTGGCTTTCGAGTTTCCGATCACTTTGAAAAATTTGAAGGGTGTAAAAGAGACCTAGATTAAAACTTTGCATTCACAGAATTTTCGGAAAATTTCTAGTTTTTCATCTATGTGCCGATTTTTGAAAGGCACCTGTTTTTTACATTTTCAATACAAACACTGGCCAAAGAGGGGTGTCTCACAGAAATCGACAAATAGCTGAAAACCTAGGAAAGTTTTAAAATTAGGTTCATTTTTTTTACCCTCCAAAGTTTTCAAAGTTATCGGAAGCTTGACAGCCAAGATCCAGAATCTGGAAAATGGTCTGAAATCAGCTGGAAAATGCGTTTTGTATATCTTATTGACCGGTATTGTTAATATCATTTATACACAAATAAAAATAAACTACGGTGTGGTTTATAATATCAGAGACAAGGTTTTGTTTCAGTTTCCATGTAAAGCCTCTGGTATCAATCAAACAATACCGTAGTCTTGCAAGGCATTGACCATAGTGCATATCAACAATCAAGCCTTCAGAAGATACAAAATCTTTTCTCTTTAGACAGTATTTTCCGTTTCGTATGATTTCCCTTTTTGCCCATTACGTAGTGTGTAGTTTTAAATCCAAAGCTATAATTCGATGTGTCGTTTTGACCACCATTAGAACACAGATTGAATGAAAGTGTACATTTTTGCAATCTCCTACGTGCAGAATCGAACAATTTTTCACCAGATTTATTCGCCGCACACAACGGCAGATTGAGTGGGAATTAAGCGACACCAGAGAAACACAAATCATTCATCGAGATGTAAACCGTTTTTGTAGTCATGAATGGGAGAAAAGGGCTCTGAAGACTAATCGCTGAAAATTGGAAACACGGGGATTCAGGTCATTTTAATGATCCTGAAAACTATAATTTCTGACAATCTCAGTGGAGAGCGGAGCGACGAATAGTAAAATAAATGGGTTAAATCGCGCCGAATGCACACCAGCCAGCTGTTTGAAGCGCCGGAGGAGCGGCAAACATGCTGGCATGAAACAAAAGTAAAACTCCATTTTAGAACTTTTTTGCACCATTTAACCTTTATGAGGTATAGAAACCGTAAAACCTGTGCATAATAAAAGGTTCCACAAGTTTGAGCTCAATTATTTCGATTTTTATGCAAGAAATCAAAAAGTGTTAACTGATAAAATGTTTGTGATATTGTGATGAGCAATTTATCAGTTGACAACTTTGTGATATCTTTTGCAGGGAATGGGATTCCGTTTTTCCTCTAATAGAAGTCCATGGGCTACTATTTTTCAACCTCTCTCTCAGCGTGGGCTTATTAGAGGTGGGCTTCTATTTTTCAATGATTTATTTTCAAAAAAAATTTTATTCAAAATTTCTGAAATTTAACAATTCGGAAGTTAAGAATTCTGAAATTCAGGGTTTTGGAAAATTCGAAATTTTCATTTCGCAATTCCAAAATACCGAATTTATAAAATTCCTAGATTCCAGTATCTCAAAATTCAAAATTCAGGAATTCTGAAATTCCGGAAAAATTAAAAAATCTAGAATTCTGAAATTCAGAAATTAGAAAATTCTGAAAGTGAGAAATTGCCGAGTTCTAAAAGCACAGTTACAAAAATTCTGGAATTTTGAATTACCATATTTTCTCTAAAAGAAACCCTTGGGCCTCTTTTAGAGATGGGGTCTTGTATGAAACAAAAGAAAAACTCCATTTTGAATGTTGAGAACATTTAGCACCATTTTACCTTTATGAAAAAAACAAACCTGTACAAAACATACATATAGATGGCCGGACCGGGCCGAGCCGGGCCGGGCCGGCCAGCCTGCCACAAAACCCTCGGCCCGGCCCGCGGGCCGGCCATCTTTTCCACAAGTATGGTACATAATAGAAGCCCCCCCCCCCCCCACTGTCAAGGCTGAGCTCAATTATTTCAATGATAACTTTGTTATACAATTTGCAGGGAATGAGATATACGGGCTCAAAGTTGAGGATTTGGGTAGAACTTTATTGAAGTGTTTACGGTATAATGGGAAAATCACCGAATGGGATTCTAAAAAATTGAAAGTGTATCAAGCAATTTTTATTCACAGAAATACAGTATCATGTTCCAATTCAAACATATTCTCAGACATTTTCAAATTACTTATAAACAAAACTAATAATTGGTTTTGCTAAAACTACACTAATTTTGAAAATTCGTTCAGAAACAGAATTTTCAGATAAATTACTAATTTCCTCAGCCCCACATATCACTGTGTTTTTTGTTTTGTTTGGAAATCCTAACATCACTTGTACTGTAACCCTTCCAATGCTTTATTCTGTTACACCTCCACTCCTATGTTTTCTCATTTTTTTTTTTACTTTTTTTACTTTACCTAATTTGCTCAATTGCTGTCCCATTCTCAGAAAATGGCTCCAAATGGAAAAATGCGAGAGATTGTCTCAATCCACATCGGTCAAGCTGGTGTTCAAATCGGAAATGCTTGCTGGGAACTCTATTGTCTCGAACACGGAATCACTCCAGGTGGACTGATGCCAGATGATACGAGTTTCGGAGTCGAGGATCAATCATATAATACGTTCTTTTCGGAGACTCCAGCCGGAAAACACGTTCCTCGTGCCATATTCGTGGATCTTGAGCCGACTGTGGTCGATGAGGTACTTTTTTTTGTTTTTTTGTTGGTTCTTTTTTAATCCTATATCCATTCACCGAACGATTAAGCAGAGATAATTTGAACAACTAAATATTTCATTGAAAAAAAACGGACAGGGTTTTTATTATTATTTGCGGGGGCGACGGATCAAATATATCTTTTGGTGGTCATATGGCACGTCATCTATGAATGAGAACGGTGGGAAAATTCAACTTTCGAAGGATGAGTCGACCGTATTTTGTGTTTGCTGTGTTGTTTCGAGTGTATTGTCTGATTCATTCGGATTTCGAAGTAACAAACCACATGGCAAGAAAAGGGGAAGGAGGGCCGAAAAGGGATGGCAATGTGGGTTAATTGGATAATTAGTGTTTAATCGAATGAACTTTCATTGTCCAAACACTTCTCAAAATAATTTATCTTTTTTCCCAGATTAGAGAGAACAATTGCTAGGATTTTTGGCAAAAATTTAATTTTTTCAAAGAATATTTTTTGAATACTTTTGAATAGTTCGCAAAGTCACTCTCACTACTTTTCATAGTTTTTTTTCGGTATCTAAATTCCGAAAATTGAAAATTATGTTCGAGTTCCAATAGTTTTCAATTCGGGAATCGTGAAACTCAACCTTTCGGTTGAGCTTCTTTTTTCAAAACTTTCAAAGTTGAGAAAGTCAGAACTTTGAAAAATCTGTAAGTCAAAAACACCAGAAATCGGAAAATTTGAAATTCGGAAAATGAGACATTTCTGTGTTCATAACTCTTTAATTTGAGAATTCAGCCTATCGAAATATTTTGGAAATTTAGAAAATTTAAGTTCCGATGTTGAAAAACTCAATGAGTTGGGAAATCTCGAGTTTAAAATTTCAGAAAAGTTGTAAAAACTTTTCTGAATTATGAAGTTTTCAAATTAAATTAAATCCAAATCTGCAAAATTTGGACTTCCGAAACTTCTTTGGGTTTCTGAATCTCCGGACGTAGATTTTCCAATTTTCCGAAGTTCCGATATTTCGATTTCCAAATATTTGAATTCACTAATTTTTCAATATCCAAATTTATTACTTTCCAAATTTCCGATTTCCGGTTTTCAAACTTCTCATTTTCGCTGTTTTTCGAAGGATCAAAAACTTCTGAATTGAAAATTTCTGAATCTCCGAAATTCGAGAGTTCGAAAACTAGAGATTCAGAAATTCAGAGACTCCAAAATTCAAAAACTAGGAAATTCGAAAATTCGGAATTCCAGTAGTTGGGAAATTTTTTTTCGGAATTCTAGTAGTTGGGAAAACGAGAAATTGCGATTATTTTAGTGGAAAATTGTCTCACATTTTAAAGGTCTCGCTTTTGAAAGACCGAAGTAATCATTAACCAACAAAGCAGCTGAACCATATCAGGAGAAACTTCTAGAACAGAAAACAGTTTTCCCAATTTAATCCCATACTTAAAACTTTAAAACGACCGAAAGCTTTACGAATTTCTCATTTCCTTTAATATCGGAATTGTTTTTGAAATCAGAAATCATAATTCTTCCAAAAACTTTAAAGTTTTTTCCAGGTTCGCACTGGCACCTATGCGAAACTCTTCCATCCGGAACAGCTGATCAGTGGAAAAGAAGATGCTGCAAACAACTACGCTCGTGGTCATTATACCATAGGAAAAGAGCTGATCGATGTGGTGATGGATCGTGTCCGTCGTCTCACTGAACGATGTCAATCTCTTCAAGGCTTCTTAATCTTCCATTCTTTTGGAGGTGGAACTGGAAGTGGATTCACTTCTCTTGTCATGGAGAGACTCTCGATTGACTATGGAAAGAAAGCTAAACTCGAGTTCAGCATCTATCCAGCTCCTCAAATCAGCACTTGTTAGTCAATATTTTACAGAATGACTTCAAGTAAAAAACACAATTTTCAGCGATGGTAGAACCATACAATTCTCTCCTGACCACTCATACAACTCTCGAACATTCCGACTGTTCGTTCATCATGGACAATGAGGCAATTTACGAAATCACAAAAGTGAATCTCGGCGTTCGAAGCCCCACTTACACTCATTTGAATCGTCTTCTTGCTCAAGTCGTTTCCTCAATCACAGCTTCTTTGAGATTCGATGGAGCACTCAATGTTGATTTGACTGAATTTCAGGTAGTTTTTATTGAAATTTGAAAATGCTAAAATGTTGGTTTCAGACAAATTTGGTACCGTATCCGCGAATCCATTTTCCTCTTGTCACTTATGCTCCGATCATTTCAGCGTAAGTCCATTCTTCTGTTGAAACAGATTACTGTAGGACAAAATAATCGAAAATGAGAAGGATTACTGTAGGGAAGAGAACAGAAAAAATGCTCTGATGTGTTCATCTGGAGAATGTTATTAAAATTAGGCTTGCATAAAACTCAATCAGATATTTTACAATAACTAAGGTTTCCAATTAAGTGTTTTTCAGAGAGAAAGCATATCACGAACAGCTATCAGTGTCTGAAATAACCAATTCTTGCTTCGAACCTGGAAGTCAAATGGTGAAATGTGATCCAAGAAACGGAAAATACATGGCATGTTGTCTTCTTTATCGTGGAGACGTTGTTCCCAAAGACATCAATTCTGCAATTTCGACAATCAAAACAAAACGAGCGATTCAGTTTGTTGACTGGTGTCCAACTGGATTCAAAGTTGGAATCAACTATCAGCCACCTACAGTAGTCCCCGGAGGAGATTTGGCAAAACTGCAAAGAGCTGTCTGCATGCTTTCGAACACTACTGCGATTCAGGAAGCATGGGCTCGTCTCGATCATAAATTCGATTTGATGTATGCGAAAAGAGCATTCGTTCATTGGTATGTAGGAGAAGGAATGGAAGAAGGAGAGTTCTCGGAGGCTCGTGAAGACATGGCAGCACTCGAAAAGGATTATGAAGAAGTCGGTGTCGATTCTTTCGACCCGAACGATGATGAATACTAACACCAACGTTCAACTAAATTTTACATCATTTTATTTTTGTATTCACCAAAAAAGCACTAATTCATTGTATTGAACTCATATATGGATATATAATTCAGACAGAATAAATTCTATGAAAAAGACAAATGAGATGTCATTGCATAAGGCCTTTGATGCTCGGATTCTCGAATATGGTGGCAAGTGACGAAAAAAGTATTTTGAGTAATAATATGTAAAGCATTAGTGACAAGTGAAAAAGAATACAACAAGAGAACTGACACAGAACAGGGCGCACGAGATATTTCAGCTGAAAAGGGGGACAATAAGAATTCAGACAACCAGTTTAACGAGTTAGCTATAAACATTGGCTCTGGTGTAAAGATAGTAATATGTGAAAACTACTATTTCTCTTGAAACGTATGAGAATAATCTGGATGAGAAAAGGGAATAGTGAATTCAAGAGGTTTTTTTTATAGTAGTTTATCCAAGATGTTGGTCATCCCTCCATTGAAACTTTCCGTTGCCAGATCCACAGTAAACGTTGGGATTCCTTCCTGCAATGAGCGTCTGATCGTAATAGTCTCATTTATGATTAAAATAGTTATAAAGTTACTGAAGGTAGTTAAAGAAACGTTCTTAGCTTGTGTATGCCCACAAGGTGACTATTGAGAGAAGACTTACCACAGGGACACCTCGTTGTAAGTTGCTGACGTTGATTCTATCCGAATTGTTCGTCTCCTCAGGTTTCCAGTTTAGTGTGTTGAGTTCAGTGTGCTCCTCGTTTGTAGCATTCACTTTACAAGTGATGCAAAACGGTGGGATATTCAAAAACCGTTGCGGCATCATTGCCATATCGGCGATTCGTACCATGAGCCGGTATCCAAAATCGAGAACATAAACACGGTATAGCTGCAAATCAAGTATTATTTATGAGTCCAATTTTAGGTGACATACCTCTTTATTTTCCTCTTTGATAATCATTCCGCGAGCCCACTTGCTGCCAATATCTGAGTCGTGAAGACGAACAAGACATCCTTGACGTGGCTGCCATCCACCGTTCGGTTGTTCCTTCACATTCGCCCCTTGCATCGAAACTCTGGAAAGAACCGTTTCTTGTATAATGAATATATTTTATTCAACTCACTTTATCTCTTTTTCCATTTTCTCAAATTCTTCAACAGCTTCTACAGGACGTACGGCGAAATGAGCGAACTTTCGAAAAAAGCAAAATGTAACATTCAATGAGGTTTGCGGTCGTGAAAATGCAGGATGTACGAGTGGTGCACTGAATAAATCAGTGCTGGGACCTTTGAGGTCTCTTTCGATTTTTTGAACAACTGCAATTAGAAAATTTGTATTTTATCTTCTGAATTTGCACATACGGTCCATTTCGCCCGGTACATATCTATACTCTCCTTGATGAGTATAGAACATCGCATGAGCTACCCTCGACTTGATGAGTTCAGCTTTTTCTCCGGTCTCCTGAACCAGATGAAGGATCACGTCGCTCATTTTGAAACTGTTCGTGCTGATTGACTTGATGTAGTTCCAGACAGCATCATCAATTCTGTGAGGCTTGTTAACGTCTTCCTCGTCTTCGTTTTCTTTGTTTTGATGCATCTCGGTTTCATTCCATATTATAAGACTCTGAAATCAACTGCCATTTATTTCACTCGAGCTGAATATCTCACTTCATCTCTATCTATGGTCATGTTTTTAAAGAACTCGGGCATAGATTCTTTTAGGGCACATAAGTAATTTTCCTGTTCGTCGTAGTTGTCTCCGGGTATTCTGAAAGTTTACAATGATTCAAGTTTCATCCGAACAACCTCACATGATTCCTTTGTCTTTGAGGAAGTAGACGAAGTCGGTCAAATCCATTTGTCCCCCTTTCTTCAACTTCAGGAGTTGTTTGCAAAGTTTTCTATTCAACAACTCATTTGAATTCAGAGAACCCGATGGATTGGTATTGGCGGGACTAGGACCAACGGTAATGGGATCTCTCGTTTGGACAGACGCTTGTGTGTTACCATATTCCGTACGGAATTTACTGGCCGGAGGGGAATCATTGTTTTCTTCTGAAAACTGAGAGAAGTTGGTTCCATTGGAGTTTCTTGAGTCTGATCTTCTTTGACGATGATCCGATGGCGGTGAGTTGTGTAGCCGATTTGGTAGAGGTGGAGTTCGACCACGATGTTCATCGCGTGAGTCATGTCGGAACTGCTGTTCGTTCATTCTGAAACCACTGTCGTCCCTGTATCCATTACCGTTGCGCGGAGGAGAGTATTGCCGATATTGCGGTGATGATGGACGCCCATTGTTATAGCCATGTCCATCGTTATAGCGATCTTGTCTCTCATAGCTATTCTGTCGGTAATCGTTGTAGCGAGTATCGTCATAACGCATTGGTGGCGGTGATCGTCTACCGTTGTCATGCCCGCCGTAGCGCTCATTTCCACCATACTGATCTCCTCCGTAGTTGGATTGCTTATCATTTTGGTATTCGCGACGATCGTTATCAAAGTATCTACTATCATTGTTGTATCTTTGAGAATCCCTGTCGTAGTAATTGGAATTTCTACTTCGTGGGGATGGTGGTCGAGATGAACGCCGATAACGTGGAGGGGATTGAGGTCTCACATTCTCCTGATAACCGCTGTTTCTGGAGTTGTCTCTGTTGAACGAGCCATCACTGTAAATATAGAAGATAGTTAGAACAAACATCAACAGAAAACGCACTAGTTCGAACTTTGGTTGCTCGCGTTAGAAGATCCGTTCCGACCCAGCGGCCGCTGATTTGCCAGGTAATCAGGTTGTGAGTTAGAATGATTTTCTTGTGGTCGAAAAGATGATCCGTGCGTTCCAGCCGCCCCCCGCTGGTTCAAACCGCCTCGGGGGGGACGGGAGTTATTGAAACCTCGGAAGCCTGAAGATTTTTTTAGAAGTTTTTCATGTACATAAGGGAGATTGATTGAAAGCGTTAGATTGCGGAAAATGATGTTCCTGATCCATTTTCAGTGGTCAAAAAGAAAAAAGATTAAAGCTTTAGGAATATGGAAATTGTTGATCCACAGAAAGAGAAGCCAGTCAGCCTATTGCAATGTTGTTTACCTTCGCGACCATTCCTGTTGAACTGGTTTCGTGGGACCGCAGCTCCTCTTCCACGTACAGCTCCTCCTCTCCCTCTTGCGCCACCTTTTTTTGCATTTTTATTGTCCGCGACGGAATCGTGAATGTTATCCATTTGACCACCTGCTGAAATCGCTTTCCACTCGCCCTGCCCACAGCTGCGAAAATGCTCCGAGTTTTGCAATACTTGAGCCAGGGTTTTATTGAGCTTCCGCAGCTCTGATTCGGTATAGCCGCGATCATATTCACCGCTGAAAACAGAAATTAGAAACGATTTTTTTCCGTAATTTACAGAAGCAAAATTAGCTTTTAAAGATTGGAGTAGGTAAAAAAGTAGACACTCCCGATCATGCTAATCTTTTTTGCTCAAAATCGACTAATTTAATCAATTTAGGCAATTTCTTGAAAATGGTAAACCACTTTGGTAATTTCTCAACGGCTCCCGTAAAGAAAATCATCGTAATCTAAAAGTTTCGGTTCTTTTATCTCGATTTCTATTGCTTTTCGACAACGTGTTGAAAACCTGAAAACTAGTCGAAAATGAATTTCTGAAAAAAAAATCTGAAAAGTTGCCGGAAAACGGACGAAAATTGTATATATGAAAAGAAAAAATTTCTAACTACGGTAGTTAGACCACAAAGTTCTCTTCTCCACAACTCCGATTTTTGCATACCAGCATGATATGCCTTTAGCCATTGAGTTTTATTTTTAACTTACTCAACAAGTTCGATAAGATTTCGTTCCGAAAACGAGTTTTGGAAACCATGTGCAGTACAAACGCTATAGATATTAACAGCGAGTTGATCTTCATCACTAAGCTCATCGCAATCCATTTTTGATAAATCTGAAGAAAAAGCACATTTAGGAACATACGTCCATAGAGCGTTGTTCAAAAATTCTGAGGGTATTCAAACAGTGCAAAACTGGAATGGAAGATTTGAGGACAATCGAAGCTAAAGGTTTAAATATTTGCAATGTTTAATTCAATGAAATACAAATGTTGTAATATAAATAAAGATCATAAAAAGTTGAAAAAAATACTTCAACATGAGAACTTCAACAACAGATCAAAACAGAATAACAACAATTGAATGAAGTTTCGATACTACCCTGGATCATTTCTTATAGTTGACATTTGGAACAAGCTTCCATGCGCCAATCCCGCAGGCTTGAAAACTCTTGGATTGGCTCAGTAACTGACAGACGGATTTGTCGAACTCCTTCATTTTAGATAGGGTGTAGCCGGGACAACAATATAATTCGCTGAAAAAAAGCTGAAGTTTAAGAATTATGTTGTGTATGCTTGTAAACTATTTTATACCAGTGTATATATAAGTACGGCTGAGGTTTGCTGAACGCATTCTCCTCAATTTTTAAAAAGATCATTTTTGCACCCTCCGAATTATGTGCCCAAACATACTCCACAAGTCTCATAATGTTTGGTTCCGTGTACGTATTATCCGGTCCTTTCATCTCACATGCGGTATACATATCAATGATGAGCATATCTTCGTCAGTGAGGTGACTGAGATCCATATTGGATACTACCCTGGGAAAAAAAACTTGAAAGCAGAATTATGAAAATATTGACAGGTATAAAACAGTTCGAAACTGAAAAATAAAAGATTGAAGAACGATCAAAATTAGAGGTTCAAAATTTATCGGGTTCAATTAAATGAGATCTATTTCAATGACATTATAACTAATAATCACAAACACACAAAAGAAGATATTTACCACAACAAGATAATACATTATTCAAAGTCAAAATGAACAAATAACGAAAAACAAAATTATGTCAACTTTTCAGTTATTCCAGATGCTTTTTTCTTAAGAACAGTATCACTTTCATCTTGCCAATTTGTGGTAGCAAGTAATTCAAGCACATCATTATCTGCTTCTTCTGCACAACACAAATGCTCATAAAGTCGCTCGGCTGCTGATTTTCGTAAAACTGGCTTCGGACTGCCCAGACTATCCAGAATCTAAATTTCAAATTGATCATTGAAATCAATCGTGATTCCAACAATCTCACCATAGTTAGAGCTGTTCGGTACACTTTACTTTTCTTTCCACAATTCAACAACTCTGCTAAAGAGTCAATAGAAAGTCGTTGGCGTGACATCAATGGAGATTGCACTGCGATCACCTTCATGTTTTCCACTATATTCAGAATTGCGTCAGATTCTTCTGGGCACTCCTCGTAAACACCCAAATTCCCAAGCGTTTGTGGGAGGACCTGCATGAAGCTGTTTGCAATACGAGCCACTTTTCTCGAGTTTTGGAACATAAAAGAGAATGTTTCTAAGAATTGATCAAATCTCTGAAACTTCAAATTAGATGGAAAATAAAAAAAATAGTAACCTACAGGTTTATCTTCGCAAATGTCTCTCTGGTACTCCAAAAGCAACTGTTTCGCAGTCTTTTGCGTTCCTTCTGCTAATCCACCAGCCGATACAACGATTCCGAGAATAAGATTCTCGTAATAATCTTCTGCCAAACTCAGAATAGGTGCAAGTTGGAGTAGTGCTCGATCAGCGATAAACTCTTTGGGGTCAACGTAAATACTTCGAAGAAGATCGATATGTGGTAGTCGTCGACCAGTTATCTCGCACTTGATCAATTTTAGGAGAGCTTCACAAGCCCGCTGAATTGAATTTCAATAAGATGTCGATAGATGGAATAGCAAACCTCTCTAGTCCTTCCTATACGTTCAGCGCTCTGTTGAATCATATGACGAGCACTTCTGACGACATGTTGGTCAAGAAAAGACGGCTCGGTTTTGGCTAGAATCAGAATATCTGCCATGGCGCCCATACTCGCTTCTCGAACCTGAAAATTTTTCTCATTTTGAATCAAAGGATAAATTTGAAATCAGAACCGGAAAGCCGAAAAAAGCTTATTAAAAATTATAAAATGTTTGAAAACCTCAAAAAAAACTTACAAAACGGCCCACATCGCCTTTAGAGTTCGTCGTATAGTCTGTCATTGCCTTGTATAGTGTTTCGAAGCACTTCTCTCCAATCCGAGAGAAAATTTCTGTAGGAGCTTGCACGGAAATTCTTGTGATGGCGAAGACCGCTTGTTGCCTGGCAATAGCCCATTTTGCATCAGTTGTATTTGAGCTGAAAGGGTTTATTTTTGACAAACTTTCATTTGGTCGCACCTCAGAATTGTGTTACACAGCGCGTCGAAAATCTCAAAATCGATAACGTCCTGATGTAAAACTTCGCAGAGAAGGCCCATTCCTGTTCTTTCACTTTCTTCTGAACACTTGACCAACTGAAACAAATATATGTTTCATCCTTCTAGTGTGAAATTCTTACCGAGTTTAATATCTTAACCTTAACTGACTGCATTAACTCGCCATTTTTGGACAAAAAAGTCTTCGAAAATTCTGCGGCTGTAAGTTTTGTAAGCGATTGAATGCTCTCTCTTGGATCAACGACTAAATCTAACAGTACATCCGTCCACGTTTTCAACTCATCATCTGGCAATGGAACCTTCTTAGAAGCCGAAATAAGTTCGATGAATTTGCACAAAGTTCTTCGGATCAATGCCCCCGGTTGCGTAGTTTTGTCACAGAAAGGACGTAATACCGCTGGTACTCGTGCCACATCGGTGAATGTAGAAGACATATCCACTCCTCGGAACGCCAACCCCTTAATAAGGTGGCCGGCAGCGAGCAAATATCCATGTCTCAGCAACGGAGATGTTCGAGCTCCACAACTCGCTTTCAAAAAATTATCAATGCTTTCAATATAGTAGTTGTCGCTGATCATCGTCAAAGATTTTTCGCAAATCATTTCCAAAGAAGTGGCAGCTTGTTCGCGAATCTTTTCATCCCAATGAACGACCTTCTTCGTAATTAAATGTCTCAAAATCACAGAAGAATAGGAAGGATATTGAGCGACTGGAACACAATGTTTCTCATAACACTTTTGACGATTAGTAACAGCGAAATAATCGACCAATTGAATGAGTGAAATACCATCAGCCACAGTTTTTTGTCTGCCTACCATCTCTTGTAAAGCAGCTGAAGCAGCTCGCCGTAGATTCACTTCTCTATCGAATAGAGCTCCGCATAGCTGAAAATTAGAAGATTATCATTTGAGTAGAAAAAAGAGCTCACCAGTGATGCCGCCAGTCTTTGTAAATACGGTGCTATCATACTAGGTTCATAAGTTCTTGAGATTGCCCAAACTGCATAACAAGCGGCATCCCGAACTTGATTACCATATTGATGCTTGCCCATTGCATCTTCGAAAACCAAAGAAAATTCGAGAGCGGGTACGACGTCTTCGAGAATATGAGGAAGGAGGACTCCTCTATGTGCTAGCTCCGCAATAGCCATACATGCACCATGACTGTGCCAAGAGGAATATTCAGCCACTTCTCCGAAATGTCCTGAGATAATAGATCCAACGACTTGGGTAGCAAGATCCAAGTTAGGCAAACGGACTGTTATCCGTCCTACACCTTTGGCTGCTGACCATCGCACAGCTGTATCGGAATGACTTAGAGCTTCCAAGACGTGCACCAGAGTCCATTCAACGATTTGTGGGTTTTCAAGTTCTTCTGATTCATCGTCCACCATCTCACTGTTGGCATCGTGGTCGTTCGTAGTTTCCGCAATATCATACTCTGCTTCATTCAATACTCCTTCTAGTAACCGCTTCCCTCTGTTGTAGCTCCACTTGCAAGTTCTAGGTTTCAATGCAATCAGTCCTATCCTTTGAATAACTTTGACAAGGCATTTATTGATTAAAACGCCTTTCTTTTCGTCAATAGGATACAGAAATCCTAGCTCCTCATGCATATTAGATACGTGGTTGACTAGAACTCTTCTATCAACATGTTTCAATATTGCCAGTAGTAGTATCAGATTTGAAAGAAGCGATTTCCTGCTTTCGTGATGTTTCTTTATACTATCTAGCACACGAGATAGAAAACTTGGAACTTTCGGCAAACCATCCGCACGAGAAAGACACTGAGCTATAACGAGAGCGGCAGAAGTCTGTAAATATGAATATTCAGTTGAACAATAGATAGACTTTTTACCTGAGTTCTATTCCAATCCCACTCCATATAGTGAAGTGCCACATTCATTATACGCGTTATTACATTATCTGGATCCCCTGTGGGATCAAACTTTTTCAAATCGAACGGATTTTTTACGACGATCCACAGCCACATAAGAAGTAGATTACGTTGGTTGTGGTCCGTCAGAGAGCTCGTTTGATAAAATTCTAGTGTTCTCAACAGAGGATCGAGCAGATGCACTTGGTGAGGCAGAAGCCTGACGATTGTTTTTGATCCTCGAACAATGCATAACTCAGAAATATAATTCATGGCTTCTCTGGTTACTCGGTTCAATTCTGCATTTTGTGATCTACCTGCAACATAAAAAATAATTATTTTAAAAATATAAAATTCTATCTTACCGTTTTCTAACAAAGTAACATAATCCACTAGAAGATCCACAAAACCGGGGATCCATTTATCGAGCAGACGCGGTTGTTCTTGATATAGATGAATGATACGAGAATATCTCACCAAGGCTATATCAACTGCCGTCTCATCCACTTCTGTGTTTTCGAAAAGAGCAGGAAGTTGCCGTATCAAGTCATTGAGCTCTTCAATGTGATGGAAATCAACAGTACTAGGCAAACATCCGATAATTCCATCTCCGTTTCATCAACAACATCGTCGTCCATTCCTGCAATATTGAGAAAATTAGAATTCGGCCAAATTGATTAATTGTCAATGAAGTACTGTCAATGAACTGTAAATGAAGAACAGATATTTAGTTTAAACTGAATTTGAATTCGAATCAGACAGCGTTCTCGTAAATTCTTCCATAAATATGCGAGATCCCATAGAAACCGTCGTAACTTGCAATGCATTGTCCGCAAACACCGAACGCATTAAACGAAAACTGAACTTTTTTTTTGAATGAATCATTTTGTCCTCTCTTCATAGTTTTCGATAGTGTTTCCTGTGTTTGTAATAAATTTGCTATAATTTTTTAAACATAATTTTTTCAGGCAATGGCTGAAGAAGATCTATCATCTAAAATGAGCGAGCTTTATGTTGCAGAATGCAATGCGGTAAGCGGTTTATAATCAACATTCGTAGAAAGACTAATTCCAGGCAAAAGCTCGTCTTGAAGTAGAAACCGAGTGTAGGAGAATAATTGCGGACAACTACGAAAAAGTTATGACTCAAGTACAGGAGCATTCCAAGAAGTTAGAAGTTCCGACTACGGTAAGTTATGGCATTCCCAAAGTTACTACTAACTTTTGAACCTTTTCAAGGCTAAAATTTGCGAAGTTGGTTATTTCTGTGATGCTCATATTGTACGAACAAATCAAGTTAGCATGGAAATGGGGTCACAGTATTTCGTGGAGTGTAGTGTCCACACTGCCGAAAAAATCGTCAAACGGCGTGTTGAAGAAATGAGAACTACTCGAGACGAAGGACTAGAGTCCATCCGCATTCTCAACGACAAAATAAAGTTTGCTCAAGAGAATTTCGCATCAGTTGCAATTGAAGGTGGCCCAATCGAAATCGTTGAGAAATATGACGATGAAATGGAGCGGATGTTTTACGATAATCGCAAGAAAAGAAATCAGGAGAAGCAGCAGAAGAACGACGAATCAACTGGAAATGGTGGCTCCAAAGATAATAATGCTCACGATAAAGTTATGGATCGTCTCGAAGAACTAGAGAAGATCGAAGCCGATAATAATGAAATAGGAGCTAATGAGTCAGAAGTCTCAGTTCCAAAATCATTCGAAGTTTCCGTTGATGAATTGGAAAAGTTAGAGGAAATGGAAGAAGAAGATGAAAGCACTACTGAAGCTGCGTTAAGATTTGGAATGAATGAACGGCTGCTCGCACAACCGGGAGTTTCACAAAAAGAAATGGAAAGACTTCTAGAGTTTCTCGACGATTGTGACAGGAGTTCCGATGAAGAATACGACGAAGAAGAAGAAGAAGAGGGGGTGGAAACTGAAGAAAATGAGAATAATCGTTCAACTTCTCAAAAAGTAGTAGAGTTGGATTCGGATGATTATGACTCAGATGACGATAAGGCTCACAATGCTTCCAAGGTTCAAGCACACGTACAAGAAATTACTGAGGTATTGTGTCTGATTCACTTCATTTTTTTCTAATGTATATAATTATTTTTTCAGAAACTCGCTTCTACCAAGATTAAGCGGAAGAAAAGTGGAGTTCGATTTGCTGAGAAACTGGAGAATGTGAAAACGTTTCTTGAAAGTGATACTGTAGAGATAAAAGAGGAAGCTGTCATCGAAACTAAATCGATTCTTCGAAACACTGAACCAACTCCAGTAGATCCTAAGGCTCTTGCTCCAGAGCAGAAGGAACTTGCCACAATGAGCACCGCGACATTTCCGGGGGAAATCGTTGAGAAGGATCCGTATGATTGCGAACCGTCTACAAGCAAAGATCCCGCACCTGTGATAACTGAAAAGAAAATTTCCAAGTTCAGAGCATCGCGGAACAGAAATTAAGCATTCCATTAATTTTGTTCTCATTTTCTTGTTGCATCCTTAACTTTAGTAGTTTTTTCTAATGTTTCTCAGACATTTTTGTGCTTTCTGAATATCTTTCCTGTGTTTTAGTTGTTCTGTACCGGTTCCTAAAATGCTCAACTATATACGTAAAACCTGTGTTAGAAGGGCTTGTTCTTCTATGGTTTTTCTATGGCACTTCTGGAGTATCCTCATTCTAGGTCTTTTGTTATGATGGAGACCTTCTGATATAGGTTTTATTGCAAGCTTACCCTGTGACTGAAAATAAATAGTTAAAAATATTTTCTTATTCACCCTCAATCTCTCAGAATTTGTATATTCTGAATTCAAAAAAGACAAGAAGACAGTAATAGATTTAAAAAAAAGGAAGACAGAAGAAAATTCATTATCGTGATGCCAGTCTCAAAACAAAACTGGGAGAAAAACGCAGGTCGCCATCGTGGCAAGTTCCGGAACGAAAAATACCGTAGCCTGATTTTTTTTTTGGAAATTCCGAATGACATTCTTGGTTTTTCGCAGATTTTTTATTACCTTCCTGCAATTTTTTCTTGATGTATGAAAAAATATTTGAAAACGAAAAGGATTACTGTAGGGAAAAATATTTGAAAACGAAAAGGATAGAAATTCGACAATAATCTTGATTTTAGCAGACAATCGAAGATTACAGTAATCCAAAGTAAATCAGAATCAAAAAACATTATTCAGAATCCCTGCATGTCGACTACTTTCATTAACTTTTTCCTCATTTTACATTCAGATCTGATCTGCGGAGGGTATATAAGCTGGAGAAATCGATAGGAAATCAGAGTCCTAATGACGATTATAGAACAGCTGGGATGGATCAAGGAAGAGGGAACTTCCGATTATTCTACGAAGACGACGTTCAATTGGAATCCTCGAATGCGAAGCAAAACGAGGATCGCAGTACTCTTTCACTGCTGGGAAGCTATAAAATGAGATTATGAATAAAATGAAATAACAATAATAAGCGAAAGCGTAGCTCCCTAGCAATAAAAAAGTACATTTCCCTACAGTAATCCTTTTGATTTTTGATCATTTTTCCCTACAGTAATCCTTTTCATTATCGATTTATTTTCCCTACAGTAATCCTTTGGTTTCGATTATTTTCCCCTACAGTACAATTTTTCCAATATTTTCCCCTACAGTATTCATTTGGATTTTTGATCATTTTTCCTTGCAGTGATTCTTTTCATTTTCGATTCATTTTCCCTACAGCAATCCTTTCATTTTCAACATTTTTCCCTACAGTAATCCTCTTCATTTTCCAATATTTTTAACTACAGTAACCTTTTCATTTTCGATTACTTTCCCCTACAGTAATCTTTTTGATTTTCGATCATTTTTCCCTACAGTAATCCTTTCATTTTCAATATTTTTCCCTACAGTAATCCTTTTCATTTTCCAATATTTTTAACTACAGTAACCATTTTCATTTTCGATTACTTTCCCCTACAGTAATCCTTTTGATTTTCGATCATTTTTCCCTACAGTAATCCTTTTCATTTTCAATATTTTTCCCTACAGTAATCCTTTTCATTTTCGATTCGTTTTCCCTACAGTAATCATTTTGACTTTCGATCATTTTCCCTACCGTAATCCTTTTCATTTTCCAGTAGTTTTCACTACAGTTACTGTAGTGTTTTCAATATTTTTAAGAATACAAAAAAAACAACTTCCTGAAAACTCGGGCCGAAACGTGTATAGCCAGTACGCTGTACCGTAGTACCTAGTTGTAAGAATTATTATACCCAACAATTTCATCCTCCCGAATCAAGGATGTTTTACCCCTGAATCGTCATACCACAAAATTTTTGTAGCCACCCGTAATCCACTTCAATTTCGAAAATTGGATGATACCAGTGTATGTGTTTGTGTGTGTGGGGAGTGTGTACGCTGTTAACAACCACAACATTTGCTATTTTCACTCGTTGTCATCTCGTATCCGGCTGGTGGTCTTCCAATTCTTCGTGTGATATCTGACCGACAGGAGGAGCACGCCTGACGCGAGACAAGAATCATTTAATGGGTTCTCCAAAATTTCGTTTCCCTCCTAGTGTCGATTAATACACTACAAGAGAAGAGTGCATCATTTCGGAGTGCGATTGGTGGTAGAATGTCAGCAGTCATGCGGCTTTGAAGGAGGTCGATTGAGATCTTTTAGCTGAATAAGAGCCACAAAATGACATTTAGCATCGAAATAAAAAAAAACAGTTTTCAGGTTGCGTACTGATTAGGACTAGTTCATTGCGAATTTTCGGGAATTGCTTGTTAAGGGATTGTTACGGTGCGCGCGCGGGTTGGAACAATTAAAATAATTTAAAAAATAACAGACTGGTATCATTTAAACCATCTGATGAAGAATATATCTTTTTCGAGTTACGTCCACTTCTACAGCAAGATCAAACTTCATAATGGCATACGAAAGTCCCCTGATTCCCATACCGTCAACTTTGAGCCCATATTGCTCATTTTCTGTAGAAGATGTCAAAAAATCGTCAACTGACAAAATATTTGTCATAATATCAAAAATGTGTTGTCAGTTAATCACTTTTTGATATCTCTCACAGGAAACGATATAAATTGTCTCAACGTTCAAAGTAAGAGGTGGCGTTCTTTTAGAGTGTTTACGGTATACATCGTTTTCAATTGGATAACTTCTTCCTAGCATTTCTCAAGTGTTACAATTTCTCTTTTCAGTTGATGCTCCAAGTCAATATATCACAAGCAGTGTCAGCCGACAGATCGAGAGCCGATGTGGTGATGTGTATGCAATAAATGTAGTAGCAACAAGTACCACCTCGATATTTTCTTCTTCTTCTTCTTTGATTCCACCCGTTTGTCACCACTGATAGCGGTTGGACGGTGATCGATGTGGCTTCGGAGAGGAAAAGAAAGACAAACGGAAGAAAAGAGAAAGAAGAAGGCTGATTTTGTCGCTGATCAAATCAACCTCGAGGGTCCTCCCACAACAACTGTCATTTTAGAAGAAAAGAGCAGCAAAAGAGAAAAAGAAGACGAGTTGTGGCCAAATTTTATGACACGTAGACGAAAGGCGGCGAATGGGATGGAAGACAACACCACGAGCAATCGAGTTGATAACTCTCCGCCCACTTCCAACCAGATCCTTGATAATCTATTGTGAAGTATGAATATTTTTATTTTGTTCAGATTAATTCATCAAAGTGTCCATTCCTCATTTTTTAATTCTTTTCAATTCCACCTACCGTAATCATTCTAATAGAATGCCACCCAAATCGTCAAATGTTAATCCATATATCTCTTTTCCTGTAGAAGATATCAAAAAGTGGGCAACTGACAAAATATTTTTGATATAATGATAAACATTTTACCAGTTCACTACCTTTCGATATCTTTTACAGGGAACGAGATATATGGGCTAAAAGTTAAAAGTTAAGGGGGGGGGGTCATTTCACATGTATTAGAGTGATAACTGTCAGATCACATCAAGTAATAATATAGTTTTGTTTTTGTCACAGATTTTAAAATAAAGTTCATCTACAAGATATATGACTCTTGGAATTTGTGCGAAGTTTACTTCTGTGCTTTTTTTGTAACTCTGAATTTTTGTTTCCAATTTCATATTTTTATAAATGGGCACACAAAGGTTATTCTCTGTCTCAGCGCACATTAAAGTTCTGTTTTTATTCAATTCCTCGAAAAATGACATACCGTATTAACTCTAAGAGGATGCCACCATATATTCGCATTTTGAGCTCAATTATCTCACTTTCTATAAAATATGTCAACGAATAAAATGTGCTTACATCATGACAAACATTCTATCAGTTGTCAGATTTTTGTTATCTTGTACAGAAATTCAGATAGGGTCTATTAGAGTGTTCACGGTAACTTGTAACCTTTTAATTGGTACTGTATGTTTACCCTCCATAATCTTGTCTCCGTTATTCAACTAATTTTTTGCCAAAACCAATGTCTTCTCCAACTTCTTCGCCCACCCCCATCTTCACTCTTGCTATTCGTCGCCCGGTTATGTGTGTTAGATGGCAATCAACGCATCATAACAGACAGGGGCCAAACGAAGAAGAAACGGGGCACGAAACGAACAAGATGGTTTGGCGAGATGGTGGTGGAAACATTCATTATCCACCGACATACACACTCTCCGCCTCCTGATGACACCCATCTGATGGTGGGCGGAGTTTTGGATTACGGTAATAAGAAAGAGAGAAAAGAGGGGTTGAAGAAGTTAGACAAAAAGGTTGGGAGGCTTCGAAATTCTGTGAATGTTATCTAGATAAACATTCAAAAGTTCTAGGTTTCCGTGGAACGATTCATGAATTCTAGAATATTTTGTGTTTCAGTTTTTTCTTAAGCGCTACAGATTTTTATTTCCTTCTGAAATTAATATGTAGTAGATTTTCAAAATCGTGCCAGATTCATGTTACTGAGAATGCCTTCTGTATAACTAGCTAACAATTTTGATTATTCGAAAAGTTCCTTTAATTAGTATTCTACAGTAGCCTACAGTATGTTGTGAACTTCAAAAACCAAAAGCAAAATTTTGTTTCCAGTTAAGCTTAACAACTAAAATTAAAAAAGCCAAAAACCACTAAATTTCAATCTATCGAAAACCTTGAATTTTGTAAGCTGTCAAAATTTTTTATATTCATAATTCCGTAAAACCTGTAATAGAAGGGCCCCCACACTGTCAAGTTTGAGCTCATTTTTTTGGATCCTATGCCAAATATCAAAAAATGTGTAAACTGATAAACTTTTTGGGATACTATGATGAACATTTTATTAGTTGACAACTTTTGATATCTTTGACAGGAACCGAGATAAATTGGCTCAAAGTTAGGGGTCCTTCTATTACAGGTTTTACGGTTTTCAGAATTTATCACGCTGTTCCTTCATGCTGGTCACTACCTTCAAAATTTCCAACAGTCTCAATTCATGACTGTAGATTGCCCTTTTTAGAATAATCCACTTTTTCATCATATTTGAATTCCGAAATTTCGATGGAATCACACTTTTTCTCCGTCATCGACAGCATTGGTATTCATTCGGCCGCAGCTTGTCCTTCTATGATATACTGTCATTCATATGTTCCTCTCTATCTCATCGTTTTGTTCCATCCCACTCACAGCTACTGAAGAAGATCCCTATCGTGGGCACATCTTCGCCGCCTCCCCCGTTCGGATTCGGTTATCGCATCTGCGTGTGTCTTCGCCTCAAAACAACCGCGAAACACCCATCATCCGAATGGCGGCGTTCAGAATCTCATCAGAATGTCCTTTTCAGTTATGGATTTGGATCTTCACTCTAGAGTTATGAAATTAGAGTAGAACCATCTGAACTTAATCTCAACACTGATAATAACACCTTAATGTTTTAATGGTGTGGAACTATCAGGAAAATTGGGGGTTTAGTCTAAATTTGCACAACGCCATTCCAAAGATAACCAAGTTTTGTTTATTCTAATTTGAAAAAAACAGTCTATTGTATTGTATACATCCATTTTGAGCTGAATTATTTCAATTTCTATAAGAGATATCAAAATTTCATCAACTGATAAAATACTGATAATTTAACGAGAAAAACTTTATCAGTTGACAACTTTTTGATATCTTCTGAGGGAACCGAGATAAATAAGGTGAAGTGGCTTCTATTAGAAAATTAACGATAACGTTTTTAAATATTATATTCCAGAGTTTTTGTCTTATGTAATGAGGATGACGAGTTAATACAGCTTGAAGATTTTGTTTGAGTGTTACCAACACTTGTTCAAATTTCGGTATCATTGAAGAGATTTCATATGATACATAAACTACCGTAAACATTCTAACAGAGTGAGTACCCATATATCTCATTCCCTGAAAAAGATATCAAAAAGTGATCAATCGACAAAATATTGTTGATATTACTAAGAAAAGTATATTAGTTTCATAAAAAGAACATTATTTCAAGAGATTAGAGCTGAGAACCCTAATTTTAAGTCAAAATCCGAAAGATCGGAAGCTAGTGTTCTACGTACAAGCTACCGAATCCATGAGGTTCAGTCGCTCCTATATCTTTGAATAATGAATATAGCACTTTCAATGGAAGAAACTCAGTTTCTATACTCGAATCATTTCTATTGAGAAAATATCCGAGTACTTATGCTACCGTAACCCATACACTGATTCTGAGTCTTTTGAATCCATTATCCTTCTTTTGACCCATCTTCATCCGAGACACGTGTCATCCATCTGAATGACCTCTCAATTTTTCAAAAAAAAGTTCTTCTAATCTCCGAAAACCGCAATTTTCACTCTTTCTTTGCCCCGCCGCTCCATGACCCCGTCTCATCTCCTTTCACCTTCATTTCCCCCACTCACCCCCTCCTTCACTTTTCATTTTCCCTCATTTTTTGCGGTCCTCCATCTTCTTCCCCATACCTCCCCTCCAGCCATGTTTCCACCCTTTCCATTTTCATTTTCTCAATCGCTTTCAGTACCTGTCCTTTATCTTCTCGTCCCATCTACCGCCCGCCAACACCTTTCCAGCCGCACACTTCGCCCCATGATTTGAAATAAAGAGGAGACGAAGAGGATGTTTTGAAGCTTCAATTCCCCAATTTTTTATCACTACTTCCCTTCCTCGAATTCGCAACTCTCATCCTTTGGCTCCACCCATTTCGTTTCTCTTCGAATATAAAACAATTCTGCACCTTTCCCACCTTTTACTCCTAAACCACACTTCCGCTTTATCAGTTTCCAAATGGTGCCCCGATGCATCTGTTTATCAACATATTTCTTGCGGTTGCACGAGTCTCTATGTTTTGACACTTTTTCTTTTCATGTTCATTTTTTGAAACGCTTCAGAATTGCCGCTTCAGATGACCAACGTCTTCAGTCATGTTCGAAGTTTTCTGGAGCAACAGCCAGCGCCAGCGAAGACTTTAGAGGTTGGTACAGTTATTAGTTGCTCTGGAGCATAAAAAGACAGAGAAGAGTAGTATAATATGCTTTGACAGCTTTACAGTGTGGCGCACAATTACCCGGATTGATAAAAACGGGTATATCTGTAGACATAAGTATCTTGGAAACACGAATATTGGTAGAAATATAGTTTTAAATTGAATTCAAAGCTACTGAAATTTTCAAAATGATTCTTCAAGTCTAGGTATTGTTACGATTACCCAAAGATGAACGGCGCAGTGATTTCGCAGTGAGTGATAGTCAAGCGATAACTCAACTCAAATCTGATCAAACAATTTGAAAATTGACCAGTGTACTGATGAATTACTCGATATTTTGCAGTCCAAATTTGAGCACAGTACAACGCCCCACTCAAATTTTATGTTCGTACAAACTTTAGTCCGGACCACCACCAGTAGTTCGGTTATTTAGAAGTGAAATAGCGATTCTTCCGGAATTTTTAAAATTTAGTTCCAAATTCATGTAATATTAAACTTAAAATGTTAGAGTTGTTTGCTGAACATTCGCCGAATCATTCGTTAACACTCTCCCCCCCCCCCTTTTTCTGCTCTGCGGTTTATATTCCTCTTATCAGAAGTTTGGTTTACTGTATCTATTTGGTTAAGAGCTGGAAGGGAAGTGATTTCTTAACAAACAGAATGATTTTGAGAAAAAAAGGAAAATGTTTATGAAATTTATTGTACTCAAATTCTCTGAAAGCGAGCAATACGAGTTTCGAAAGTTTGGCAGGGTCGCTGTAAACACTTTACTATCACCCAAACCGCCAACTTTTAGAATATGTATCTCATTTCCTGTAAAAGATATGAAAAAGTCAAAAGCTGACAAAATGTTTTTGATATTATGGCAAAAATTTTATCAGTTGACCACTTTTAAAGGAGGCGTCCGCTAATTCCAAAATTTTTGAGATTTTTATATCAATCGATCCAGAATTTTGGGTCGGGAAGAAAACTCTCTTGGATGATAGTCCTAAAATCACTTGTTCTTAAGATATATGCCAAAAACAGGTCAAAAAATCAACGTAGAGAGTGCAGATTAGGGAGAATAATAGGGAAAATAATTCACGTTTTAATTCATTTCTTTGCGTGCACCCTCAAGGATTCTGCCTCTTGTCGAGCTCCCTAATCTGCACCCTCTACGTTGATTTTTTTTGACCTGTTTTTGACATATATCTTAAGAACGAGGGATTTTCAGACTATCCTCCAACAGAGTTTTCTTCCAGGCCCAAAATTCTGGACCGATTGATATAAAAATCTCAAAAATTTTGGAAATAGCGGACGCCCCCTTTAAAAATCTTCCTCAGCAAAAAAGATATGTGAGCTCAAAGGTGACGGTTTGGATGGCATTCTATTAGAGTGTTATGGCTAATTCAGCACATTGTTTATACAAGCAGAATGTCTTGTATGGATAAAATTCTGCACAATATATCAACTAAAAGATCCCTCAAGTTTTCTAAATTTTCGAAAGTACTTAAACCATTTCTGGGATCCTAAAATGCCTCCTTTAATTTTTTACTAAAACCGGCAAATAGGGATCTCTGATAACAATACAGAAAAACAATCCTCTTGGAATAATCCATATTTCCAGAAGTCATCCTCTCCAAACATCCTCTACACAGCTCTTCCAAAGCATTGGAGATCCAACAAATCCTTTCAAGAACCATTTTATGTTGTCCTTTTGACACCTGTTCCTGATAACACAGAAGGTACGCTTCGAAATTTTCCCTATCTTTCATTCCCATTTGTTCCAGTATCTATTTGGGCTGGCAACGATGAAAAACCCTGTGAAGAGGTTCGAAACGAAAAAGCAAAAGTACATCGACAGGTGGCCAAATTCAACGATTTGCGGTTTGTCGGGCGGTCCGGTCGAGGTGAGTCTGAACGGAATCGAAGACGGGGGTAAACCCTGTGAAAAAAGTCCTCGCGGGACAAAAAGAGTGACTGAAAAAAACGGGTTTTCTTTATTTTGGAATGACCGCTGTCTATTTATTGGGTAAAAGTGAAGCAGCAGTCAATGTTTCTTTTTTCTCTTTCGGTGTTTTAGAGGAGTACTGTCAGTATGGCAATTGGTAGTTGAGAAGTTGAAAGGGAGGGAAATAGTTGAAGGTAATAGGGGTAGAAATGGCTGGAATATGAGTGGAAGTCAAAACAAAGACAATGAAAACTGATGCGAGGGAGTCGAATATTAGTCGTTATTTTCAGAACGCCTTGTGATTCATATTTAAAATCGTTCTGTTCCTCATTCCCAAGTGTAAATGTGAAGTTTGAGACAACCTTTTTGTCCTGAAAGAAATACATTAAATAGTTTCTAATGAAACAGAATAATCGAGAAGCTAGATCAATTGGAATGTATACCGTAAGCACTCTGATAGTCTTCCCCAAACCGTCAACTTTGAGCCAGTATATCTCATTTCCTGTTAAAGATTAAAGGAAGTAGTCAGCTGACGAAATGTTTATCACAATATCAAAAATATTTGGTCAGTTAACAACTTTTTTATATCATTCCCAGGAAATAAGATATATGGACTCAAAGTTGACAGTTAGAGTCGATTAAAGTGTTTACAGTATATTTTTACCCCTTTCCACTTTAAGAATTTCAGAATTTAGGATTTTAGAATCTTTTTCAGTTTTCCATGTTTCCAACCCTGTAATTTTAAAATTTCGGAATTTCAGAATTTCGGAATTTCAGAATTTCAGAATTTCAGAATTTTAGAATTTAAAAATTTTAGAATTTCAAGATTTCAGAGGTTTAGATTTTTATTTTTTTTTTTTGGATTTCGGAATTTCTTGACTTTTTTGGATTTCCGGAATTTTCTGAAATTTTTCAACATTTGGAATTTTTATGGAGTGTTTGAATATTTTGGACTTTTTGAAAATTTGAATTTCTGGAATTCTTTGGAAACTTTTGGATTTAAGGATTTCAGAATATCGGAATTTCAGAATTTAGGATATTAGAATCTTTTTCAGTTTTCCATGTTTCCGACCCAGTTATTTTTTTCAAGAAATCGAAAACTATTTTCTAGTGTATCCGTATTGGTATCGTTCTGAATACAAAAACACTTCCTTTCTATTATCAGGCTTCCTTGTTTCCACCTAATCATCAGTGTTCACGTGCTTCTCATTTTGACTCATCTCTCTGTCCGCATACCTAAATTTTAGAAGATTCCTAAAAAGTACCGATAAGCTTTTGTTCCTTCCGCCACCCACACCTTGACCCAATTGCTTCTCCTTCACCGAACATTTCCTATGAGATGGCGACACATAAAAAAAAACGAGAGGGGAACCGAATGTAAAAGATATATAAAAGTAGCAGGAAGATACTCAATGGAATTGGGTCCGTCTGACCGGAGCCGTGTTTTATTTTCCGGAACAATTCCCCCTTTGTATCCTCTCTTTCTGCGTGACGATTGTCGTCGTCGGAACATAAAGATGCGCGACAAATGCCCGCATTTTATGAGACTCTGTGAAGGTGGCGGCGAAAAGACATGAGATTTCCGGCGGCTCCTCATAAAACAATGCACATTTCATATTTCTTTTTTCTTCTTCTTGCAGGCCGAAAATTCCATTTGACAATCGTTATACACTCGTCACCGATGATGGTGGCCACCGTCAAAAATGTGATCAAGGTAAGTGGGAATTGGGTTTCGAAGAATCTTGGGGGTTGGGGAAAGAAAAGAAGCAGAAAGGTTGGAATACGGTAGGTGCCTTACCTTTTCAAGAACTCTTTCAACAACTCCATTTTACTAATTTCATTAAACTATTCCTATTATTCTTAAGGATACTTATAGTTAGAAACTCAGAAAGTATTATGCAAATCAGTCAGTTCTCTTTTTTTTACAAACATGTACCACAAATTATTTTCCCATGTGAGGTCCTCCCCTTCCTGCCTACAGTAGTCTTTTACTACTCTTATCTGATTAACCACATCAACGATGTGTCATCAGTTGCCTTCTTTTATGGCAAAAAAATACCTTCGTCATTTGTTTTGAAGATTGCAAATGCAAATTTTACCAAACTTTTTATCAAACATGGGAGCCAAAAACTAATGATATCATTTTCAGGTTACTGTAGACGGACCAAGGGATGCGAGAATTCCAAAACCATCGGGGTGTACTAAACGACAAGAACAACAACAGACACCCACAATTTTCCCATGTGATATTCTTCAGTCCTCGACTCCATCAGTAAGAGATTGTAATCCTTAATTGAACTTTTATTATTATTTCAGATGCCAATGATTCCTCCGCCTTGGTGGACTCTTGCACCAAATCTACCGTAAGAATACAATAATTTTCAACCGAAACTGTCGAACAAAAACTTTCAGACCGCTCACTCTCCCGTTAATGACTCCAGGAGTACCGTCAATTTCAGCAGCTCTTTGGAAATTGCACAACGATTCAATGAGAACTCCAATTAAGAGAAAACATGAGCAAGAAAATTGTATGTGATAAACCTTGAAAAAAAAACCCTAGATATCGCTGTTTTCTAGTTTCACTAAACACCTCCACTTGTATATCTTCGCCTTCTGTGTTCATCACTCCAAGCTCCCATGATCGAACACGAGATTCAATGTCACCGCCTCAATCCAATAAACCATCGTCTGCATCTATCAATCTGATTCAAGAAACACCAGAAACTGTTCCTTCAAAACGTCGCAGGAATATGTCCACAACGTCTTCTTGTAGCTCTTCACCGACTATATGGAGACCTTTCTAAATCTGAACTCTCATTTACCACCTCAGTTGCTCCTAAATACCTCTTTAGTTTTGTTACTTTTTACACGGGTTCCCTACGGTTTGCTTTTAACATAAAATTTTCCAAATGCATTATGTTATTCGTGAAAAGTTGAATGCAATTTGAAAAGTCGAGAAAAAATTACGGACAGTTGCAATAAGGGGCTTACATAAAATCTAAACTTCGGAGAACTAGATGGTGGGGGACGACTATTACGATAAAAATGATTAAAAAAAGATAAAACATTACCTTACATTCTGTTTGCTTACATCAAACGGGTAAAACGTATTGAGGATAGACTACAGAAGGGGACAACCAGATTTGTGCACAGAGTTGGGGGAAATGGGATAGGAGCCTTGAAAATATTGCAAAATTGTATAGAGATATTACATGAGAACTTGGGCGCGAATTAAATTTCTATGGGAGTGAGGGAACATGTTATCAGATACTTTGGGGGCGATATAATGTTAGAGCAAACAACAAAACAGTTCGTAGCGATAGATATCACTGGAGACTTACAAGCAGTTAGAAACAAAACAGAGTACTACGAAAGGTGATAACAAAAAAGATAAACTTACAGTACTAGAAAACATGATTTTACAGATTAAATATAATTCACATGAGAAGGGAAATAGGTTGTCTACTTATTACTATTGGTAATTAGGGATATGTGGAACATGTATCGGAGAGAGTTTGGATCCATTAGTCGATCCATCGTATGCCACTTGTGGTGGCATGTAGCCATAATACAGGTTAGCGCCATAGTACTGCTGAGGGGACTGAGAGATGTTGCTTGAAGAATGATTCGGAGAACCGTAGTAATTAGAATTTGGTGTGAGGAAAGCTGCAGAGTTGGTGAAGAATGCAGGAACAGGGGTTTCGGAACAAGTGGCACCTAAATTTGTGTTGGAGTTATTAGTCTTTTTGTTCACTTTCCAACTTACTTTTTTGAGGAGTCATCATCGAACTAGGGTTGAAGAAAATGGCCGGATTCTGAAACTCCGTGAAACTTCTTCTTTTCGCGTTTGATTCATTTGATGGCGGCGTCATTGGTGTCTCATACACGGCAGGAGTAAGCATCATTTGTTGATTGTTTTGGATGTAACCATAAAGCGCAGATAGCGTTTGAGATGGACCGCCTACTATCATTGGGAACCCTGAAATTTACATTTTGAATACCGTATTCCTTTGAATTAAACAAGAAACCTGGAGACAAGACGTGGGACAGTTGATTGTTGGTCGAACAGCCATGACTTTTAGATAGAGAGTTGCTTGTTAAGTGTGGTCGACGATGGGGCCCTGCATAGGCTTTAGAAGCGGAGGACGGTACGATAACTGGGACGTGGACATCATCAGCATTGTCTTTTCCATGATCAATCGCCCAACAAGTGTGACAGTAGTATTTGAAACAGTTACGATTTCGACAGAAACATTGAGCAGATTCTGTAGTGCACACCATACAACTTGTGCTTTCAAGAAACGGGTCGATCTGAACACGTTTTCGGAACTTGCTGGTGTGTACATGAAGGTATCCCATCTCTATCGCTTTGAAATAGGCCCCATGTTCGCGGAAAGTTACACGGCCACTACCAATCGGATATTTGAACTTATCCGTATCCAATTGAACGCACTCGACGCTTCCGAAGCAGTCCTCCATTATCCAATGGAGAACTTGGGCTGTCATCATCCCGTGAAGAGCGCCGACAAAGACGGTTCGTTTTGGTTCTATCCCAGTTTCTAATAGAGACTCATCTTCGCAAAACATCGAATCGGATGTTACCCACGGTATGATTTGCACCTGGAAAGATTTTTGATCAACACAATCATTCAGGTATAAACTACTTGACGAATTTCAGTTGACTTTGATCGCTGGGCTCTAATCTTGAAGTACCATTCACCGGCGCCCCCGATTTCTTGTGAACACTCATGAAGCAGCGAAGCGACAGCACGCTCGTCCTCAAATATCATGTAGACATAGCCAGTTGCAGCTTGTCCAGCGTACTGAAAACCAACATTCATGGATACTATTTCAAAATAAAACTCACCTTGGATTGGTTCCTTAGGTTGGTCAGCGGAGCGATATTCGATTGCCCGCTACGATAACGAGCTTCCTGTCCTGGCCATTCCACGGCACAGGATCCAAACTCACCAAACGAATCTTTCAGTGCAGCTTCAGTAATGTCCCATGGAACTCCACCGACAAAGATTTTTCGCGAGAATGTGGGACTGGTATAATCTCTAGGTGGGAGCTCTCCATGCCAGGATCCGTTTGACAAATTATCCCGATTCGATAATCCTTGACGAGAGAATGTTCTTTTCTTACTTGGCGACTCTTCATTCATCGAAGTGAAATGATTACGGGTTGGCACTGGTGGAATCGGAGAGGAACTCGACGAATTCGAGCTAATTTTAGCTGGCGAATCTGTTGGAGTCTCCAATGATCCTCGTGGACCTTGGTAACGGTAAGGTTTGTTGATAGGAATCGGGGCACCTTTTGCAGACTGTTGACTAGTCATAGCAGGCAAGACTCGGTTCTTGACGACCTCCGGTTCTGGCTTCTGTTCTTCCTTACCAAAGAGTAATCGCCTGGCAGACTTCTTCTTTGGAAGACTACTCGGTCTGTCTGAATCAGATAGCTTCTTCGTCGATCTACCGAAAAAGTTGAAACGGCTTGGGGGTTCATCAACAGATATTTTCTCAGTTGGTTTTCTTGATGGGGCAAACTTCTTCAACAAACGTCCCGCAGAAGATGGTGTCGATTCACCAACTACTTTGACCGACTTCCTGCTACTAACAGTCAACATTTGCAGCTTTCTGAGGAAACCATTCTTTTCATCGGAAGACAGTTGATCGAATCCAACGTTCATGTCATCTCCATTACTGTTTGTTACAATATCTGGCTTTTTATATTTCTTGAACAGGTCGTAAACTGTAGCAGGCGTTGGGGATTTCTGAAAACGAATCACATAATCAATTTTACTCTGCACACATGATCCAACCTCTCCAACAACTTCGACATGTTCTAATTTCAATGTTGGAGGTTTTTTTTTGTTTTCGAAACCATCTCTCTCGACGATGTCAGAAGCTTCTTTGACCAATTGCTCAGTAGTGCCACCTTCTTCCGGGGAAGCGCAGTTCCGATTCATTTGTAGTAAGTAAGTGCTATATACACAGGCACTGCCTGTAAAGTCTGTAAATATGGCTTGGTAGTAGAAACGGTTCAACATATAACAGAGAAAAAAGCATAAATACACGACGGTAATAAGGGAACAACGGCAGAGAAATGATGTCTGAATCATGAAGTGAGAGACCATGTGATAACATAATTATTCGAAAAACACAATAGGAATATATTGTCATGCCAAGAGTGCCTTGTTTAAAGTTGTGTATTAAAATACTGTATTCTAGAAATATCAAATTTTTCCATACTTTTGAAATTCCGGGCAGGCCCACCAAAGCCGGGGCCTGAGGAAATTTTCAAGGGCCGGTAGCAAAATTTTGTCATTTTGAGCCAAATTTTGAGCTCTCAATACAATTTTCTTCATTTTTTTTGTTTTTGGATTGTTTGTCTGTTTGATCAAAAAATAAATTTTAAAAAACTCGAAAAAAATCACATAAGGGTCCCCCCTTATTGTCGAATTAAAAAAAGTGGGACCTGAAAATTTGAAAGGCGTAGTTTTTTTTTCGATCTACGAAAAAGTGCGGCAAAAACGGAATATTTCATATTTTCTCCTCGTTCGAGCTACTTTCGCAATTAAGTTCGGTTTTTTCGATGAAAAACAGATTCTAGAGATGCTAGCGATCATTTTCATATCAAGAAATCTAAATTTTGTCCAGAAATCTTACTAAATTCACAGAAATAAGTTTCGTTTATAACCGTAGTGTTTCTGGGGCAAGGCCTCGAAAATTGACCGGGAAGCCGCCCGCGAAATTTTCCAGGTCCTACTTTTTTTAATTCGACAATATGTGTTTTTTGAAATTTTCAAAACTTGTGGAATGACAGGCCCGCCGGGCCGGGCCTCCGAAACTCGGGAAAAAGCCCGGCCCGGCCCTTACAAGTATGAATACATGTAAAAACTGCATGTAAAAACTGTATTTCCCACAATTCTCCGACAAGAAACCTAAATTTGAAAGAAAATTCGATAAAGTTCGAGCTTTCAAAAATTAATTTCGAATGTTTTTCGTGTATGCACAGAAAACACAGAAGACGACGACATCTCGCAGACACATGTTCTACAGTAATCCTCGATCTTCTGCATTCCGCGAACTTTGCATCTTTATTTCAGCGATCTTTGAGGAAACATTCCTTCCATATCTGTGGTTGGCTGAGTTCCGAAAATCGGCAGGGGCGCCGTATTCAAGATTCTCAGGTTCCAGTTCAATAATTTTTGAACGAGTTTCGAAACAATGTTTATCTAGAAACTTTTGTTTTATTGACTTTTTTCTATTAAGTGCGGTTTTTTGTTGAAAAATAGATTCTAGAGATGCTAACGATCATTTTCATACCAAGAAATCTAAATTTTGTCTGGAAAATCCTACTAAATTCACAGAAATAATTTTCGTTTACTACCGTAGTGTTTTTGGGGCAAGGCCTCGAAAATTGACCGGGAAGCCGCCCGCGAAATTTTCCAGGTCCCACTTTTTTTTAATTCGACAATAACCAAGATTATTTTTTTTCTCTTATTTTGAATGCTCGTTTTTCCCGCATTCACCCGTCACATGGAAACACTGCAAAAAATCAGAGTGCGCGAGACACACATTCAAAACATTTTGGCGCCAAACTCTTCCTCACAGTTTTTGGACGACGGATGACATGAATTCATTTATTCCGATATCTATCCTTGATTCTGTTTTGAAAAACGTTATTCTTATTCATCAATCAATTCCGAACCTTAGAAATTTTTTTCAGCATGAGCAGCTTGGAATTCACCGGCATTTTCACAGAAAACGGAGGTGTCTTGACACCAGGAACCCTAAAAGTCGAAGATACTTCAGCGATCTTCAAAAGTGACAAGGCAGGAAAAACTATCAAGCTCTCACCAGGCGATATCAAGGATATTAGATGGCAAAAGCTGGGAAACCGACCTGGTATTCGTTTCGGACTTAAAGATGGAGGTTCTCATCGTTTCGGAGGTTTTAAAGAAGCGGTAATTAATTCAGAAATAATTTTGATTTGCATGTTTCTTATCTTAGGACTTCGGCAAAATTTTGGTGGTAACCGAATCTTCCTGGGGACTAGGGATCGAAAAAACTAATCTTGTGATCAAAGGATGGAATTATGGAAATGTACAAGTGAAAGGAAAGAACGTCGAGTTCTCTTGGGAAAACAATCCTATTTTTGAAATCCCATGTACGAATGTTTCGCAGTGCGTCGCTAACAAAAATGAAGCCGTTCTGGAGTTCCATCAACACGAAAATAATCCGATTTCTTTGATGGAGATGAGATTCCACATGCCTGTTGATCCTGAAAACGAAGACGACATTGATCGAGTGGAAGAGTTCAAGCAAGCCGTCCTCGCATATGCAGGTCTCGAGGCTGAGACTGAACAACCGATCACACTTCTCTCCGATATCCTGTGCACAACGCCACGTGGACGTTATGATATCAAGGTCTATCCGACGAGCATTGCCTTGCACGGAAAAACATACGACTACAAGATTCCAGTCAAAACTATTACTCGACTCTTCCTGGTTCCTCACAAAGATGGACGACATGTGTATTTTGTGCTTGCTTTGAATCCTCCTATTCGTCAAGGACAAACTCGCTACACTTATCTCGTTTTCGAGTTTGTCAAGGATGATGATCAAGAAATGGAGATCGCATTAACAGAGTTTGTTGGTTCTCAATTGAAAGTTCATTATTTTCAAATTTCAGCGACCTCAAAGAAAAATATGGGGGACAACTCAAGAGTGAAATGGATGGTCCCTTGTATGAGAATGTTTCAATTTTATTCAAGGTGGTTTGCAATCTCAAAGTCACCGTTCCCGGAAGATTCATTGGCAGTAGTGGAACTCCAGCCATTCAATGTTCTCATAAGCAGAATCCTGGACTTTTGTATCCACTGGAAAAGGGATTCTTATTCATTCATAAACCAGTTATGTACATCCGACTTGAAGAAATCAGCTCCTGCCATTTTGCTCGATCCGATGCCGGTACTGTTACGCGTACCTTTGATTTCGAAATCGACATGAAGTCGGGACAATCAGTGATGTTCAACGCTATGGAAAAGGAAGAAAATCACAAATTGTTTGACTATTTGAACAAAAAGGAAATCAAAATTCGCAACTCTCAGCGTCTGGAGAAGAACCAACATGTGGATAGCAGCGATGACGAGATCGATCCATACACAAACACTGTTAAAGCTGAAGGACGTGGAAGAGAAGAAAGTGATGATGATGAGAGTACCGATGAGGATTACGATTTGGACAAGGATATCAAGAACCAGAAGAAAGACCGTGATTCGTCTGAAGGATCTGGAAGTGAGCCAGACGACGAATACGACTCTGGATCCGAGAAAGACTCCAGTGGAACTGGTGAATCGGAGCCAGACGATGAAAATGTTCGCCCTAAGAAGAAAAGTGAAGTCAACTCTGAGAAAAAATCGAAGAAGGAAAAACCAGAAAAGGTAGGAAAGAAAAGAAAAGGGAAGAAAGAGAAGGATCCGAATGAGCCGAAACGTGCGGCTACTGCTTATTTCCTTTGGTTCAATGCTAATCGGGCGTCTTTGAAAGAAGATGGTGATACTGTTCCTGAGGTTGCCAAAAAGGGAGGAGCCAAGTGGAAGGAAATGAGCGCTGACGATAAGAAGGTATAAAGAAGTTTAAAATCTGTAAAGTCCGATTTCTAATTTCAGGAATGGGAGCAAAAGGCAGCACAGGATAAGATTCGCTATGAAAACGAGATGAAAGAATACAAGAAAAATGGCGGTGGCTCATCTTCTGTGACGTCTAATCCTCCGAAAAAGGGAACATCCTCTCCATCGAAGTACAAGTCTAAGGAGCACATCAGTGATTCTGACGACTCCGATGATGACGAACCACCGAAACAAAAGAAGTCATCCAAAGAAGCAACACCAACCGATGAATCGGACATGGCTAGCGATAATTCTGATTAATCTCTTTGATTCCTTTTATTTTCTTTCGTCAATTCTCATAAGCCGGTAATTTTGGTCCCTATTTTCCTCCTGTCCGTTTATGATACTCACATCCCCTACAATTTTCATAAGGTCTTTTTTATCTTTTATGCTGGCTGGAACTCTCACAAGAGATATTTGTAAAATGAATTTATTGGTGATGAATTTTTGTTACAACTTTTAGAAATGGGTGACGTTAGAAAAAATCGAAGATGAGTAACAGTGGCATCAATGAGGTGTTTTGAAAGGTAATTAATTAATTAAGACAAGTAAAGGGAATAGGAACAGAAAGAAATTAGCTCAGGGGTTCTATTCATTAGCGTTGCTAAGAGCATTTTCAAGGGTTCGCCCGTTTCTTTCAAGATGGGATATAGCTCTCTCCTGCCTCGACTCTTTGTACTGTGTCCGCGGCAGCACTTGGATTGAAACGTTTTGGGTTAGATAAACTCGAACTGGAGCTAATCCATGCGATGTTGGTATTGGCATTTCCATCAAATCCTCATCCAGAGCAGTGTCAATTTGTTTCACTATATGCTTTATACGTTCCAGAAACTCAATATTGTAGTATTTGATGACATCGACTGTTGTTTTGGACTTTGGTGGCGCTTCAAGACGTTCCGAAATGGTTTCCTTCAAGTTGACTGGGACAGGATTGTCTTCATCCACCTGATCACGGAATACAGAAACATTGCGATAGACATACATGGCACTGCTCGACTGTCTCCGATACTGCCCCATGATTTCGTGGAAAGTAATCGAGGAACCGTGCATTCTCATTATAACAAAAACGCAGCATAGAATTATTTGATCAAGGTGGCGATCCATGAATATAAGAGTGTCATTGCGTAAAAGATAGTCGAAGACGGACCAGCATTGTGATTTGGGACGTGTAGCCATCGCTATACGATCTGTTAACTCCTGAAGTCTTCGAGCAGCTGTGAAGTATGTCTGAAAAAAAAACATTACTGAGACAATAAATAAAGTTGAGAACTCACTCTTTTCAGGAAAATTCGGAGAGTTCTGGAAGTTTGATTTTGGGGAACAATCGGGCGTCCAAGCTCGTCTCGTAGTTCATCGGACGACTTTTTTAATGGAGTGAACTTCATGGGTGAATAGGTATTCACTAAAAACAGTTATGATCATCTGCTCAAAATAATAGTTCAACAAACATTTATCTGCCCAGTCTTCTCCGAATTCCTGGAAGTTTGCGAATGGGCATCGAACTACCATTTGCCACAGCGGGCTATCACTCTTCCATGCATAGTATTCGATCACATTCTCTTCTATTCGACTGAAGTGTTGAACCATTTGCCGACTGAGACGCTTCTCATGACTTATCATTAGGTCGATAACTTTGTGGAACATAAATGGATGACAATTGCATACATCAGCACTCCATGGAAAGGGTCGATCGTAACCATTGGAAAATAGAACAAGCTCAACGCAGAAGCAGAAAACCGAATTGAGAAACTCTTCACGGCGGACAACATTCTGAAAATAATTTTTAGAAAAGAGACAATTTATCGCACAAAACATACCACAAGGTCTTCTTCGCGAACTTTTTTCGCCACCTCCGCTACAATTATTTTTTCCATAAAAATCAAAAACACCTTCTCCAACTCTTTTCGAAGATCAAGATGGAAATTAGTCATGAATGTCATTTGAGATGATTCTCCGCGTTCCTCAAACAATGTCCGCTCGAATTCAGATGTTAGCTCATCGGATTTCAACAGAATTGTTGCCATCGGACTGTCAGACATTCGTTCGCACATTCTGAAAAAATATAGTTTCTTGAAAGCAGACGAAAACAAAATCTTACTCTTTGAGTTTCGATCTTTCCAGCTTCCAGCCACCAATTATTCTAACAAGTCGTTCGTGTGCCTGATTGGATACATCGTCTTCTGGATATTGTCCCAACTCTAGATTGTACTCTACACACGGCACTTTCGGTTTTTCTCGTCCTTGGGACAGCTTCTCCAGGCCCGCTTTACCATGTGATAACTTCTCCAGACATTGGTTGTTCGAGATGGTATTCAAAAATTCGGCATCCACAAACAACCTTCCCGTATGTGAGATTTTCAAAACATTGGCTGCTACAAATTGATCTTTGAATACCATGGAAAAGTCTTCTGGAGAGGGAATAAAGACTCTTTCATCGATACTTCCGCGTTGCAAGAGATAACTGACATAGGCATCTTTCGGTGCGTTTCTGGAATAATATGGAGATTCAGAAAAAAAAAATGAAAAAAGAGCTTACAAGATCTCGTCTCGGAACTCTGCAAAATCCCACGAAGTAGGCAATCCCGTCTTGTCCATTTTCTTATATGTATGTTGGTAGAAATGTCTCGTGTCTAGAACGCTACCACCGAAATTTGTACACAGAGCCCGAAGAATAGTACAGTCCTTATCGATAAGATTTCCAACGAATTCCTGATTGAGATGGTAGACGATTCCATCTTGAAGTGAGCTCATTTCTGTGTAGAGATGATCTATCATAGAGAAAAGAAGCTGGTAGTTATTAATCAAGTCGTCTGTAGGTAATCGGCTTTTCATCACAAGAAAATAAGTCCATAGGATCGTGAACAGCTCATAAGACGAGGGACAGTTGTGAGTGCTCTCTTTGACCTCTTCGAAGATTCCGTTGAACACTCTACAGAACTTTTTGAAAATCACACAAGTCACAGCGAGTCCTTCCTGTAGCCTTCGAATGTATTCCAAATACCGACGCATCTTCCTCGAATGAATGATTTCCGCAAACCGGGTCGTCTTGTCAATAAGCTCCGCAACGGAAACATCGAAAGTATTAGCAATAGTGAGTATCGATATTGGGAATGGTTGAGTGAGAAGTCGGCTCGCTTTTCCACGACGTTTTATACCTTTCGAGAGCAGATAGTAGTAGATAGCCGAGAGCTGCCATGCCGCCTCCGAACCCTGAAAACACTTTTTCTATCGTTAATAACATTTCTTGCTAGATTTGGAATTTGACACAAAAAAACTTCCTAGATAACTATACTCTATAGGTTCTTAGCATCAATTACGAGGATCTCGTAACGAGATACATAGTCGTAATTGTCATTTTATCACTCCACTTACCTCAAGGGATACTCGTTGAACTGCATGATAATATATTTCCCATGAAGCTACAGTAATTTCACTTGGAAGATTTGCTTTGGTACAGCATTCCAAAAAGGAATCAGAAGGTTCCGGTGTCTGAAACAAGTAGTTTAAAATTATAATAATTCACTTTGAATTCCGAATCGAATTTCAATTTCCAAACTCACATTAGTCTTGTCAATCACACTGTCAGCATCATCTTCATCTTCTTCATCGTCTTCCAGCACAGCTATAGGTGATTGAGAGTTTCCATCTTCTTCCTCTTCGTCCTCCTCTCCTTCTTCTCGGTTATCAGACTCCAACTTGATATTCGCTGGATTCAAAGCCGCATTAGGTTCAGGATTACTCTCGTTGAGTTCTGAAAAATGACTGTAATCAACATAACCATAACCTATCAATTCACCCGCGTTTTCATTATCTTATTGATAAGATTACTTGTGCTTCTTGCCTTCTCTTTTTCAATAATGTTGAACATATTTTCCCCCCTATCACTTTTTTGTTGTTAAAAATATTTACTTGAATTCAATTGAAATCGGATATCTCATAACTCAGAAAAAGAGAAAGGAATTGCGAGCAACGGTGTTGCTCGCCGTTTGACCGACTCTACATATATAGCATGTATTATTGTGTCGAATTGGTTTCCAATATACTACCGCACATCCCCTTTTCGTATTCGGAAAGCATTCTTATTTTTCGGCTTTCATGATTAACTACACCCCGATTTTTCAAAAAGAACATAGTGCCAGTTTAATCTTTGAAAGGTCAACCCCATATGTTTCGAGTCGAGATTCACTCTTTCTGCCCTTCCAGCTGATTTCACACTCGTCCTCCATCTGCTTATTTCTCCAGTTGCTTCTTCAATATTTGCACAGCATACGTACTATCACAGTGTCAACCATATCAGTCGTGTGTCGTTTCCCTCTCTCCTTTTCTTCTCATTTGTCCTCTGTAGGGGTTTCGTGTTGGCACTTTGATCATGCAAGAAAAAATATATATTGATTCTAGGAATAAGCATGACAGTCACTTCTCCTCAAACGGGATCCACTCAACAACCGAGAATAGAAGCACAGCATGTATCACATCGGTTAGTTGTTGAGCCGGAACCGCGGGTTTTATGTGGACTACCGGTTGGGGTAAGTGAATACTTTTACTCTTATTTCGAAACTAGATTCATATTTTTTCAGGGTGCTGTAGGAATTCTTGGATCCATTCTGATGATATGTCAAATCTTTGGACTTTTCTATCTGTCACCATTCTTGCTCTACTTTTTCGAAATTTCCATAGGTAGCGCAATGATGTTCATATTATCAACAGGAGCCAAACATAGAAAAATTGCCTACATCACTGCATATATGCTGTATATTGTGAGTTCAAGCCTCAAGATTACCAAACGAGGAAACTTCATATTTCAGTCAATGTATACGTTCTGGGTATTTTTCTTGATCTTAGGGGCAATTTTGGCGACTATTTATCTTGTGGATAATAACAGTAACATTTGCAATCCAGGTGATTTCTTACTATATAGGTAAGTTGTTTTTTATTATGTGTTTGATTTTCAGATCATATTGAAAACCCAACCACTCAAAAAGGATGTATCACACAAAAGTTCACGACTGGTGACGTTGAGATGGTGGTGATTTCGTGTTTCTTCCTCACCGTGAGTATCATCGTCGCACTAATTCAAATGCGATACCTCATGATTCTTTACAACTTTCTGAGAAGAAACGCCCACAGACTGTAAGTTACTCAAATTTATGGAAAGATAGCAAAACGATTTATTTTTGCAGACCAACCCACCAAGCTAACAACTACAACGTTCAATATATCGTGCCTACCCCAATCAGCCCGAATGGAATGCCTCCTCCGCCTAGATACACTGCATATGCCCCACCAGTTCCGATGCAGGCGGCACCCACCGAAGTTAAACAACCACTACCAAATGAAAATGATGTGCCTACTCCCAGAAATGGATCAGTAACATCTACACCCATCTTGACCGTCAGTAATGTAAGTGTTACTTGGAAATAGAATATGAATCAATTATGTTCACAAAAAACAATGTGTTTCGACTAATATTTTTACCATTTAATACTTTTAGTGCTAGTTCTTGATATAGTATAAAAATACTCCAAACTCAGAATAGGTCATTTCTGGATTTCAGCTTGAACAAATAGGAGCGGATAACTTGGCTTTTGGAGATGACACTACAGACCGTTCGCGTGCTCCTTCACGCCCTCCAGCATACAGTGATGTCGTTGAACCCGGGCACATTACTGTTAGAAACGATGCTCTATCCTAATTTTTCAAAATTCATATTTTTGTTCCTCCGCCCGTGTATATTATGTTTCTATTCGGTGTTTATGTGCAATAAATATGAACCAATGTGTTACTTGATCTATTTTGTTTTTTTTTTTAATTAATCGAACAATCAGGTGACTGGCTTCATAATATTTTCTTTCTTATCAGCAGAGGTTTTCAAAAACGTTTTCAAATTTACAGATAACTATAGAAATTATGAACTTCAAAGTCTTGACATTATTTGAAGTTCAAAAACTGGATTAATAGAGTATCAACTAACCTTCCTTAATGTCGATATCCATCCGTTTCGGAGCCGGTTCGCCAGAAGGAGAAGAGAATTGTGATGATTCAGTGAGATCCTCATATGGGCTATCTGAAAATGGCTCTAGATTGGATTCTATCGAATTCATGGATAGCTGTACAATTATAAAGCCGATCCAATAAATTAATTAAACACTGAAAAACATAGATTTTTTCCTAATCTTAGTGAAATTGTCTACTTCGAGCACAAAAAATCAATAAAAAACGTACGTTCGGAGTCGGGGTTTGTCGACGACGTTCCGGGATCATCGGTTGCGCGTTTGGGCATATTTGGAGCTGGACAATCGCTCTGAAATAAAATTAGATTATGGTATTTCATAAAAGAGGTCTGAAATCAATAAAAAATAACAATAGAACATGTAAAGTTGAAGAACGCGCTCATTTTTCTAGTTGCGCGCGCACTTTCGTCGACGGATTTCACTAGAGCGTTCTTGCATTCCCCTCTCGATGACCCTTTTTTTTAAACCTCCGGCCTCCCAGCCTGGTCGACTACGACCTTCTGACGTCATCACTGCACAATATCGGTCATGTCGTCGTTCAGTAACGTTTTGGACGTTACAAAGCCGGATTTCGATGTAGACGCATACGTTGTAAAGTAAGGAGTCATAATGTATATTGACAAATTATACTGATAATTCAGATTGCTCCGGGAGAAGACACTGGATGGATTGGTAAAAGAAGAAGAAGAAATGGTTTCGGCAGTGCGACGACTCGATTCAGATGTTCATCAAATTGTTTACGAAAATTACAATAAATTTCTGACGGCTACAAATACAGTTAGAAAGATTCAAGACGAATTCACCCAACTCGATTCGGTATGTCATAAAATTGATTTATTCACTTTGAAAAACATTCCTTGCTTTAGGAAATGAAATCCTTGAGTCAAAGCATGTCATCTATCTCGTCACTAATCGGAAGTCTCGATGGAGTTCTTGGTGAAAAGCGTGATGATATCCTACAACTGGGCAGTTCATACAAAGTAGTCAACAGCTTGAAGCACATATTTGATCTTCCACATGTTTTACAGGTTAGAAAATATTTCAAAATGAATTATTTAAAACAAATGTAATTGACAGAGTGAATTCGACGAGAGGAACTATGGTGAAGTACTCAGAATGTTCAAGTTGGCAGAAGAATCTCTCGATCAGTACAAAGATGTTCCAACGGTTCAATCTGTATTACAAAAGAGCAAAAAAATATACGACATGACTGAAAATCAGCTGATGGATCAGCTGCGGAATCCGGCTTCTGGTGCAGAGCTGGTGTCCGAAGCTGTAGATTTATTGCTGACCATCGGGAGAGATGAGGATGAAGTTCAAAAAGTTTTGTTAAAATGCTCAGAACAGTCATTGAGAGAAGATCTGAAAGAATTATCAACCAATCATTCTGATGTTCTGGATCTAGTTGACAAAGCTTCGGAAAGCTTTATTCCCAATTTAACATTGATTGCTACAACTCACGACCGTCTTTTTGAGGAAAAACGGGGCGAACTTCTAACGGTTCTTCGGGTAAGTTTTGACGAAATCGAGTTGTCGGTAGCCTATAAAACTTCAGACCGAAATGAATTCTCTTCATGCACTTGTATCCAAAGTGTTCCTGTCATCTAGTGACGCAAAAGATTGCTCAATCGTGGTTCGAGCTCTGGATCGATATTTCCGAAAGATTTCTACTTGTCGTCATGTGATTCCTGGATTCGACTTCCTACCATTAACAATAGAACTGATAAACGCAGTTTCCAAACATGAGATCGATCTATCACTCACCAGAATAAAAGAGGAGTTGAGGAATGCGTTGAACGAAGTAAGAAAATCGTTGATCAATGAAGAGAAGGATCTTTCTGCATTGGCAAATAAGATTGAGCAAGTATTTGTTCATCAAGTCAAGGTAGAAAAAATGTAATTTCAAAACTCATTATAAAAAATTTTTTTTAAGACGGCTCTGGCCAATTTGCTTCTTTTCACCGCCAGTGATGTTACTTTCGCTAATCTTCCTCCAGATGAGTTCCGCCAATCTTTCGCATTAAATGCTCATGAACGTCTTTTGGTTCAAGCTTTCCACAAGTTTGCTGAGCTTGGAGATGAATATGGTATTGATTTTTGCATTTTAACGCTAGCACAATTTGGACTATTTTCAGAAGCGGGCGCCGGAGAAGTTAGGTTTATTGATCCTAGAGTTCTTCTTGTTTTCGCGGTTGCTCTTCAACATCTATCAAACAAATCCGCCGTGTATCTTTTGAACTTGTGCAGAGAACAGTTCTCTTTGTCACCAGAAGAAGGCCTGACTGATATCGCTGTTGTGACATCAGAAGTCAAAACCAGAGCTCAAAAATTGGTGAGGTGTTATGCAGAGAAGACAGGATTATCCATGGGAGAAGCACTGATCAAAGGGTGCACCATGTTAGTTCAACCATCAGCCACACCCAGTTCTGTTAGGTGAGAAATGGAGAAAAGAGACCTCGGCATATTGTGTTTGAATTACAGAGCATCAGTTCGTAGACTTGGGGAGGATATGGCTGCTTGTGATAGTGAATTAGCCTCTTTGCTTGGAGGTGATACAAAACCAAAAGATACAAGAGTAAAGTAAGTTTTTGATTAGTTGATTTTAATATTAAAACGGTCCCTGTTCAGTCGTCGTCCAATCACAACAGCGCTCGACGCAGCTCGAGACTCTTTATGGTGCGAAAGAATAGATTTTCACCTTCAAATTCATGTGAGTTCTAACGTAAGAAATATGAAATATTCAATGAATTGTTTTTATTCCAGTTCAATCGTGCTTCCATCATCACAGCTGTTGTGAAGGTTGTTTTGAAAATCTTCATTGAATCTATCCGCCTGCAAACGTATTCAAAATTTGGAGTGGAGCAAGTTCAAGTCGACTGTTATTACCTACAAAGAAGTTTAGCTGCATTAGTATCTGATGAGGTGAGTTTAATTCTAAAAACCACTATTTCATCCCTTTATGTTTTTAGGTTGTCGTAAATTCGATGGTTGATCAAGCACTATCCTCTGCACTCAAAAGATGTCAGGATCCAGTCCTCGTTCATCCGTCACGGCTAGCTCAGCTCTGTGAGCAACCACCAGCGAACCGGCCAAGTTCTCAAGCGTCTAGTCTGGGATATTAATCATGTGCAAAGTAACCAAGATTTTAATTTATTGCATGTTAATTGTAGTTGTACTATATTTGGTTGTTACTGCTTCTTCGGGTAATTTGTATTTTCTATGCTTTGATACATAAAATATTTTATCTAAATATTGGTGTTTTTATGACATTACTGACATTACTGAGTATTCGCTCGTAATCTAATTTATTTTATTCAAGGTGGTGTTAACCGCAACACCACCTTCCAATTCTGCAACGAATTTTGAGTGTTCAGTGAGTTGGTGTTCTGAATTCTTTCAGTTGGTGGTCGGTGAGTATTTTGTTGTTGCACTGCACCTATAGTTGACTTGCTTCTCTTTCGTCCTGGATCTTCTACACACATAATAATTCCTACATTAGCAAGATTACATAACATCGGTTAGGGCATCATAAAAGTAGAACACAAATAATGTCTGTAGGAATGAAGACCATGATCCAATTGTTAGAAGTTCATCGATAACATTTAAAAAAATATTTTAATAAATTTTCTGGTCCATTCAGTAGATCTCGAGATCCCAACAAAATTTGGATTTTTAGAAACCTCTGTAGAACAACTAAAGTGTCTCCTATCTTCCTTACTAAAAAAGTCATGTCTTTCAGAAATCGGTAAAAAAGGAATTTTCGAAAAATTCCGTGAGTGTAAAGTTTACAACCTAGGTCTATTTTTTACACCCTCCAAAATTTTCAATATGATCGGAATTTTTCCAACAGACTCCTGAAAATGGTTATAATAAATAGAAAACACTTTTTAAAATGAAAATTGAAAATTTATTTCAAAAATACAAAGTTCAATAGTGTACTGATTAGCCAGACTTTCGTCTGTTGATCCCTTTCGCCACATAGAGGCTCAGTACATGAAAGGGAAACAAGGTTTTCTTCCAGTGGGGTCCCCTTCCAAAACCCAACAAACTAGGCTCGTTGGCCCATTACCGTTGATAAAATTTCCATTAGTAATTCTTCAGTGCTAGTCTATGCCAACACTACTCATTGATGTTTCTTTTTTTGAATCTTTGATTGGATCAATTTTGAAAGGGGGACGTTCAGTGAAAATGAATTCACCTAGCCATGAACCACCAAACATGGCGACCCTGAGGGCCTTTTATAACTTTTTTCGCGTTTTCACCAATCGAAAGACAAGAAACTACAATAAGCAGCGTGCAAAGAGCTTCTTACCAGTGAAAAATTGCCAGTAGATATTATCCAATGAGTAATAAAGTTCAAAGGCTGGGATTTCACAAGGAACCTTTTTTCTCTATATGTGGACTTCTTTTAAACGTGGACAGTAGGAGTGCACTCGAGTGGGCGTGACCTAATATTTATTGACTTTAAAAAAATATTGCGTAACGTGAATAGAAAAAAAAACAAATACATTTTTGAAGAGCTTGAAAATCAAATACAATTTGAGGTCTCCTTTTGAAATGCGATGAACAGTAAAATAAAAAAGTCAAATCGCGCCGAAATCATTTTTAACACGTACCGTAAACAGTCCAATAGAATGACCATCTCAATTTCAACTTTGAGCCAATTTATTTCGGTTCTTGTTAAGAGATATCAAAAACTGGCCAACTGACAAAACACTTTCGATACTTTAATAGACGCTTTGTTAGTTGACCCCCTTATTGATATCTTTCACTGAACATGAGATATTTGAGGTCAAAGTTGACCGTTCGGGTGGTATTCTATTAATCTTTACGGTATTTATATAAAATTAACAACCATGATAATTTTATAAATTCAGTAGTGATGGGATGGAAGCAATACTGAAATATTTCTGGAACATTCTGAACATGAACATACTTTAACCGTTTAATTGTTCTAAATAGATCGTACCTGAAATTAATAGATCGTACCTGAAATTAATAGATCGTACCTGAAATGAATGAGGTTACTATGGTCAACAATGTAATATTTTTTCTTTTTTTCCAAGATTTATCCTTGGTTATCATGACATCGGTAAATTTACGGGCTACTTAACTGACTTCATTTTCTCTTTGAATTACACCTGTAGTTGTGTTCACAGCTAACAATGTACTCATTTTTTCGTTAAAAAAATATTTATGAAAAATAGTGGATGATCATTCACAGTAATTTCAATTGATATTTTCAACTCTTCTTTGGATGAAGTGGATCGGTATTACATTCACCGCCAATTTCGATATAGTTTTATCTCCTCTCAACAAATCTTCTGCTTTTCTTTTCGCTTCAATTATTTTCCTTTTGAATTCTCTTCTTCGTTGTCTTCCTTCTGACACAGATCCACTACCACAAATAATCATGTTCCACGTCTTCATTTTCTTGAATTGAATCGATAAAATTGTGTCGACGTTTGAGCGATTGCACAACAAATACGATCCTTGGATAACGAAAGGAGTTGTTGCGATATCAGAAAAAACAAAAGTAGCAAACACCTGAAACACTTTTCGAACTAATCTGAAGTCAGATTATTTTTTTGTTACAGCATCTGAACTGTCTCTTCCCTCGTAGAAGAGAATAAGGATAATCGTCATGGCCAATAGCTTTGCAATTACAATCAGAAGAGTTTGATAGAATAGGTATTTTTCGGGATTGTTCAACGAATCTGATGTCATTTTACTCCATTTTCGAATTTTTATAAACATGATGACATACAAAACAGCTGCAAGCATTACAAGAACATCTCCAGCAATATAGATCCTCTGAAAAGAGAAATTGATTCTGATAACTATTTTCTTTTCTAACCACATAAATCATATCAGTCGTTGCTGAGCAATCTTCATACGCTTCATGCAAGTTCTCTTCATTTTTCGAATGATTTTTCCGTTTTAATAATGCATTCTGAGCTATCGAATCAGTTCCACAAAATACTTTGACAACTTTCGAAGAAACTTGAACAAGTGTATAGCCGACATACATTACTCTCAACCATATTTTAAAAGATTTCGCATCTATTGAGATGACTTTTTTGAAGTTTGGAAGAAATAAAATCATGAATCTTCGGAGAGCTAGTACAAATAAAAGTACATTTTGAACGCTGGTTACGATAACTGCTACGGAATAGGCGAAGAATAAGGAAACAATTAAAACACTTCCAGCAGCAGTTAATTCACTGAATTCATAGATTCGATTAAAATGGACTACCGTAAACACTCTAATAGAACGCCACTACGAACTGTTAATTTTGAGCACATATATCTAGTTTTCTGTGAAAGATGTCAAAAAGTGTACAACTGACAAAATGTTTACCACTTTATTAACAATATTTTGTCAGTAAGCCACTTTTTGATATCTTTCACAGGATCCAAGATGAACCGAGTCAAAGTTGAAAACTTACAAGAAAAGCCAGGCTATAAGAGCAATAGAAATCGTGACGTAAGAATAGAATTGCATGGAACACATTACAGAATAAAAGTGCTTTGTGATTGGATAGAAGTAATTCTACAAATTATCATTCAAATCAACTATTATCTAATTTTTCGAAATCCTACCGATTTCTCACTTTTCCGATTCAATCTATGTACATAAACATAGAGAGGAAATGTGATAAAAATACTAGTTAGGTATATTATGAAAACAAAACAGCCGATACCATATACAGCTATAAATGCACTTGGTTCCGAAAAAAAAGATGAGGAATTCATGGCCACGAGTTGAAGAGAAACTGATTGTTTTCTTAGTTTTTGAAGTTTTTGGCTCTGTGCGAATCCCGAGGTTTGGATTTTCACCTGTTGCTCGCCATTGACGTCAGCTGAGATTCTGACACTGATTTAAAATTCAATTATTTATTTTTTGTAATAAGAATTGGAAATATTGAAAAGGATGTCATTTGATTTCAGAGAAGATACAGTGGATGGCTAAAAGATACCGGAAACATTCTAATAGACGGCCACCTTATATTTGCACTTGGATCTTAATTATCTCGATTTCTATGAAAGGTAACAAAAATCTGTCAACTGATAAAATTTTTGTCATAGTATCACCAACTCTTTATCAGTTGACAGATTTTTGATATCTCTTTCATAAAGTGAGATAATTGAGATCGAAGTGCAAACATAGGATGGCCTGCTATTAGATTGATAACGGTAATAAATTTCGAAAAGCAGATCACGTTAGCTGTGAGTTTGCATGAAACATGGTATCAGCCAGCACAAAGAGCCTGTGCCAGTTACCAAAAACAAACCACTATTATTTTTTTCAGACAGACACCCAGGCGGCGCCGTTTTCCCGTTTTTTCCACTGATAATCTATACTGCTTAACATCAGTTTTCATGTCATTTTCTTCTAATAAAATGTTATACTTTGTTTGGTTTTTGTTTCCTTTTTTTTAATTTTTCATGGTTGATACAACCAACCGAATACTTCTCAGATATATCCATTGAACTCAATTTAAATTAGAAAACAAAATTTTTCCAGAATATTGCAAAGATGAGCAACTATCAATGCAAAAAGATAAAACGGTGCAAAAGTATGCCGACGATTGATGATGAAACTGTTGGAGACGTTGTCAAGAAACAGTCAGTTCTATTTTTAATTTTTGAAATTATTTTCACCGATTGTACTGTGGAATGCAGTAAAAAGGAGTATTCTACTGAAAGAAGTGGTTCCAGTTTCAGGTCAGCGATAAAGAAGGCAACAACAAGGCTGAATACTTCAAGAAGGGAGTATATGGGACGAAGAAGTCTAGGAGTGGCAACAGTATCTTCTAAAGGTAAGCGTACAGTGCGGTCAATATCTTTAAGACCCCCCTTGATTTTGGGCGCACAGAAAAAAACTAGAGGAGATACCAAAAAACTGTAAACGGTATTCGATTCAAAATCAAAAATATCCTTTAGTGACAAAATTTCATGAACTTAGCACTTCCCCTGTCCGTGTACCATCAAAAAAACCCATATGCAAGCGGTCAATATCATTAAGACACCCGGATTTTTCGATGTTCCAGTGATAATTTTCATGAGAAATTATTTTGTAAGCATCAAATACTAGTCTAAAAATCGTTTTTAGATAGTTTTAAATCAAATGACAACAGTTTCTGAAGAAAGTTTCCCGATCAGAAATTGGATTCGAAAAAATTCACCTCACCATATTTGCTCTTTTTGAGAGAATTGTTGGTTTTATGGAAAAATACAGCGTTCTACTTGATGGAATTCTATGAAATTTCATATTATTAGAAAGCTCTTATCCTCTTTCTTGTAATCAAGTTACTTGATTAATCATAATTGACCGAACTATCTCGAAAATCTTCTCAATGTTATCCCCAGAACTCATCAAACGGCCCAGCTCCGGCTTTAAGAATCTATACCCATCTGAATTCTGCTTGAATCTATACCAAATGACTAAGAAGTCAATGAGAGGATAAGAGCTTTCTAACAATATAAAACTTCATAGAATTCCACCAAGTAGAACGCTGTAATTTTCCATAAAACCAAAAATTCTTTCAAAAATCGAAAAAATCGTGAGGTGAATTTTCAGAATCCAATTTCTGATCGGGAAACTTTCAGAAACCGTTTTTATTTAATTGAAAACTATCTAAAAATAACTTTTTGGCTGATATTTGATACTTTCAAAAAATTTTCTCATGAAAATTATCACTGGAACATCGAAAAATCCGGGGGGGGGGGGGTCTTAAAGATATAGACCGCTTGAATATCGGTTTTTTGGATGGTACACGGACAGGGAAAGTGCTAAATTCATGAAACGTTGTCTTCTGGGGTTATTTTGGATTCTGAATCGAATGGCGTTTACAGTTTTGATATCTCTTCTAGTTTTTTCTGCGCGCCCAAAATCAAGGGGGGTCTTAAAGATATTGAACGCACTGTATTAATGATTTGTTCCTATATGCTTTTGGAATTTCCAGTCAAGCGGAAAAAGAGCAAAACGGAACGAGACCGAGACATTCAAGATGATATGTACGATGAAGGCTACGATGTAAGTCTATTGGAAGCTTCTAGAATCCACTAAGAATTCGTTACAGGCATCTTCCACATCATCGTCTTCCTCTCGTCCATACAGATGCATTCCAATTTTGGAGCAAAGCAACCGTAGTTCCCAAAACTATCTTCCATCGGTGGAATCGAGTTCCAGTGACAGTGATCGAGAAATCCGACGTCCACCTCTTCTCTACAGTACCCTTCTGATGTCACCTCCAAAAACTCTTTCAATCGAATCACTGTCGGAACAGTTTGATCAATTGGAAGTGACGGATAGAAGTAAACTTCATCTAGAGATCTCTCATTTTTTGAAAAAAGCAGATGGAGAGAAAAAGAAACAAATGCAAATGTCTCAAAGGATGATGAATTGCCCGCAGTTTGGACAGACCATGGTTTTTGTATAGTGATTTCTTGATTAAATTAAAAAACAAAGAATTTCAGAGATTGATAGTTGAAGAAAGTGAGCACACAAGATACACTTTCGAGAACATTCTCTGGTTGATTCTGAAGGCGTATTTCTCGGTGGGATCATCTGGAAAAGATATAATGATTGGAAAATCTGAATGGATGGCAGAAGATGAGAGCATTGCAAAGGCTCGGAAGCAATATATGATGGTGATGGATATGATTAAAGAATTTAAATTTGAATTTGTTAAAAGTGATAAAGGTGAGCTACTCATTTATTGAATGCGTTGAATTTTTCATTTAAATTTTTTTTCAGATGATACTTCGTTTGATTCGTTGAATCGACGAATGGAATTTTCTCCAGACTATTGTGAAAGCTTACGAGAATCAAGAAAACGGGTGACAGATATTTTGGACAAGTATGACACTCTTGTTGAGTTGTTTCCCAATCAGAATGCACTGTGGAAAGTTGTGGAATTGGATAGAGGAGAAGCAGAAAAGAAAATGTTAGAAGGTCGAATGATATCGATGAGAGTTTGGTTGAATATTCTTAATGATATGGCTGATAAGTTCCGAGCGGTAAGTTAATAGAATGATTGAAACCAATAAAAATTGATTTTTAGCTGGGAGAACTATTCGAAGTGGAATCAATGGCTGGAGCAGAATGGTTTCAACCATTGGATGAAAATAACAAAATATTTGCACTGGAAGACGTTCGGGTTGTCTTTTTGGAGTATGTCAAAAAGAGTTTGAATCTGAAAGGAATGAAAAAAGTTTTGAATCGAGTGGAAAAAATAATCGAACTGACACTGGTGAAAACCGCGATTCTGATGCAAAAGCCTCCGTCATCATACGCTGCTGCAACTGCTTCCAGATCCTCGTTTCCATTTAATCAAACGATGAAAGAAAGATACGGAGAGATGGCTCAATGGAGATTCTGTAATACCCTGTCTCTTTCCCTGAATCTACCTCCTCTCACACATTTATTCTTCTTTCTTGTCGCTGTTCCGATGCAATTGGTTGTCCATTGGCTAGAAATTCGATCAGCAACAGAACCACCAGACTCTTCTCTACTTGATGAGTTGACATTCGATGCAATGATAACTGATTCTCGAGATTGTGTAGAAGAAGCTGTCAGAATTAAGAAAAACTACTCTAATATCCTCCAATCAATGTGTTCCAAATGTGCAATGCCTGGGTTCTTGTACCCGTTGAAGTACAACACTTATGTTTTGGACGTTTTCAAGGTAATTAACTACTTGGAATTCTATCTGATTCCTTTTCAATAAATTTCAGAAATACATCCATTATGTAAAGTGCTGGTCCAATTGTGACACTGTTCGCAAAGAACCAACTTTTCTATTTTCTCGCCTCGAGATGGAATGGAATTCCGCAGTCCAATGTGCTCAATCAATTAAATCAGCTTTGGAGCTGTTGTGCAATACATACTGCGATATCATAGAATCTCTTATCAAAGAAGTAGTCGAAGGATTTGCAGTGGATCAAATCGAAGAGATCAGGAATCGCTACAGCGATCCAGTTGAATCAGAAGACGGATTAGACTATGATGATGATGTAAATGGTTCCCGACCACTTCTCCGACATCCATCCCACCATCAGTTCATGTTGGCAATCAATCTGTTGATTCGAGAAGTCAAAGAACGAGAACTTCGAGTTTTCTCTCTTCTCAGAACAACTCTAAACGATAGTCAAGATGCAGTTGGATATGAGCTCCGACCTGAAGTGGATAAAGCCAGAATGCTGAATGAAATGGTTCCAGATTTTTGTCTTATCCAATTGGTCATGTCATCTGATGAAGACGATCAATACAATAATGATCTTGTGAATTTACCAATCACAATGTTCGTATATCGAACTTCTGTTGACAAATCATACGTGGAAACTTGTATGTTAGCTATATCAGAAGGACGAAAAATTGATGATGGCTGCATTGTGATAGTTCCGGATAAAGATCATCAACTACAAAAACATTGGACAGGACGTGTGGTTAAGATTGTTATAGATGAAGAGACTAGGATCTGCTATCGTTTTCTGAGAGATGTGAGCTAATTTTTTAGAGCTGAATTGATTAAAATTCATTTTCAGGACATGACTCTTTGTCTTGCCAGTTGTACTGTTCGTGCTGGTATGGAACAGAAGTACTCAAAGTTTTTGAAATGTGTGGCACCCTCTTGTTCGTCAAACTTCATCATTAACTCGAGAATACAAGAACTGACAGTATGCAAACTAAGCCATCAATCAAACTTTTAATGGTTCATATTTTAGGAAGGAACTTTACTGACGCATTTGGAAAATGAAGGAAGACGAATTGCAATGTTGTTGGGTAAACTTGGAGTTGGACAACATGAGGTAAAATTTTCAGAACTTTGATTTTTCTAAAACATGTTTATAGGAGCGGACATTGTCTAGTCTTGGATTCAAACTGGAAAAACACTTTCTGGTGGCTTTTCAAATTCATCGTGATGTGGCAAGAGTTGTCAGTGATTCTTTCATGAGCCATCTTGGCAATAGTATGGTAGAAAATGCACTGAAACTAACAAGACAGTGGATTGAGTATGTACAACTGAAAAACGCAATACCCTCCCCAACACTTCCAATGTGGGCAAATCCAGGATTCACATTTCTTCAATTCATCACGGAACCCAAATGGAGTAATCCAGAAATAATGACAGATAAGCAATTCAATGAATTCAACAATCTTGTGAGAAAATTCGAAGCAAAAATAATTCAATCTTCTTCAAACATGAGCACTCCAATTGTTCCAAAACAAAGAAAGACTAGATCGACGAGTTCCAAGACGTCCAACTCTTCAGATGATAAAAATCACAGGAAAAGTAAGAAAGAGAATCAAATGTTGAGAATTCAAGAAATTGAAGAGAAACGATATAAAATGGTAAGCATATAAATGTGATTATTAAATGTAGTCAAAGTTTTTTAGGATTTCGAAAACCGCCAAATTGGAAGAGTGATAACGGATGATAGCCATTTTATATTAGCAACAGACAGGAAAGTTGTGACCAGAGCTCCATTCCTTTTTGTACTACTCGATGAAATCGGTAAATATTCTTATTAAGAAATCATTAAACTCTATTAAAATATTACAGCTGCCGGAACATTTGGTGTTGTTCATCGAGCAATGGATATCACTTCTCATCGAGTTGTAGCTGCAAAAGTCATGAGAATTCGTCGTGAAAATCACAAAGCAATTGAATCTGAAATCAACATTTTCCGCCAGCTAACACACGAAAATCTCGTCAAATACTACGGAGTGGAAGTGGAGGATAGTGATGTGATCATTTTTATGGAATACTGCTCACAGGGAACACTTGAAAGAATCTGTCAAGGAAAGATGGATTTGAAAATGGTCCGACAATACACGCACAGTTTGTTGAGAGCTGTTCAATATCTACACACTCAAAAGATTATTCATCGAGATATCAAACCAGCCAATATTTTCCTTGATAAGTGTACTGTTCTGAAATTAGGAGATTTCGGAAGTTCATCAAGACTAGTGGAGACTTCAACAGTCTATGGAGAGTTCCAAACAACAGCAGGGACTCCTCAATTCATGGCTCCCGAAATATATTCTTATGGAGAAAAAGATGAGGTAACAGGAAGTTATAGTGGATACGGTAGAAGTGTGGATATCTGGGCAATCGGAGGTACAGTGGTCAATATGATGACTGGAAAACTTCCGTTTGAAGGGCAAACGCGACATCAAATTGCTTTCTCGGTATGTTTCATTTTCTAGGGCTCCTCAAAAATCTTTTTTTTTCAGATTTGTTTCCGAAAACAAAAACCAATCTATCCGGAAATCGCCAACGAACGTCTGGATGTTCAGACTTTCCTCGACAAATGTTTTGAATTTCAACCAACAGATCGTGCAACAGCTTCTGAATTACTACAAACAACTTTCGCAAACGTCAATGTATCCGTAAGTGGAAAGCCTTGTTAGTATGTTGAAAATGAAATTTTTGGATCTTACAGGATGAATATCACATTCCGGATTACCAATCCCAGTCATCAAAAGATACTTCAAATTCGTATTTCTTTGTTTAACAGTGTTTGTATATAGTTTAATTCTCAATTAATCTAGCTATCTTATTAATTTGTAATATTTCATCTATTCTGCAAAATTCTGTCATATCTCTACCAATACCTCTACATATTATTATCGATTCAACTACTCTCTTAAATATTTTAAAGTTCAAATTTTAGTCACTTACCTATACAGGATTACTAGTCAATCATAAGTTATTATTAATACATTAATAAAAAGTATTCTGACCCAACAATAATTGAAAAACAGTAATATTTTGTAGTTTTTAAATTGCCAAGGGCACTGCCCAAAACTGCTAAATGAATCAGACGAATAGCTGCTATTCGGCAGCCGAAGGAGAACCGATGGGCCATCGACGGTCTGTTGACGGACAATCGAAAAATACTAAAAGATTCCAAGAGAATTCAGAAGACAAGTTCTGATCTTCAATACACCTACGAACCAGCTAAACCATTGACTGACTGAAATCCACTTGGGATCTCAGTCAGCCATAGCCGACGGGGCTCGATGAAGGAGTAAAGAAAACCAGAAAATGCCAAATGTCTTCTCAAAAAACCTTTTAAAATCTAGATCCTATTTCAAAAAGTAAGAAAGGTTTTAAAAGATTTCGGAGCACCCAAGAATAATCTAAGATATTTCAGAGAATTAAGAAAGATTTAATAAATTCTAGTAGAGTCTAGCTCACTTTCCTAAAGTCTTGAGGATTCTTGAACTCCCTATTGCTATTGGATATGAGTGAGCGGAGTTATAACTCTAAAGCTAACTCCATAACTCTAACTCCAATAAAAAAAATGAGAAACGTTGATCCACAGTATTCGCATGATGCGAATTATAGTGAATTTATTCCTCTCAAAAGATAGAGAGAAAGTACCCCAAAAGTCGAATCAGTATTAAATACAAAAAAAATAGCAACTTAAATCGGGATATACTAAAAACAAGGTCCCTAAAAGTAAAATCAGCCATTCAAAAATGTTTTCAGCTTCTAAAATGTAGGCTTATCCTTTAAAAAGCAGGCTTACGGCGCACACACTTAAAAATCAGACTTAGAAAAATATTCCGTAAAACCTGTATTAGAAGGGCCCCTTTAATAGAAGGGTATCTCTAATAGAAGGGCCCTCTGTGAAAAATGACCCCTCTTCAATGTGTTTTGGAATAAAAATTTCCGTAATTTTTCTATGGAAAATATTCCACGAACTTCACAAGTCAATAGAAATTTGTTGAAATTCTATTTTTCAATGCAAATCTTGCTAAATTTTGGTGAAATTGGCAGATTTTCATGAATTTTGAACGAAACTTCGTCGATTTTTTTACTGCGAAATTTCGGAAAAAATAGATTTACAAAATGTGGAAAAAATCCCTAGAAAACTCTGAATATCTATACAAAAAAATCCCTTTTCTGGTAATACTTGAAGTTTGTTTTCTAAGTTTTCGATTCCCAATTTTATAAAAACATTTTTGAATGTTCATTGAAAATGTGTCTCTCAACCGATTCCGGAATATTTTTACAAATTTCCTGTGAAATACCTATACAGAAAAAACAATTTCCCCTTCTTTTTTCTGAACATTTGGTAATGTTTTTCCAGTTTCGGAAACTCCAAAAACGACCCCAAGAATCATTTGAATTTACAAACAGAAATTCCGAAAAAAAAGAAAAGTATTTATTTTGAAAACGTGAAGTATATAATAATCACGAACTTCATCTAACGTTCTCCCGATTAGCCTAATGGTTAACAGGGATGAATTTGAATCAACCGTCGTTGGTTCGAGTTCTCCCCAGAGCCTAGTGGTTATTGTCAGAGTACAGTAATCGGGGTTAATCGTGAACAAAATACGGGAAATGCCTCCTGGTGTGGGGATACGATCGCGTGTGTTATTGTGGAGTTTGAACTTGGGACTGATTGTCTCTGGATCGGGCCATGTCGTGTCAGCACGCGGATAAAACTTTTTCAACTTCTGATTTTTCCTATTCGATTTTCTTTTTTAGCTCGTGACTCGTGGATACTCAAAAAACACCTATCTATTTAGATACCTGTTCTCATTTTCTCAATTCCAGATCTGCGTGTAAAATGGCTTTATGAGATTTTTTAGACAACTTCAAAAATACCGTAAAACCTGCATCTAGAACATTGGCTGACTGCTCTATGATCGCCGGTAATGACCAGCGCCCCGGCAGAGCCCCCTGGAACCCCGAGAAATTTCAATTATGTCGAATATGATTGATTGAACAATAAAAAGATATCATTTATTATTATTCAGACTTGAAAAAAATTAAAGAGATGGGGAGAAACGGTGAAAAGCACCCGGAAGAAATGTGAGGATCAGTACTTTGACACGTAGGGGAATTAGATAGGGAAGGAACTAAAGAGTTCGCGATTCATTAGTTGGAGCAAGGTCCCAGCTTAGCAATGATTCGTTCGTAGATTCCTGATTCTTGTGGGTGTGTTATGGAAAATTGAGAACGAAGCTCTTTGCAATAGATTGGGAGGACCTGTAATAATATTTATGTAATATTTGTTTGTTTTGACAGGGGTCCTATAAACTCTTATATCCTAAAAGTATACACATTACAGAATCGTTGTGTCATATTGGATTAGTTAGTGTCCCTTGGGAATATTTGATCAACTTACACTTGAGTTTTCTCCACTTTCAGCGCTTTTGATGATGTGAATCGCTGTTACAAGAGCCAACAGATTATCGTTGAATACCGTATTCCTGATACCAGAACGGAGTTGTTCAACATCAGAGTTAAAGTTTGGATTGATTGCTGAGTAGAATGGAATTGTATCAAAAGTAAATGCAGCTCGGATAGTGAGAAATCCTTTTGAGAATAGGCGAATTACATTCGGAATATTTCCACTATCACTTTTGAAAATAGTTTTCAGTCCTTTAACATCTTCGATCAACTTTTTGATTGCTTCGAATACATCATTAAATGAGTTAAATCTCATCGAACTTGGCATGGTTGACTTAAAAACTTCTGTCAGTTCTTTGAGTTCATTCGATTGAGCTTCGGACCACTTTGTGTATTCCGTTTTCTTCGGTTCGTCTTTGGTTATACGTACACTTTCTTTATTCATTCCAACTGCAAGACATCTAGCGTATCGACATGCTTGGCAACGAGTCCGTATTCCCCGATTTATTGTGCAGTTTTCAAGAGAAAACGAGCAAGCAGCACCCTTCTGACAAACATATGTACTCTTTCTGTGTACACTTCGTCTGAAGAACCCTTTGCATCCTTCACAACTCAACACGCCGTAGTGGTAACCGCTGGCACTATCTCCACAAATCTGACACGATTCTCGTTTGAAGTAAGAAGGATCCATGAAAGCAGCAAAATTTTGCATCATCATTGGTGTATAATTAGAAGTGAAGTTTGGTGGAACTATCGGTGGACCACTTGGAATCGGTCGTTTACGATTTTCAGAAGTAGGAAAAGTGTTGCGTCGAGTTTGTCGGTTTTCCTGCTCATCTTCTTCTGCATTAGGAGAGTTTTGAGGTGACAGAAGATTATTGATGGCGTAGGCAGAATTTTGAGGGGCCAATTGGACTGGTGTTTGATTGTTCGGAATCGTCTGGTTGATTTGTTGAAGATGTTGCTCTGGTGTTATGACCTGGACTGGAGTTTGGTGTTGAACTTGTGGAGGTAGAGGAGCTGGATAATGTGGAGAGACAGCTGGTGTTGTTTGGCTGAAACTGTGAAAACTTCGTCATAACCACCTATTGAAAACATCGGTGCGGATCCGCAACCTTTGGGTAACACTACGCGCGGCATGGACAAAAACGGTAAAAGGCTCAAGGGGAGACAAAGAGATTAGGAGAAGAGAAAAGACAACTGTTCCATGAGACTTAAAAGATTACCTTTGTAATAAGGGGTTCGATAATAATAGAGAGATCCTAATTCAATGACAAAAGTAAATTAATCAGGACCATATTGTTCTTTGTATCTAGAATACCGTAAGCCCTGTATTAGAAGAACCGGAACTTCTATTGTTCACAGGTACTTCCGGAGGGCCCTTCTATTTTCGTGCCATCTTTTCCAACAAACTTTTATCGGAAATTTTGGACATTTCTCTTTTAAAATTCACGAAAATCTATAAAATACACCTAAATAAGCAAGTTTTTGAACAAAAAAATATGTATCAGCAAATTTTGTGGAATTTTGGAATTTCCGGAAAATTTTCTATTGAGAACTTGCGATTTTTTATTTCAAACAACGCATTTTGAATGGGGCTCTTCTGTTAAAGGGGCCCTTCTAATACAGGCTTAACGGTATCAGAAAATATAAATCAATCTAATAATCTGCATAATCTTTTACTATTATTGTTCTTCCTAATTGATCCCATATGCCACGTCGCCTACACATCTGTCACCTTCTGACCTGACATTCTCTAGCTGATTTAATCGCACCCTTTACAGTCCCTACCCCATAGAGCCCCTAGCTACGTCACAGGTCACCCCCATTATTTGACCTATCTCTGGCTGGCAGTTGGTTCTTGAGGGACCATCTAAAACGCGGCCGCCTATCATTCAAACATTACGCAATGGACATACCTTGAATTATTCTGGTATAGATGTGGTTGGGGTGGCAGAGGTGGTGAAATTGTCTCATTTCCGGAATCTCGTCCTTCTTCCGAACTTTGGTTCATCGTAGGCGATGCTTGAGTATGAGAACTGGATTCTATTTCTGTAGCTGGATGAGGTGGAGCTGGATGAGTGAACTGTTGATTCGTATAAAGTTGAAAATACATTTGAAACAGTTCAGGGGTGAATCTGAAAATAAATGAAGGATGAGATTGTTAGTTCAATATTGTTCAGCTTACTGTGGGTTCGCTGCAAAGTTGCTCATGTCTGGAGGATACTGTTGGCCGTACGGATATATCGCAGGGTATCCGTGTGTTGTGGGAAAATGCATTGGATCAGTGGGGATTGGTTGAGCCATTTATATCTGGAACAAAAAACGGTTTTAAATAACAACGAATTAGTTTTCAAAGAGAGAAAAGTGGTTTCATCGACACAACTTATTACATCAATATGAACGGGCAAAAGAGGTCATTATATCGACTGACGGTGTGCGCGCGAAAAAAAGGGACCTAACAGGTTGCATAATGCCCATCTGACCTGGCACACACTGTTCTCGCGCACCTTCCTCCTTCACATCCCACCCACTTTGTACACAGAAGAGGTGCGAGTTCAGACATGTCTACAGGTTTTGACACGTATAAGAAGGTGCTATAAAATAATTCTTGTTTAACACTGTAATTGAAAAGCTATAGTATGAAACCGTATATTCGGAAATCACATTTTCGATCCCGACTTCAATCATGTTGCATCGCAACATTCAAAATGCAAAAATCAGAGACGTGGAAGAGAAACGCTGATGGCAATGAATATAAATGAAAAATATTTACAGGTTACGGTAGTTGTCGTTGTGGGACCTTCTGCCACGGCCACTGGCGTTTCTCTTCCACAGCACCGGTTTTTGCATACCAGCATAATATTAACCCGATAATTGTTTTTCGATAGAAATCAGTCGTAGTCAGGGACTAGTCACGGACGAAGCTAGACCAAACTGCACACAATTGACAGTTGACCCCCACAGGTCGTATGGAAAGAAGTGAACGATATGCAGCCCAAATTTTATCAGGTCCCAATCAAGAAATATTTCCAACTATAACTAAAAACAGTGAACATCGAAAAAATGATTTCCGACCTTCTCGGATACGATTCCATGTGTCACTCACCCTGTAATGAAAGAGACCACTCTCACAACTCTGATGACACTATAGTGTTTTGAGGCTTTTCTGATATAGGCAATTAAAATCTTTAATAGCGATTACGATCCGGAATACAATAATTCGAAGTTGCAATCTATTCACAGAAAAAGGCAGATATACCCTATTATTAGATTACTACGAGAAAAGTGACAATGAAAAACCTTGAGAGAAGTTAAAATGAATAACTGAGGAACAACTCTTCTACTTATACTTGGCAAGAAATTTGGTATGGAAGTCGGTGAAACGAGCGAGCATGTCCTTGAAGAGTTCTGGCTGTGGAAGAATCGTAGTTCTGAAAAAAATTGTTTACAAAAATTTCAAGGGATACACCTACCTGAAGTGGTAAGTGCCGTCCTTTTGTCCAAATCCACTTCCTGGAACGATACAGATTCCTGTTGATTCAAGAAGTTCCAATGCGTAGAAGAAGTCTGGTTGCTGGTTCAAAGACTGGGCCTTCTCGACAGCTTTCTGTGGAATTGTGATCTGAGGGAATGCGTACATGGCTCCTTGCACTGGATTACAGCTGATTCCATCAATGCTGCTGTACGCCTTCTCGACTAATGTGGCACGTTCTTTGAGTGAAGCCAGAACATCATCCTTCTCCTTCTTCCACAATGCATAGGATGGTTCTCCTTCTTTTGGTGGATTGACGACGGCATCGATAACAGCTTGTCCAAGAACGGTGGAGCACAACTTGGCAGAGATCATCTTTTTGAAGAGAACGTAGACTTCTGGGTCCAAATTGAGGAATTCAACATATCCTCCACGCATTCCACACTCGCCCATGTATCCTTTCGACACAGAGTGGAAAGATGCCAATTCGAGCCTATAACACGGCAGCCACTTAGAAATATATGTTTAAATATAAAAACTCACTTGTTGTATGGTTCTCCCATTTCAACTAGAACTTTTTTGAAAGAATGGAATTGCGATCCTTGTGCATAAACATTGTCTTGGTAGACTTCGTCGGCAAGAATGAAGAGCTTCTTCTTCTGGGCGAACTTGATGATTGTTTCGATGTTATCGCGGGAGAGGACTTGTCCAGTTGGGTTTCCTGGATTGATTACACAAAGAACGCGAATATCGTATTCTTTGCTGTGCTCTTCGAAGGATCTCTCCAGCTCTGCCTCATCCAGAGACCAGTTGGAAGATTCACTGAGATAGTAGCCGACCTGTCCGAGACCGAATTCTTCGATAGTAGCAGAGTAAAGTGGATATTGTGGAATTGGAATCATGACTCCAACCTTCTTGCCGCTACCCTTGTTGATGAAAAGTTTGAGGACATTACGGATGGATTCAGAAGCTCCTCCAGATAGACAAATATCCTCGGAGTTACTGGGAACTCCATTGTCACGTCTACTAATATATTCTGCAACGTGCTTACGGACGATCTCGACTCCTGTACTCTGACTGTATGCTCCAGCAGATTTTCCTCCACAGCTACCAAGGAAAGCTTTGGCGTGTTCAATAACATCAGATGGCAGAGATTTATCAGTTTCCATCAGCGATGGATTGGCGATGCAGGCTAGAAGCTGACGGATGAAAGTGATTGGTTTCTGTCCCATAGCATGAGCATCTCCAATGTTAGCCTTGATCACATTTGTAAATGGCTTCTGAACTCCTGCAGCTAGTTCCTTTTCCAGTTCGACAGCTCTGATAACAATGGGACCGCGAACAGCGTACTCCATTTTGATAACATTTGGATTGATGTTCGAAACGGTCAATGTCTGAAATTATTCGAATAAAAAATTAATTTTTTTCTAAATTGAGAACTCACTTTTCCGCTAGCCATGATTCTAGTGGATGTGTTGAAGAAGCGGCGAGCTACGATTCCGGAGAGGGTCTGTGCAGTTCTCATGCTGTAAAAAAAAAGGGATAAACTTCAGTAAAATTGACCTGGTCGAGAACAAAACGATGTCATCGTCGAAAGATATTTTTCTACTGATAAGACGTGATAAAAGCGCAGGAGAAGGCGCAAACCCAGAAAGTACTCAAACAGGCCTAAGCGCGCGACCCACAGTTAGTAGAGCTGAGTGCGCAAGATAACTGTTGATAGTTTGAACTCAGAAAACAAACGCAAGAAACTCAGCAATGAGAAACCTAAACGTCGAAGCGTAAAGATAGGTATTTCAGGTGATATTATTGGCAAGCATATATGATAGACACGGAAATGAGCACAACAAAAAAGTAATAGTGTTTTCCATTTGATAGTCCAATTAGCCGTTAACAGTAAGGAGAAAGTCAGTAGCAAAGAAGGATTTCACACATTCTTCGTTCAATTTGGCGGATGAGTCATGCTTGTATGAAAATTTCGGGTACCGTGATAATATAAGCGAAGGGAAAGGTTTCAGACTAGAACAACAATTTTTGGGGTTTTCAAATACGAATTTTCTGATAGAACACATTCTCAAATTAAAAAAAATCCGAAATTCAATAATTTCAACAACAAAAAATCCGGAGCCGGCATTTCAGCTCTTCTGTGGTGTTCAGGTATTACTCAACAATAGTTTCATGTTGGAAAGAAGGAAAAAAAACGGTGGGTGAAAGGGACAACAAATGCCCAGTGCGTCTAATTCCTCTTCTCCCGCTCTCATCTTCCTATCTGTTTGCTATTTTATTTCGCTGGCTTCAACGAAAAAATACTTATTTTTTAGCGTTCAGTCTTTAGAACCTTAGGAACCATGTGGTCATAACTCGCAAGTGGTTTTATAATCAAACATTCCGAAGGCAAAGGTTAGAAATCGGAACGCTTAGACAATCTATCGCATATTTCAAACCTACTGTATCCAATGAAGATAATCTCGAGCAGTTTCCATGGTCGACACCGAGCAAATGGTGATTGACCCAACTAGATTTTACACGACGCACTTGCGGAATTCCAACTCACCAATAAAAAACGAACGGTTGAGAAGGATGGGCGGTGGACGAAGATTCGCTCAAACTGCAATACATTATGTCTTATCGACAAATTCACACCAATGATTTCTATTGCGAGAGAACATGAAAATCAAATAGTATTAGAGAGAAAAGGTGATTGAATGATTCATAACTTTAATCATCTTTTTTTGAGACGGCAAGGAAACATGAAAAATATTCTGCTCGAGAATGCCGAATGTCTGGCACCTTGTGTATTCTTTACGATGTAAACTTGGCAATTGAAAGATAGGGACCCGGAGAAGGGAGACGAAAACTGGAAAACAACAAGAGGGAGAGAGAACGAAATTGGGAGGCGGCCCGAGAGAGGACTACGTGCCAAAGGCTCTGCTTTTGAAACTGGTTTCGGGACGTTTTCTGTTTTTTGATTTACACAAAAATTGGAAAGAGGTCAGTCACTGAACAGAACAGTCACGTGGTATCATCGAAACATACAGTGAGCGACTTTTAGTCTATTTTACAATTAATTAGGTGGTTAATTGAATTTCCGACCATTCTTTTTATTTTGAAAAGAGTAAACACAAACTCCTTCCTTGAACTGCAAAATACTAGAGTTAACAACACCGCATCGGGGGACCAAAGTTTGATTAGAAAACGAATTTTAAACAACAGGAATTGATTCCGGACTTCAAAAGTTCGGAATATCAGAAAACCGCAAAATGTTTTGGAACTGAAAATTAGCTAACAAAACAACAGTAAAAAAAAGGAAAGAGGCGCATTAAATGTATTTAAAAACTTAAAATCGAAGGAGGTGAATAGCAGAATTTATATGAGCATAAAAACAACGGAAATTGTGTACATTCAACTTTCAATTGATGAATTTTCGCAAGTACGGTATATAATCGTGGCGATACCACCACTACCAACCGTAGTTAGTCTCAAAGGCGCAAACACCAATATGAGTTTGACTGCTTCGTCAATTTCCATATTTTTTTGTCTTTTCAATGTTCTGACAGTTGTTTTGGTTTTAAAAAAACTGAAAAATAGTCTCTGTGGTTCCACAAACTCTTGCGGCTTTGCTCATGAACTGGCTTTTGCTCACAAATTTCAAAGTTTCATGCTACCAGTGCCCCCGAAAATGTTATGTTATTAAAAGATGCTGAAAATGCTGAAATTTATGTTGTCCTAAAAATCTTTCCCGCATGGTAGTCGGCACAAAGAACGTGTCAGTGAAGCATCCAGTCGACACGCTCAGCGAAAAGCAAGACTGCATCTAGCCGCGCTCCTTTTTTCTCAAATCCTTTTTTTGCAATTTATTCTTCTTTCTCTTCTTCTACTTTGAAATTCGCACCTACACATCCACTCTCTCCTTATCTTTTTCTCCGATTTCTTTCACTTTTCACAATGTGTGTTTCGGTATTGGAGGCCACAAACGAACGAAACTTTTCCTCAACATCTCCCCGCGCGCCCATTTACCCTCTCCCCCTGTTTCTCATCCCGGCGCTCTCTCGGTTGCACGTTTTCTCTCCAACTCGCTCCATTTTTTTTTCATATGACGACTAACACCCTATCGGTTTTGGTTTCAGCATCATCAAACATGGAAGGTCCACTATCAAAATGGACCAATATGGTGCATGGTTGGCAGTACCGGTGGTTCAAAATAGAAAATGACACACTTCTATATTACACTTCTCGGGAAAAAATGCTGAAAGGACAACAGAGAGGTTTGCTCTATAACCTAATTACATCAAAAGGTTTTTTTCTAGGCCAAATTCGTCTTTCTGGTGCTGTCGTTGGAATTGATGGTGAAAACAATAGCCTTTTCACAATCACCGTCGAAGGAAAAACGTTTCATATGCAGGGAAGAGACCTAAGAGAACGAAATCAATGGGTTCGAATTTTGGAGAACTCAATTCGGGCCAGCAGTGGATATGCGAAAAATGGATCGATTGGAACTACGCCTGCTCAACATTTCAAGCAGAAAACCGAAGAAGCTAGCGAGTTTTTGAAGACTCTAGTCGATAAAGTAAAAGAACTGGAGCAGTTGAAGAATGGCGAAAGAGTTGCCGATGAGAAGAAAACTATTGACTCCTTGATTGCGGCGAGCAACAATCTGACAAACAATGTGAAACACGCTATAATTTATCTTCAGGTCTGAAACTCTAACATCAAGTTTCTCAAATAAGTGTCACGTTTCAGATGGCTCAAGCTCGCCTCGATCCAAACATGAAAACCGAGAAGTTAATGTTCACACATCCTGATCTCGATGAAAAGGTTATTCTTACTAAAATTATACATTTATTTATGACTCAAACTAATCAGTAATGCGATGTTGAGTTAACAAACCGGGATGACGTCAGTTTTCATTCTTCTAAAATCTCACAACGACCGATAATAATTATAAGAATCATATATAACGTCCAGACTGCAGCGTTATTATCCCTTTATTTAACATGATCTCATTGCGCGAGAGAATCAGACATCAAAATTGTCAAAAATGAAGTATGTGTGTGGTCAACTGACCACCGATACTAAAAAAACGTTTACTCAACAATGCGTACAGAATTACTTTGATTTGAAATATATTTTTATATGAAGAAAGTTGATAGGTCATTCATTTTTCGCAGTTTACACCTTATCAGAAAGGTTGTCAGACTTGCGTCGTCATTTCTTTGTTTTGTGTGTCAGATCTTACTTTTATTTGCTACCACTTTTTCACGTGACCCCGCTAAAAGATTACGTTGGATTTTCAGATGCTGACACTGAATCACTGATTTTCGTAAACAGTTAACTACCTGGATTTTAATGTTTTTTGGCCCCTTTATCACCACCAAACAAAATTTGAAGATGAAAAAGAGAAAAAGAAACAAAAGGAAGACTTAATAGCATTTCATTCATATTCTTGATATTCAGCTCATATTGGTCAATGTGATTCTTCTTTTGCCCTATAGAGTTATGACGTGAGATTGTGTGAGAGAGAAAAGGTTTTTGAGATGTTCGCAACTCTTTGCGTTAAACAACTGCCGCCACGTTTCTTTTTACAGTTAAGAAAACTGGTAACCAATGAAGAGATCTACAGCTAACTGAACTTCTACAAAGGGGGTTCCGAAAAACTGCAAATCCTTGACGTTTCTATGGATATAGATTTTAGTATTCCATCAACTTTAAAATCGTAGTATTTTATTTATTTTTAAAGTAGTCACTGCTCGCATCATCAGTTTTTTTCTTCTTTCAACATTGCTATGTGTATTACCAAAAAGCGTTCACAGCCATCATCTCGTGTTGGTACTGTCTCCGACTCTACACAAACAAGCAGTCATCCATCGAGTAACACGGAGAAGCCGATTTCTGGAATTCAACATTTAGATCATTTGAAACCGCATCGTGCAGAGTCCTATGCAAGGTGAGTATCGTATAGTTCCCATCATTTTATGTGCGTTCTCCCCAATTTTCGCCCACATCATATGTGAAACAAATTTATTTTTGCATTGAGAGTGGAGGTTGAAGAATTGTGTCACTCTAAAGTTTGTTTCAATGCACATGTTCTTTTTTCTTGCAGTAGCGACGAAGAAGAGTTTTACGACGCTGACGAAGAACTGATTGATTTGGACAAGTTTGAAAACGAGAAAAGCGGGCCAGAATCTGGAGATTCCGAACGTTGTACTGACGCTGGTATTATGTCATCTGTGAGTTTTTCAAATTTGATTAGTTATACTTTCGAGTTTAATAATTTTCAGGATGAAGATGGATACGATTTCGGTGACTCACACGAGGATTTCGACGAGATTTATAACAACGCGGAAGAGCATGATATCGGAAATGTACAACAAGAACATGGTTCCGTTTTGATGCATCTTTTGAGTCAAGTGAGCGTCGGAATGGATCTTACGAAAGTCACTCTTCCCACTTTCATCCTTGAACGCCGGTCACTTCTCGAAATGTATGCCGATTTCTTCGCACATCCAGATCTGTTCATTGCCACAAACGGAATCGATACTCCGGAAAAAAGAATGATGTGAGTTGACGTTTCAAAACGGCTTTCATAAAATGAGTGCAATTATTTTCAGCTCTGTTGTGAGATACTATTTGAATGCGTTTTATGCCGCAAGGAAAAGTGGGGTGGCCAAAAAACCATATAACGCTATTCTTGGAGAAACTTTCCGGTGTCGGTATACCGTTCCGAACTCTTCGCTTAGTGGCAAGAAGACCGAAAGTGGACCATGGCCTGGCTCAGACGAAAAACAATTGACCTTCATTGCTGAGCAGGTAGAACTAAAACTTGGAACATTTTGTGTATGATTCAGTTTGTAGGTTAGCCATCATCCGCCAATTTCTGCGTTCTATGCCGAAATGCCATCAGAAGGTATATCATTCAATGCCCACATCTACACCAAATCTTCATTCCTCGGACTATCAATTGGAGTGGCCAGCATTGGAGAAGGCGTCCTCACATTGCACAACTATGGAGATGAACAATACACAATAACTTTCCCAAGTGGTTACGGACGTTCAATAATGAGCACTCCATGGTTTGAATTCGGAGGAAAAGTGAAGGTTGAATGTGAGAAGACTGGATACTACGCGGATATAGAATTTCTGACGAAACCATTCTTCGGCGGAAAACCACACAGAATTCAAGGGACCATTTGTCGAGAAGGCGTCAAAAAACCAATTCTGACAGTTCGTGGAGAATGGAACGGTACAATGTACGCAAAGCCACCAAACGGAGACGAGTATGTTTTCGTTGATGTCAAATCTAAGCCGGAAGTCAAAAAAGAATGTATTCCTGTGATGCAACAAGGAAAACGAGAAAGCAGAAGGTATCAAATTCTTCAACCATTATTGACAGACTCTGTTTTTATTTTCAGATTATGGCGACATGTCACTGCTGCACTACTCAGGAATCGAATTCAGACGGCTACAACTTCTAAACGGTTCATTGAACAAAGACAAAGACAAGAAGCAAAGGTTGAAACTAGAATTTATTATATGAATATGAAAAAAAAAACAATTTTTTGCAGGAACGGTTGGAGAACGGAGAAAAATGGACTCCTCTTCTTTTCGAAACCACGGACAAAGAAGGAGAATGGATGTACAAACAAAAATTAGGCGTCAGAAATACTCTGTGATTCCCTCTAAATGATTGATTTTTGTATGATACGAGTATAATTTTCAATAACAATAGTTTATTAGAACCTCTTTTCTCTCTCTCCTGTGCTCACAATCAGTTGTCTTCTAAACGCTCCTCGCTCTCCGTTTATTCTTTGAATTCTCTTGTAATATTTGCGTACTAACATTCTGTCAAGTCTCCTCAGTTAACAGAGCTTCGGTATTTTTATTCGGTGAAAAAAAATGAACAAATGGAATAATTAACTTCGACCGAATTCTTAATTTTTCAAGGCAAAACAAATTGAACAAGAATTATAGCTCAGCTTTGTTAGTGATTTGACCTCTTTTGTTGACATATTTGATTTCCGTAGTATACTTTCGAATTTCTTTCTTGAACCGCTTCTCCATGTTCTCCTCTGGTGAGAAGCTCATAACATCAACTACAGAAGCGAGCTTTCTGAAATCGGGACTTTGAGAAGAAGAAGGATTTCAAGAACCCACGTCGAAGCTTTTCCTCCCAGAGAAGCAACATCTTCATGACGTGAGAAACTTCGTTCTTCCAAATCTTGCTCATCTGCAAACTTGATGACCTCCATTGTTTGCGGCATGAACGCAATCGTATCTCTTCTTTCGTTCAATTTGTCGTTTACAGTGTTTTCGTGCATGTACTGAAATCAGAGAAGAAAAAGTTATCAAAGAAAAGTCAATTACTTCTAGAATGTCCATGGTTGTGATTTTCTCCTTTTCTGGATATCTCTTCCTGATTTCTTCTATGATTTTCAAAAGTTCTTTCACTTGAACGTCCATTTGCTCTTTCTTCGGTTGCCTTCTTTTGAAATTGATTCGACGTCCGAAATAATGAATTTTCATGAAAAGTTCCTTCAATTCCAACGCCGCCAATTCAGCACTCATTGAAAGAACTGCCACACCCAAAATCACCATCAGAAGATTAAAATGACTGATATCCTAAAGTTGACTCACCACATGTAACAAAAACAAAAATATAAATAATTGTAAGAATGTGATTGAGCTCAGTGGGCATTTCACTCATTGTCAAATTAGCAACCAAATTGAAGGTAAGAAAAAACGATTCAATGAATGTGGCACGTCCTCCAGCGGCAATGTACAGTACCCCTCCAAGCATACAGAATATCAGAAGGATTGAAGCATTTATAACAAGAGGAAGTCTCTTTTCTGGCATCTCATCAGAATCCGTTGTTTGTTCTTCTTCTAATGGAACATCTTTTTGTGTTGTACACTCTGAAATTGTGGATCCGGTATCCTGAACAAGCCGTTTGAAAGCATGAAGACGTCGTTTCTCATCACGGGCACGATGTCTCTCCATAATCACTGTTTTCATTATTTTCAGTTTGTGAACTAGATCCAAGTACTGTAAATTAAATTGGATTAAGTGGTTTTGAATTTGATAAAGTCACTTTGGAATAAATTTCCAGAACAATATGGGAGAGGAACCTTCCAAAGTCCACTGCTGCTAAGACCATTAGAGGGATACCAACTAGCCCGTAGATGATAGCAAAACTTTGACCGATTGGAGTGACAGGAGTAGCATAAGCATATCCGGTGGTTGTCTGTAATAGATTTTAAAACAGTGAAGCAGATAAAAATATACCCAAGAATCTTGGCTTAAAAGTTTAGACAAATTTTGAACAATTTTTGATGTGTTTTTGGAAATATGTCTTTTACCACAAATATTTCAGTTGATTCTCGGCCATTTTGACAATTTTCCGGAGTCTCGAGTTCGGCTGTTAAGTTTTCGATCCTTTAGAAAAGTCTGTAGGTGTAAAACATAATTTCGTTTTCTTCAGATTTTTGTATTCTGAAGGACACCTGTTTTGTTCTTATTACACAAATGAATCTAAAAGGAATGTCTTTCAGAAATGGGCAAAAAGCTGAAAAACTAGGAATTTTCAAAAAATTCTTTGAAAGCCAAGTTTTCACTCTAGGTCTGTTTTACACCATCCGAACATTTTCAAGTTGATCGAAAACTTGACAGCTGAACTCCAGGCTCCTCAAAATGGTAAAAATAGCCAAATATCAATTGAAATAGAAATTTTTGTGGTAACTGTTACTGTATAGAGGTCCAGGCTCCGGAAATTGTCAAAATGGCCTAAAATTAATTGAAAAATACGTTTTTGTATATCTTATTGACTAGTAATGTATATAAAAAACTTGATCCAATTTTTAGGATCATACTTCCACAGGTAAAGCGGGTATGCCGAAAAGCGTACTAACGGCGGCTGGATCTTTAAGAATTGGATATAACTTGTAAATGGGGATATATTGTGACTAAAGTATAAAAGGCCATCATTAGCAATCGGACCCCAACAACAATTTATGCTGTTTTGATGAATACATTAGAAAATATATTTTTCGGTTTTGTTACATTTTTTCTAATAACATTTTCCGAATAAACATAGTTTTTATATCATGGTTCTATTCCTAATGATTGATTTTTATTTATGCCTTTTGTCAAAAATTTTCCCCATTTACATGTTAAAGTCAATTCTTAGCTCTTCAGTCGCCGTTGGTACGCTTTTCGGCAACCACGTCTGATATGTGTTGACAACGATACCGTAAAACCTGTATTATTCCGGCCCTTCTTTTTTTCGTGGGGTCTTTTGGGGGACTTCAATTAAAAGGACCCTTCTAATAAGGTTTTATGATATCCAAACATTACCAAAATACTCAGAGCATATAGTATTGAACTCCTTATAGTCCATCTTGGTGGTAAAGCATCGTCACTTATTCCAGAAATCGTTGATTTGAAATCTCGTCCTTCATGATAAGTGGAGAGTCTAGAGTTAACATTGATCCAGTAAATGTTCCTTTAGTAAGTTACCCTGATAAATGTTGCAATAAACGAGGTCTATACTCTTTATACTTTCTATCATCTCCTATCAAAACTTTAACTTCGTTCTCGATTTTTCTGTATCTTTGACGAATTAAATGCAATTTTGTCATCTGAATCTTCTTATCTGCATCATACTCCTGGTAATAGAATGCGTAGGCACCTAAAAGAAGATAAAGAAACAAAAAAACGGCAAGACCAACATGGGGAAGAGCCATTTTCAGCATCTGAAAATATTTTTTCGAACTAACGAAAAGTAGGTTCTTGCTCACCTTTTTAAGCTTATTTTGCACCGGTAATTCGGAGCTCGATGAATTTTCTTCGTCCGACATTTTTCAGGGAGTATGTTTAGAAATAAAATGGAGAAATGTTGGATTCGTCAACCCTTCATAGAATGAAGCGACCCAAATAAACAAGACCCAGATGGGAATGTATCTGAATCCTCAACAAATTTAATAACGGATTTTTATTATTCTCGATATATTAAATATCTCGGTTGTTTCACAAAGAGACCAAGATTATGTTTCCATTAGTTTTTTATATCTCTTTTAGGAATCTTCGTGCTAGAACAGCTTCTAATCAAAACTCGTTGATGCAAGAAGGTTTTTATAGATGCAAGAAGGTATTTACACACAATTTATTCATATCAAAATTGAACCCGCGTTTAATAAAACAAAGCTACTGAGTCACAAATTAGAAAATAAACTACCGGAATATTTAGATGAACAGATAAATAATTATATGCGTATTCATTCTGAATTGATCGCGGTCAGCTTGGCGAGAATGTTATCGTTGAGCGCTTTCCAGAAGAGGCCTTCTTCGCATTCGATGTCAGTTGTGAAGAATACCTGGAAGTCGAAAAAAAAATTACAGGCGAGATAATTCGAATTCTGACCTGTGTAAACTTTGACATTTTCGTTAGCCGGAGAGTAGTCGATTTGATGAATTCTCGCTGTGTGTTCTCCCCGTCAACGAGCATTGTGAAGTTTGGGAAGTGCGCGAGCCCGATCGATTCGATTTTACTGAAAGAAAATGTTCCAGAATTTTGAATTAGATTCGGTATTAGTAAACCTCTCTCCGACCCAGATCCACGCACTTTCTTTCGAGTACAAGACATATCCTCGAAGATCACGGTTGCAAATCTTTTCAGCAAACTCTAGTCGTTGGATTGGTGTTGAGGTTGCCATTTTTATCTTCAATTTGTGATAATCAGAGAAAAATTCAGGAAGAGATCTTTATTAAAAGCCATGTCTAAAAATAACCCAAGAACATTATATTTTGTCCGAGAGAACTACACGGCTGAAGTAGATAAGCTAGGCCAGGGGTATGGCAATTATTTGAAGCATTTTCTATGGTTAGGTGTTACGGTCATTGAGCACTGTTTCTTTCTTATGAACTACCTGGCTATTTAAAAAGTTCAATTTTGCAGGTACTCAGAAATGCATTTCATTGCAGGAATTGCAGTAATAGCCTCTTTATGTATATTGATTTTCGCAGAAAGAGAACGGGTGGTTAGTTTATAATGTAGTTTCTAGGAAATACGATTGAAATTAATATTTAAGACAGACGGCCCGGTATCTCCCCAAGACCACCATAAACCTGCAGCACAACAGAAACTAAACTTGAGATCTGGTCCGAAAAGTGTGGAAAAGTTTGCTAAGGCACTAGATACCAATAACGATGGCTTTGTTGGTCCGTTGGGTAGAAATATAATATCTTTCTAAATGAATGAATTTCAGATAAAAATGAACTTCTTGCTTGGGTATCTGAATCATATCAGAAAACAGTTGACAGAGAAGCAGTGGAGAGAATGAGTGAATTGGATGAGAATGCGGATGGATTTGTATGTTCGATTTATTCTGAAACCTATTTGGAAAATATATTGATTCGCAGGTTTCATGGGAAGAATACCTCTTAGATTCATTTCCAGAAGAAGAATTGCACAATAAGGAGGAAGAAACTCTCATCGCACAAGATAGAATGTACTTCAAGCGTTAGTACTACAAGAATCGATTTTGATTGATTTTAAATCTTCTTTTTTTCAGAAGCAGATCAAGATGATGATGGGAAATTGAATTTAGAAGAACTTGCTAGTTTTCTGAATCCTGAACATCATCCTCATATGCATTCAGTTCTGATCGCAGTGACTCTGTTAGAAAAGGATCAAAATGGAGATGGAGCAATCGATGAGAAAGAATTCCTTGGAGAACTAGATGATCAGAGAGGAAGTGAATGGTATAAGGTTGAAGTTGAAAGGTTAGTTCCACTTTTACATTTCTAATTGGGCCAATATTTATTTACAGACGCATCGTCGGTGCTGTAGCGAAAACAGTGAACGTTTTTTGAATAAATACATGCGCCTTCGATACCGTATCTCGAAGTTATTTCGTTTTTGCATGTTTTCCGCACAATCAGACTTTTACTCGTTTGCTCGAGATACGGTAACGAAGGCCTATGCGCTTTCAAATAAACTTCAGCTGTAAATATAAGATTATAACGATCCTGTGATTTGACATTATTCGTTTCAGATTCCATACAGTTTATGATCATAACAAAGACGGAAAACTTTCTGGCGACGAATTAGTCGCATGGCTGCTGGTCGATGGAACCACAGCCGGATCGTACGAGGCACAGAGTCTTTTAAATAACGCAGACGATGACAAAGATGGAAAACTGTCCTATGATGAAATTGTGAAACATCACGCCCTGTTTGCCAAAACAGAAGCTGCTCAAGAAGCTGATCACCTCCATCCATATTCCCACGACGAGTTGTAAATAAAACTAATTGATCTCTTTCCATCTTAGTAACCAATAAATTGTACAGTGTCTTAAAGTTTATATGTTTATTCACAAGGTGGATTTTAGCCTTCATTTTACAAAAAAGTGGAGAGTTGGAGTTGAGATATATAAAATATAAATAGTAAACGGCTCGAATGGGTTAGTATTATGAATGACGGAAATGAGAGAAAGCGATGGTGTTGGGGGTGGAGAACGGTTTAGAGCATGCTGCATTTGCTCTTCTCGGCCCATGGGTTGACCTTCTTATCGATTGGGTTGACAAGTGGGTCCTCCTGGCTCTCAGTGAAGCGACGAAGCCTGAAATTTACATTTGAAATTCTGAAAAGCAAAAAGGGCATTGCAACTTACTCCGCAGCAGAGACAGTGATTGGAGTCCGCTCAATGTTGAGTTGGCTACGAAGCGAATCGACGTTTCTTTGCATATCAGACTTATCCATTGCTCTCTGAAAGAAGCGGAAATAAATGATTTGACTAAAAGAGGAGCGAAATGGGCAACTGAACGAGATGAGAATGAGCCTAATGCGGGGACCCCCTCTCCCCCGTACTCTCTGCGCTCTCTCTTCGCTCCGAGCTTCGCCTTCAACAATCGATGGAGGAAGCAGTGGGAAACGTGAGGAGAGTGTGGTTGAACAAGAGAAATATAGCGTGCTGCTGCTGTTTCGATTGGCACACACACAGGCACTCACACTCTGGCGCATACATTTCGCGAGCGCACCACTAGCCCTTCGGAAGGGTAACTGACGACGACAGCGAAGCAGAGAAAAGGGAAGAAGACGGGGAAGACGACGAAGAAGAATGAAAAGAAAAGAAGAGGAAAAAAAAAGAAGAAACTGAATCGAGTCTATAGCCTGGGAGCGTACGAAGAAAGCGCATGCGTGCGAAGCAAGAAAGGAGCAAATGGAAGAATAGAAATTTCAGACTCGCGGACAAAGTAGGCGGCGTCTGGTAGTCATATAATCAGAAGAGGAATACATTATTTGGGTAGATAAAGGGAGGAAGAATAATGACTCAGTAACACTAGTTCGCGGATGGAAAGATATTTGGGAGGAGCATCACGTATTAAACGAAGGCAATTTAACGAAAGACGAAAAAAGCGATTTCAGAATAAAAGTTATATTGGGTCAATTATGAAAAAAAATGATTCTTTGTGTTTTTCAAACCTATTCATGGATGCGAAAAAATGTTTTTGATGTTTTTCAAAGCAAATCATGAATATTGACCCTATCGATGTATATATATCAATACTAAACGAAAGAAACATTTTGCACGCAGAAGATTCCACCTGAACAAAAAAATCCATGCGAGCTCTACGAAGAGCTCTCAAGAGAACTGAAAGTGGGACTCTGACCAAAAAATTATATTAGATTTTTTTGTTTCAAAATGTTCTCGAAGTAAGGTATTTTTATAATACTAATACGAAAAAATTCAGAAAAAAGTCGAAGTCCCTGAAAAACGCCAACAAAATTGAAGCGCCGCTCAGTTCTCGTCAACGAGGGACTAGAAAAATCTTGAGTTCGGCCACGCGGCCACACATTTTTCGATCCAATTTTCGCCATTTTCATCCGTTTTTTTCTGTAATTTCTGTAAGAATGAAGCTGTTTTATTAACTATTATATAAAGACGGCAAAAAAACTGTGTTCAAGTCAACATTGATTACACGAGCGATGGAGAAGCGACGCTGTCAGTATTGATGTGACCAAAAGCCTGTTCGAAAGTTCATCATTGTTACTTCTGATGAAACTGAAAGAGTGAAATGGATTGAGATTATGGGCGACAATTTTGGCAGTAAAATTGCAGGAAACGAAATGTTTACTTCTTCTGACGGACAGCGTCGCTTATCCATCGCTCGTGTAATCAATGTTGACTTGAACACACTTTTTTTGCCGTCTTTATATAATAGTTAATAAAACAGCTTCATTCTTACAGAAATTACAGAAAAAAACGGCTGAAAATGGCGAAAATTGGATCGAAAAATGTGTGGCCGCGTGGCCGAACTCAAGATTTTTATAGTCCCTCGTTGACGAGAACTGAGCGGCGCTTCAATTTTGTCGGCGTTTTTCAGGGACTTCGACTTTTTTTCTGAATTTTTTCGTATTAGTATTATAAAAATACCTTACTTCGAGAACATCTTGAAACAAAAAAATCAAATATAATTTTTTGGTCGGAGTCCCCCTTGAAAAGAAGACTCGCTGAGAGCACGAGTACAATTTCCGTTATAGTACGGTATACAATTAGTGTTTGCAGACAATGCGGGCAATGCACAGAACGTTACGAGCAAACAAACAATTTGAATCGGGTCGAAAACTTGTTATTTTTTCTGAGTCCGTTTTGATTGTTTTCTAAGATTCTAGTAGCCGCTCTTCTGGTTTTCTTTGAACGGAATGTCAAATTTTGTAGAAACTTTCAGAAATGTCGACCGAATTTCAAGTGCAATGCCGAGGATTGCCATGGGAAGCTACTGAACAAGATCTGAGAGATTTCTTTGGAAGTAAGTCTGTGTCGAGAGTATATTTTATTGAAACGTTGAATTTGAAGACAATGGTATAGCAAGTTTGGATATTCCGATACGAAATGGGCGTACTAGCGGGGATGCTACCGTCACTTTCACCAATGAAGACGACTACAGGCAAGCATTAAAGAAGGATCGTGAGCATTTGGGTAGCAGGTTTGTCATTTGGGAGCGATTTATAATATCATCTAACAAAGGTTACAGATACATCGAAGTATTTCCAATGGATGAACCTCCAAGAAGACGTGGTGATCGTAACGATTTCCGTCCTCGCGGTGGTGGTCCACCCAGGGATCGATTTTCCGACAGGGGAAGTGGTCAACGTACTGGTCCCAGCACAGACCCAATTGTTCGGCTTCGAGGATTACCGTTCTCGGTAACCATCCGTGACATCAACGATTTTCTCGCTCCTCTGCCAATTGTTCGCGTAAGTTATTTTAGTCGCTTCTTTTACGAATTAAACTTTTCAGGACGGTATTCTTCTTCCTGATCAACAACGAGCACGTATTGCTGGCGAAGCTTACGTTGTCTTCGATTCACTGGAAAGTGTTCAAATAGCGAAACAGCGGCACATGAAAAATATCGGACATCGATACATCGAAGTTTTCGAAGCAACTCAACGTGAGCTTTCGAGATTCGCTGACGACAATGGACTTCGCGTACCACGAATAGGCCCGTCTCCATTTGTTTCTTCTCCACCCAGTGGCCCTCCGAGAGGAGCCTATGATCCATACGGTCAAGTGGATAGTTACAATCGTGCTTCAGAATACCGTCGTGCGGAACCAGAAGACCCTTACGGTAGGGCAAGAGCACCAGCTCCGGATTTTAGCTCTAGAGCGCCTTATGACCCTTATCAACAACCGGCTGCAGCATACTCAAGCCAGCCCTCTGCAACTGGCTTCTATGACAACTACGACTCAAAACCAACCTATGATAGCTACGCGCGGGACAGAGCTCCAGATCCACGTGACGCTAGAGATGTTCGAGATGCCAGAGATATGAGAGGCTCGAGAGATGCACCAAGAGACTCGAGAATGTCTGATTCGCGCATGGGAGATTCGAGAGCTCCAATGGACCCTTACGCCAAAGAACCAAGGTATGTGGATTTCTCATACTTTGATTAAAAGTTTCATGGTCGATGGGAGGTTTTGAAAGGCAAAGTTTGGAATATCGAGCTATATACCGTGAGCACTTCAATACCATCAAATTCTAGTTTTCAATATATATATATATATATATATATATATATATATATATATATATATATATATATATATATATGTATATATAGCTTGGGAACGTTCTATTAGAGGGCGGCATGCAATTTGAAAGTGGCATTTTATTATTCGGCTCCATTTTTTCCGGAAACACAAAACTATAAAAATTCTTCCTAAAAACAACAAATTGATAATCTGGTGAATCGTAAATTATTATTTGAAGTGACATTCAATCGGAAGGTGGCTTTCTGTTTTTCGGGGGGGGGGGGGGCACAACTCACAGAATGTTCTATTAGAGGGCGGCATCCAATTAGGAAGAGTATATATTAGAGCGTTTACGATATCCTCTACTTCTTACCAACTTTTCTGCCTGTCTGTGTGTCTGTCTATCTTGGACATTGACTTGGATAACTCAAAGGGAAAAAGGACTCCTATAGTGGTGTGTGGCATGTAGTCATGGACTACCGAGCGTTTTATGTGCATGTTGTCCTGAGCATTCTAGATAATTGGGACCTATGGAGTTGAGAATCAGATTTTTTTTCAAAAATATGCTCCGACTAGGTAAAACTTCATAGAAATTTGCAAAGCGTCTTCATGTGTTGCGTACAAAAAATTCAGAATAAATGTCAGAAACTAAATATTCATAAAAATACGGTGAATTTTCCGGAACGTTTTGCAAGATAAATTTTTTTTCGCGCCTTTTTTCGATTTAATGCAGGCACAGCTGCGCAGCGACCCAGAAGTTCATTTTTCAGAATGCGCGTTTAACTACCGTTTAACTACCGCGTTAGAGCGCATTTAAGCAAAAAAAAACGGGCGCGCGATAGTCCATGGTAAAGGGGGATCGACGAATTGGGCATAATTGGTTGCTTGGTAGATACCAAATTTGATCATGAAGTTTTAGGATGGTTGTTGCTTTCAGAATTGTTGTGTGTAGTGTTTTCGATTTAATGTTTTAATGGGCATTTAGGTATCCGGATGATGGCTATACTTCGAGGGACCCATATTGGCGTGGTTCTAGTGGAGGGCAATCGGGACATGTTAGCGCTGGAGGAGGACCAGGAATTCCATCGGCTCCTGTTTCGCGGGACATTTATTCGGGAGGAGATTCTTGGGCAACTGGAGGTGGAGGAGGAAGTAGGGCTGGAGGACCGGTCGCTTCCGATAGAGATCGCTTCGGAAGTGGGAGTTATACCAATGAGCCGTACGCACAGAGAGAAGGTAAGCAGACGATGTGAAGGCGGGCGATATTTAACGAGGGGAACATCTTTGTTGTCGATACAGCATTGTGTAACAGGTTGATAAACCCAAGAACTTGATTTTTATATCATGATTGTCCGTGGTCAGAACTGACAAGGTTGACAGCAGTGAAAACGGTTCCTCAGTCTGATGGTATGGTTTTTTAATATTCATAGTGATGGACAAAGGATATAAAAAATTTCCACATGACGTTTATCAAAGCGATTTTCGTTAGTTCCAGCGGGCTTGGGAATAAGGGCGGAGGGCATGGTTCTTGTATGCTCACCAATTTTATAATGTAAGTCGAGTTTGGGATATAGAACATGTTCACTACAATTCATGCCAGGGAGTGTTTTTCAGTTTATATAAACCATCCGGAAACGTTTCTTAATTTTTTCAGCTGGCGGAGCTTTGCGCCGTTCAGAATACGGACGTCCGGATGATCGATATTCCAGACCGGATCCATACGGATATGGGAGGTGAGTTGTCTAAGTTGATTGTTTTTTAAATGTTTATCCGTTTCAGAGATCGGGATTACGGTAGCCATGCTGCTCCAAATAATCAACACTTCGTTCTACGCATGAGAGGCGTACCATTCCGTGCCACTGAAACTGACGTCTACGAATTTTTCCACCCGATTCGTCCAAATCAAGTCGAGCTCATCCGCGACAGCCAATACCAGCGTCCAAGCGGAGATGCTCGGGTTATTTTCTACAGTCGGAAGGACTATGACGATGCTCTGATGAAGGACAAGCAATACATGGGAGAACGTTACATAGAGATGATACCAGACAATGGAAGATACTAAAAAAGTCCTTCAAGTTAAACACCCGTTTTAAATTATAATCAGTTCTGCAAATTGCTTTTTTTTAATTCAATCAATCTTTAATAAATCTAATTTATTCAATTCGCCTGACAAATTTTTTTTGTTCATGTTTTCATACTGTTTTCGTCTCCGTACTTCTGTTATGCATTCACCTAACATTGAAAATACGTATTGTGCTGTTTAGATGGATTCTGTCATTATGTCCCAAGTTCTCACCCAAACTACCCAACCGGGTAAAAGCGGACGAACAGAAAAATTCGTGGACACTCTTATCAATTTTCGGCAAAAGTATCAGAACTCGCTTGATGAAGTTTCTGAGACATCGAAAAATGCCGTTCGTAAAAGCATCAGTATGCTCAATCATGAACAGAATTGGGTATGCGATATCAATCTCAGTTTTCCGGTAAACGTCCAGTGCCTTTTCAGAAATCACTCCAGAAGTTACTAATCCAAATGTGCACTGATGATCGTGGTACCAAATTGTTCGAATTCATTCATGCTATATTCACATTACTGCCTATTCTACCCCAATCGAGTGAAACTGAAACCATCTCGACGAATTCAATGAAATTCATGATGCGGGCACTTACCGAAGCGGATATCTCAGTTCCAAACTTCTTTGGAATGTACAATGATTTAATGGTGCAATTGAAGGATGCTCCGAATCGTGTGCTCATTGAACTTGTTAATTATATCTCATCCGATTTGAAACAAGCAAATGAGCGGTTTATCGAGACAATGCCGGATGCGGAGAATGTAGAAAATATTAGAGTAAAAGACGATTCGGCGAAAAGATCATTCAATCAGAGGTGGAAAGATTTTGTGGCTGTTTTGATCAAGAAAATCCAGGATGTAGAGCAGGTTTGTTAATTTCCATAGGAAACTCGGTCTTTCAGCTGCTTGAAAACATACATTTCTTTCAGTTGGATTACAATGATGATCTCTTGTCTGGAAGAGAGACTGCTGACAATATCATATTTGAATGGCTAAAACTCACCGAAGATGTGAATGCATTCGAACTGCTCTCTGAAATTGCTGAAACTTTCTGTATTGACCGCTTTTGTGACGAAGTGATTGCACTAGAAATTGGAATCGACTGGTCTTCTGATCATCTGGACCTGGAAAAAAAGAGAAGAGGAATCATGACGTGGAAATCAATCATCCTCACCACGAAAACTGAGAAAGACAAATTGACAAGGCTGTGGACCGGAGTTATCGGAGCATGGGAGATTGATGAGAATTTCGAAAAGGAGAAGAATGACAGGAGAGAACTATCAAGCGACTTGGAGCAAAGCGTTCTTGTGGGACACAGAGTTTTAAGCAACAACTTGGAATCCGCTCGGAAATTCCTGTTTCTAATCAGAGTAAACCCTAATTTAGTCATCTTTGATAATGTAGTTAATTGTTTCAGAACGAAAAATATCGAGTCCTGAGTAGTGAGATTGGATTGATTTTTTCTCTGATTCAATGCAGTTTGGATAGGAATGATGTAAGTGTAATTCTTTGATATTCTTCGTATAGTTTTTCTCAGGCTATGGCTGACATGAAGAAATCACTACAGCGACTATGGAGAATAGGTGAACAAGCAGAGGATTGTGTATGGATCTCAGATATTGCATGTGGTCGTCTCCTCCGTCTGGTGGATCTCCAGTTACGAATCATTTCGGAAAGTCTGATATCAAACGATTATCTGCGACAACTTCTGAGTCGACCGATGTTTTCTTTGATGCTCTCTCTTCTTGATACCCCAGCTTACCAAAAACAGGTTGTTGTGGTAGACGGACGTGTTGCTGATGGATGTGCGCTTTGGCTACTTAGTAGAGATCTTCTTATTACTGTATCAAGGGCTCAGGTGGATATGGGAACCCATCTTTCCAATCTTTTCAAAGCTATTGCGTCGTCCTCTAGCAATTCATCCGCACTGGTTTTGATAGATGTCTTAAGAGAACTTGTTAGAAAGTGCTCAGTGGAGATTTTAAACAACTCAAGACTGATCGATGGACTTTTCGACTACGTCTGTCGAATGCGTAGAGATATAGCTGTTTCTCTCATCAGATGTCTCATTCCAATCATCAATACAAGACCACAATTGAGGAATTCGCTTTTCAAAAGTCTCAAAAAGGATCTTCTCTGTGAATCAACAGTCAGTTCTGCGGTTCCGATCGTTCTTCTACTCCTACGTAGTGTGAGTAAACGAAGAGAAGATGGAGGCGGTGGACAATTCGATCATTCGATGTCTCAATCATTTGGAACGTTTAGTACACAAACATTGAATAGTATGGGCTGTAAGAAAAATGTCGATCAAGCTGTTGGACTCGAGCTGATCGGAATCGTTAGAAGATGTTTGTGGCAACCGGCAAAAACGAAAATTGCTCTGTACGACGGAATTTGCGAGTTAGCAACTCAAACATCTACAATGCTCAATCAATTTTTGGATATGATTGTATCGCATTCTAAAACGGTCCCGGAATGGAAAAGAAGCGATATGACGACCACAAACGGAAGTCAGGTATACCTTGTCGAACCTGTCCCTCATCTTATTCAGACACTGGAATGTCTGATAAGTGAATTGTCTTCATTTGATCCGGAATTTAAATTGGAAGGTACTGAAGTGCTTCTGAGACAAGGAGCGAATCAGATGGAGACCTGGGTCGAATATGCAATGAGAAGTGATGCAACAGATATGGGATTGGATAGAAATACTGAGTGGACTACTGGCACTGTCAACGGAAGGTCTTCTCTTCTTTTTTCTCAAATGATATTGAGCTCTTACGACGTACTAATCGAGCACATATGGCGAAGATTTGAAGCTATGGGAACTAAAGAAGATATTGAAAAGCTTGTGATACTTTTGAATAGGAAGAATGAATTAGATCGCTTGTTCAAAGAAAAGACAGTCAGGAAAGAGAAAGATAAGGAAACGGAGAAAGAGAAGGAGAAAGAAGAGAAGATGGACACTTCTGAATCCGAAATCCTTAGTAGTGCAAAAACATTGGCTTCCATTATGAAACGATTGATATCACAACCGGATGCGGATAGCACCAACGCTAGTTCGGATATGTTAGTGGATGTTCAAATGGAGCTTCTTGAATGGGCGATTGGAAGAACTAAAGTTCTGTCAACTGATCTTGTCAAAGAGTATCGTCCACTCCACTCGATTCTTTCTGGAACCAATAGTTTGATTTCGCTATCGAAGTTAGTTTTAAGATAGCGTTTCAGTAATATAAATTTTTTTTTCTTGCAGAAGTCTCATTGACTTCTATGTTGGAAACAAATGCTCGCCATGGGCAAGCGAAATAAAAATGGGAAATCCGATGAAAACCCTTGCTATGGAAAGTTACGCTAACATTTTGGAGTTTCTTGGAATCAAATATAAGCAAGCACCATCTAGGGTTACGATGTCATGGTTCGAGGAGAAAGAAGGAGAAGATGAGGAAACTAGTAGAAAGAGAAAGGAACCAAATATTCTTGCGGTATTTACTGTTCAAATTCTCACTTATATGATACAGTTGGGTTTTCAGCTTCGTCAAGCTCATTTCCTCTCTTGCCGTTTGTTCCGACAAATTCTTGAAATTGAAAACGAAGAAATTGAAGAAGATAAGAAACCGAAAGCGCAGTACGAGATGCAAGAAAGGGCCATTCTGAGGGCAGCTTCCGCTGCAATAGGCATGGCCAAGAATGTGAAAGTGTGGTCCAACCTTTTCGTACGCATCATCAAAGTTTTGGAGGATGAAACGTTTTGTGAGTAGAGGACCAATTCCATGTCTATTTTCAATCTTGCAGATAACAACCAAATGCTTCGAGACTACTGTAAATTCATCACAACTTGTAGTCTTCGTTGTGCTGAATCTGACAAAACTTCATCGAAAGAGATGATTGTGATCATGGAAAATGTTTTAGAGTTTTTGAGTGAAGAATCGGAAGACATCAAATATCACTTCATCTCAAAAACAACACTCAATATTGCATTCGAGTTTCAGTTCAGCTACATAGAAAAATCGCTGGCTTTGATTAGAGAAGCATTCGGATTTCAGAAAGACTTTTTCGTGAAGCCACCAGTCTGTGAGTTTTTGAATTGTGATTCTTATTATTGCTTGAATTTTTCAGTTGATGGGATGCTGCATTCACTTCTCACCAAATGCATGGAAATAACTGAATTGGTGTCCCGAGCTCTTCAAATTTTCGTTCAATACAAAATGATGCAGGAACGAGTCACAGAAGTGTTAACCAGCTACTTCACCACAATTCAGATGTCTGTTGTCTTGCTTCAAAACTTGACCAAAGGCTGGGGAAGATCTATGTCAGACTGGCAGAGTGTTGATCTACTTGCTGAATTGGTGAAAACGAAATTGAGACCAATTCTGGCCATGGTTGATGATCATATTGGATTCTCGAAAGGAAAGGAAGAAATGAAGAAGAAAATTTCACAGAAGACGAGATATGCGAAATCGAAGAGAGATGAAAAGCTCTTTTCCAAATTTTCTCATGAGAGAGAAGCGGTCCAACATGGAATTTTAGTGCTCTGCAAGCTGATCAAAGACGAACGTTTCGATTTGCAAATCAAAGTGGGTTTTTTTTCGATTTTCGAAAAATTGGAGATATGAAAAAGAAACGCCGGTAGCCAATTAAAATACGGAAAATAAAAATATTTCTAGGTTACGGTAGTTGTCGTTGAGGGACCTTCAACCACCGGCGTTCCTCTTCCACATCTCCGATTCTTTGAACCAGAATAATAGTGTTTTTGTTTCATGATAATGTACTGAATATCATTCCTAATTTTTAGAATAACTCGATCGGTTATCGTGATTTCCGTATAGACATGGCAGTTCTCCGCAGCAAATTCAGCGGGGAAACCAACGATGAAGTTCGGGAGCCGTGAGTTATCGCGAACTTTAATAAGTATTCTTGTTGTCTGTTCAGAGTTCACAAAAGACGTCGCAGGGAGCAAAGCGACGAGAATGAAGAGTTGATGAATGAAACCGAAGAAAATACTACAGAAACGGCGGCAACGACGAATGCAGGAAGCTCCGAAGAGCCAGAAGAGCAAGAACGAGAAGAAGAGCCGAGAGAAGCAGAACACACAGTCAATGAGGTGCGTTTGTCATTTTTATTAGGCAGTTTTATAGCCGGAAGAAAGGAAAAACATCACTTAAGACTGGTTGATTGAGTTTATGCGGAATCTCTTTTGCAAAAGTTTAGGGCGTCATCTCACAAACAGGCGTAATACGAGTCTGTAAAGATATTAGACTTGCCCTGTCGCATTTCCAAATAAACCTAAGAACATGACAGATGTTCTCCTCTCAGTTCATACCCATAATTTGATTCGTTAAACATGTCGTGAACGGACAACAATCATAGTATGACATGTCACTATTATGAGGATAGGCAACAAAGACACATCATATTTTAAGATGGTATCCCCCAACTATTTATGAAGACAGTGAACGGGTATGCACTTGGGTTCAAGACAACGGGTCAGAAATCTCGCCCCAGTAAACGTGAGATTTTAGAAAAAATTCGCTTCTGAATGATATGGCTGAGGATCAAACTTTTAAAGGGGGCGTCCGCTAATTATAAAATTTTTGAGATTTTTATATCAATCGATCCAGAATTTTGGGTCGGGAAGAAAACTCTCTTGGAGGATAGTCCGAAAATCACTCGTTCTTAAGATATATGCCAAAACGTCAAAAAATAATCAACGTAGAGGGTCAAAAAAACCAACGTCAAAAAAATCAACGTAGAGTGTGCAGATTAGGGTCTTGTCTTGCCGAGCTTGTTGGGCGAAAAATCACGCGTTGCAACTCTTTGATTAAAATTAGTTAGGTCAAATCCACGTCAATTTTGAAGTTATTGAATTTCTTCTGGCCTAAAAGTCATTTGGGGCGCTTTTTTTTGGCCCGCTGCCTTGAACCCAAGTGGATATGTAGTTTTTTTCGAAATGATTGAAGTTACCGTAAAATATAATAGCAGAAGGGCCTTCACACTGTAAAGTTTGAGCTAATTTTTATTGACTCCTGTGCAAGATATCGGGAATGTGTCAACTGATAAAATGCTTGTGATATTATGATAAACTATTTATCAGTTGAAAATTTGTTTATATCTTTGATATTCACCGGCATAAATTGGCTCTATGTAAAAAGTTGGAAGGTTATCTTCTTTGATACAACAGTTACCGTAAAACCTCTAATAGAACGACACCCGGATCGTCCACTTTGAGCCTATATATCTCATTTTCTGCAAAAGATATCAAAAAGTGGCTAACTAGTAAAATGTTGCTGATATCCTGATAAACATTTTACTAGTTAACCACTTTTTGATACCTTTCAAAAGAAGTGAGATATATAGGCTCAAAGTGGACGTTCCGGGTGTCGTTCTATTAGAGGTTTTACGGTAAGTCTCATTCCACTACACACGCGTATTGTTAATTTGGGACCACTGATGTTATCAGATGATGTCAGATGTTATAATTCGTATTTTCTTATTCACACTCTCTAAACCTAAGTAACCAACAACGATCAAACACAGAACGCCACACCCGTTCCTATTGTGTCAAGATGACCGCTGTGTGGGAATCGCAAATGCAAACAAATGTGAACATATCCTCTGCCACCATCTGTTACACGCTCAGCACTCCCAATTATCGCTCAACCAATCTGGGGGGATAGGTCCATCTCTTTACGACTATGTTTGTGTTGTTGAAGGACCAAAGCCATGCCACTCCGCGCGATTATACTTGACGGCTACATTCTAAGCGCAGATTTGTGCTCTTTCCTTGTAACGTCATCAATTTTATTTATAGGTAAAGCAAGAACCGGAAGATGATTATGAAGCCAGAGATATCTCGAGAGGAACCAGCCCAGTCTTCTGATCGTACTATGTCAAAAACTCTTTAATTATATGCTCTCAAGAAAATGTTATAAATATTTTATTTGCACATCGTTCTATTCTGTTATTGCTTTCAATTTTGTTCTAATAAGTTGGTTTCAGTCTATACGACAACCACTGGAATATCTGAGTATAGATCGAACCGGCTGATGTAATTTTCGTAATTAGGTTTCCATATTTTATAACTTTCGTTTCTATTCATATTACCGTATTCACACTTATCTGTTAACCTGCTACATGACTAGTGATGTTCAAACCGGAAGTGTTTCTGACGTTCACAGTCTTACCGTTCATAGTCACCGCTCTTCACCCTTTCTTCAGCTCTCTTCAGACAACAATGCTCCATCGGACATATTCCGCGCACTGCTTCCCCTTCCTTCTCTCTTTTTTCCACCACCTCACCGGTGCCCCATTCTTCGTGCGCGTTCGTCCTCGGTTCGACACCAATACCGCCTTATTCTACCCCTTTTCGTCAGGCAAGGGGGCTATATGACCAGTAGTTTTGCAATTAATGCGCCTCTCATCCTCCCTCAGTCTTTCTCTCCCCTCTCTTTCTCACTCTCTTCTTACCCCTCGCTGTCTAATGTACTCTTCGAATCGCACGCTGTTTGTCTTTTTTTTGTCTTCTCCTTCCTTCCCTTCCATTCTTCATCTTCTACGTCTTCTTTCTCTTCCTGTGAACAATCGAATTTTCGCTTTATCCGTCAAACCCAAGAGCTATTTTTATTCCAGTTTATCTATTCATTCCTGACGAAATGAAGCCTTCCTATTTGGATAGTCTTGAGCGGATCAAAGAAGAACATTCTGAGATGAGTAAGCATTTGAGCCAGCAGAAGGTAATTTAAAAGTTAACTGACTTGAATATGATTATTCGTTGCAGAGTGAGCTTGAAAAGATAAATATGGAGAAAGAGAACATGACCCGATCCTTCATGACTTACGCAGAAGTGTCTTCAACAATGCGTGCAGATCTCAAAAGAGCAGAGGAAATGAACAAACGTCTACAAGACTTCATCATGCAGACGCTGAGCCCACTGCTCTCTCCGGAGCACCAGGCGAGCTGTCTTGCTGCCTTGGAATCCTTCAAATCCGCTTCATCGCCACGAGAAAATGGAAATGGTGCTGCTCTTCCACCAGGATTCCCACCAGTAGCTGCTGGAATGCTCGGAATGTTTCCAAATATGCCATTCGGAATGAACCCAGCAATGAGCCAACTCTTCAATCAGTTCGCCCAAGGAAACGGTGCAGACGCTGTCGCTGGATCATCTGGAGGCTCTGAAGCGAAAAAGCCTAAATTGGAAGAACCTGATGACGGAGAGCTAGAAATCGACGTAACGAACGACGATAATCCAACCACAGCTAACGGTGCTACTCATAAAAACGGGAGAGATAGTACAAATAGTGTTGCTTCATCTGGAGCATCAACACCGAGCATTGCTTCGAACTCGGCGAAAGGAAGACAACAACAGCCTCCTGGAAATCTGCAATCGCTAGAGCAGATGAGCTTTTTAGCTGGACTCAGTAAGATTTTAGACAATTTTCATTATGAACTATCACACGATTAAACCGTTCAGATCCGAACATGCTCCGACAAGCAGGAGGATTCAATCTTTTCAATGATCCACACACTTCAGCACGATTGGCTGCTGCTATGAATCAAATGGGAGGACGACCAGCTTATTCTTTCAAGATTGTTGATAACGGCATCCCAACACCTACCACATTCCCACCAGATGCACAGAAAGGACCTGGAATACCGACGTAAGTATTCATACATTTTCCCTTCTGATTCAATAAGTATGAATAGCTAATAATACAAAATGTTTCAGTGGTCTCAAGAAACGAATGGAACTAAATCATGGAGAAGTTGTCTGTGCAGCTACGATCGCTCGTGACAACACAAGAGTGTACACTGGTGGAAAGGGTTGTGTCAAAGTTTGGGATATAACTGAATCTGATCTCACTTCCACCTCAACTGTCAGCCGACCATGTATTGCAACCCTCGAGTGTCTCAAAGACAATTACATCCGCTCATGCAAACTGTTCCAAGACGGAAAAACTCTTCTGATTGGTGGAGAAGCCAGTACTGTTGCATTATGGGATCTTACAACTCAAATGAAGACTCTGGATTTGGAAACTGAGTCCCAAGCCTGCTATGCTCTCGCATTATCTCCAGATGAGAAACTCTTGTTTGCCTGCTTAGCCGATGGAAACATTCTCATCTATGATATTCACAATAAAGAGAAGGTTTGCACTCTTCCTGGACATCAAGACGGAGCTTCATGCCTTGATCTTTCTAATGACGGAACAAAACTTTGGTCAGGTGGACTTGATAACTCTGTCCGCTGCTGGGATATGAGCCAACGTGTCGAACTAGCCAAATACGATTTCAACAGTCAAGTCTTCTCTTTGGGATGTTGTCCAGATGATGAATGGGTGGCTGTTGGAATGGAAAACAATAATGTTGAAGTTCTCTCAACATCTGGCAAAGAAAAATATCAGCTAACCCAACACGAATCCTGTGTACTGTCTTTAAAGTTCGCCCATTCTGGAAAGTTCTTCATTTCTACTGGAAAGGTATGTGAGACTAAAATTGGATAGGTCAGACCTCGAACCTCTACCAAACCTATTTTACGATTTCTTTGAATATAAACCTCTGTTCGAGTTTCAGGACAACGCGCTGAACGCTTGGCGAACACCATACGGAGCTTCTCTTTTCCAACTGAAAGAGAATACATCTGTCCTGTCGTGCGACATTTCCTTTGATGATTCCCTCATTGTGACTGGATCTGGAGAAAAGAAGGCAACTCTATATTCAATCGACTATTAACTGAATTCTCCCCCCCCCCCCCAGCAACCAAGATACTCAAAATTTAAGTACGATAATCGTATAATGCTTCACCAGTTTTCTCCTTCTCACCGACGTTTTTACAATCCCTTCCTCTTTCCTCCTCCTGAACTCTTTATTTCTTATAGATTGAGCGTTACATTGTTATTTTATGTACTATGTCACTGAAACTTTATTATACTTGCATTTAAATGTGGATGGTCTAAACTGAATAAACGAGCTCGGTTTAACTTCTGTTCAAAAGTCTGTCACACGTCCTTTTCGCTCCCAATCTCCATATCGAGTTGGCTCCGGTCCTGCTGGTCCACCAACTTCGCCGGTCTTCTTATTCACGCCACCTGGATGCTTTTTCAGATGAGGATCTTCGTACTGCGGCACGTCTGTTTTATCAAGCGATCCTTTTGGCGTCTTGTTGGCCATTGCTTTTTCCTTTAGACTTTGCTTCGGTTTGTCCGAGAAACGGCGCAATGAAACTTAAAGAAATGTACATTTGTACAGAACCCTTAAGTTTAGAAAACATACTACTTGATGTTAGGCGAGATAATTGACGAATCATTCCACCTATAACTGTTTCGCTTAAACTATAACTCGAAGCGAATGAAATGCTTCCAAGAGTACTTGCAAGGAGTGTTCACCGTTTCAATTTCTTAAATACTGAATGAATTAAAGCATTTTATTTTATCACAATTGAGACATTTATATCATAACCGAAAAGCAATAGGAAGCAATGGGATGGTGTGGTAGATCATTCGGAGACTTTTGACATAGTTGGAATTTAGTTAAAAATGAACTTGTAAGCCGTATAGATGATCAATCCCATGGTTGTTGGAATCAAAAAGTTGGTCCAAGTTGGAGATGTCATGATGTCAGTGAAGTCTTTGAGAACAGAAGATTGGCTTCCTTTAGACTGAGCAACTTTCGGTGCAGTTTTCTCTGACTTCGAGACTTCGGACTCTGGCAATTGTCCGATGAGATACTCTTTGGTCATTTCAATGGCATCCTTCGAATGTCCGACATCAAGGAAGCCGACGGTAGCATCCTTTCCAGCCAACTGAGTGATAACTTCCTCACCTCCGGGGTGCTCATTCAGAAACTTCGTGACATCGTAAACCTAGAAACATTAGGATTATTCTTAAAACCGTAGGATCGTTTCTCCACCTTTCCTGAGATGACAATCCAGCACGATTTGTCAACGCCTTCATAGTTGTGTTTGGAAACCTCCTCGAGAGAAATGACACGAAGCTCTGACATTTTAGATGAACCCTGTTTAGAAAATTTTTTTTTTGGGTTAACAAGAAGCAAAATGATATCATGAATGGTTAGTAACCAAAATCTACTTATAACAGCTTTAAGTTTAAAATAAAACACTTCATTTGTGAAAAACCCAATTTTTGAAAAGGATCAACATCGGGATAATAACCCATAAAAATGATAGGCAAACTTCAAAAAGAACAAAAACTACAAACATAATATTTTCAGATATATCTAATTTTGTTTCGGTCGGTGGTCAGCTCCAACTGCTTCCGATACATGCGCGAATCCATCCCGCTTGAGCAATTCTGACAATTCCCGCTTGATTTTTCCAATAACTGGAAACCCTTCGTACACGAATGCAGAATACAATTGAACTAGACTGCCTCCGGCACTAAAAATGTTATAATTGGAATCAATTGCATTTCTTCGATTATACCGAATCTTTTCATAAGCATCTTCCCCGCTGAATACTCCTCCACACCCAATGATCGGAATCTGGCCATTGGTGAGTCTGAATACAAAAAACGTAGCGCCAGAAACAACAAACCAGCACTCACTTGTACATTTTACGGATACATTCTGTGCTGATTTCTCTTACTGGAGCACCACTCAGTCCACCCGTTTCTGCCTTGTTCTCAGATTTCAAATAATCTGGTCTCGCTATTGTCGTGTTCGACACAATTATTCCGTCGACTCCAAACTTCTTGTTTGTAACGACATGTGCGATGTCCTTCATTTCCGAATCGATAAGATCAGGAGCAATTTTAAGGAAAATTTGAGGTCTTTTCTCCAGTTTGTGCATATCAAGTGATTCTTTCACATACGCTAAAAGTTTCTCCAAATCACTTTTCTTCTGCATACTCCTGAGTCCCGGTGTATTTGGGGAAGAGACATTCAGCACCAAATAGTCACAGTGAGGAGCGAAATAATTAACACCGATTTCGTAATCCAATCTTAAAAATATCAATAACTATCAATATTAAGAGATTTCGAAGTTTCTTACTTGGCGTCTTCTGTCAGCTTGTTTTTTCCAAGATTAACTCCAAAATAAGCATATTGTTCGGGTACCCACGCATCTCTAGCGCTTCGAACTCTTTGATGAACTCTTCCAACTCCATCGCTATTGAATCCATATCTATTGATAACACCTTCGTCTTCTAGCAATCGAAAAACTCGAGGACGATTGTTGCCTGGTTGCGGAATCGGAGTGACTGATCCGATCTCAATGAGACCAAAACCAGAGTTTTTGGCGAGTTGAGTGATTGCTTGGCCATCTTTATCAAATCCGGCTGCTAATCCAATAGGATTTCTGAATTCTCTTCCGAATAATTCACACTTCAATTCTGGATACTCTTTTCTATTCCATCCAAAACGAGGTAACAGTCCCCACGAAGCCGCTCGCACTGCCCATCGATGTGAATCCTCACCATCCACAAATTTATGAACCATTGGCATCACTGCCTTTTTATAGAATGTTTCTGATCCATAAAGTAATTCGAGAGCCGTATATCCTGCAAGGCCAGTTGCGAGAACGATGACAGTGGATTTGCTGATGGCACCGGGGGGAAGTTTGGGATAAATGTATTTGCGATCGGCGTTTTGATTCATTGTTCGTTGCTGCAGGACTTTTTCAAACCAATAACAAACTTTTCGAGCTGAAGGTTCATTTATTTTTCAACGGCACTGAAAAAAACAAACCTGTTCTGGTGTGAAATCTAGAACCTGTAAATCTCCTTCTTCGTAATGAAGTACCAGTTGAAAGAACGGCTGGAAGAGACAGGGAGAGGAGTTACACCCAGCTGAGGCCTGGAAGAAAAATTCTTTAGAAGCAGAACCCAGAAATTTTGTGTCTTGAAAATGGCTTTTTACTTCTGAATCTTTTTTAGAGGTGTTTATAGTAATTTCCAGTCCATATTTCATAGAATCCTAGAGCGTCAGTGGGCGAACAGATACTCGATAATCTAACAAGGAAAAAACTACATTTCAACGGAAAATGATCAGATATCATTTTCCTACATTCGATTGTTTTAGGCCAAAAATTTCACATGAAACATCGATTCTCCTGCAGAATGATTTGTCTGCGGCGATAAAAACGATTTGATAAGGACTTGATAAAGAGGTACAAAGTTGAATATACATGGGTCAGAGATCGCCTTTACCTTCACAGCATTAAAGAAAATATTCTTGAAACACTTACTCTGATTTTGTAGTCGTAAGATATGAGTTTCTTCTTTATGATTTTACTTCCATGTCCTGATGACATAAAGCCTGTAAGGTAACAATATTGTTTCGGAATTGAATCGAAGCTTTCAGAAATTTTCATAAAACTGGAAAATAATTTGAACCATTCGAGTGGTGAAATAAATTCTCAGCAAAATTGAAGTGTAATATCAAATCCAGAAAAGGATCGCAATAAAGACTGATAACTGTTCAGACAACTCATTTTAATAGAATGGCATAAAATATATTCAAAAAATCAATTATTCGGTAAATTTCGTTAGAACTCTTTATTCGGAGATATTTACAAAAAAAAAAGAAGTTAAAAAATGAAAAAATATGAAGGGGCGGAGCCTTGCTCTTCCAAATGCAATCCCACCGCACAGTTTTCCCGATACATTTTTACAGCGAGACAAATGCATTTTGATCAGATTCAATGACTAAAGTGCTGTTTTAAAAGCAAAAGCTTTGAAATTTTTTCTCGTTTTTCCTATTTAAATAAACGAGTATTACTCGAATTAAATAATAAATTCATTCAAATTTCAGATGACAATGACAGCTGCAGACAACTTCAAACGGTACTGCAGTCAGCTTGAGAAATATGGACAGACTGAAAGTGTTCACTCTCCTGTAATGGCTTTATTGCGACGAAAGTATTTCTAGATATATTCCTGATCGTGTGGTCTATTTTTCTATATTCAGAGCCCGCAAACAGCTTATTGAGCTCATGAAAACTGACAACGACTGTACGAGTAGCATCAACAAGCTTTGGATCGTGGGCTATTATCATCCCTTTCAGTTTTACGCTCGAGTTCGTAACTCTCTTTGTTTTCCGTTGATTCGTTAAGAATTGTAGGAAGACAATAGTGATATGGATACGATTACTCTGCTGACAATGTTTTGTGGAGAACTTCAAGAAATGCTGATGCTCACCGAACAAATATACGCATCTATTTGGAATTTGTATATTGCTGATCTTCATCGATATATGTCTGATGATGAAATCCAAAAGTCGCTCGCTGTTGGATATTATACAAGAACCATAGAACTAGATCCCAGCTGCGGTCGAGCTTTTCACATGCTTGCTCTTGTTCAACCCAATCTGCTTGTGGCACAAAAAGTTAGGCTTTTGATGTTAGCTCAACTAGCTGAAAACCCTGTGAAGAAACGTTTGGATGTTTCTGAATTTGTTAAATCCAGCGAAAGCGATTCAAACAGTTCAGATCAGCTTCTTGAGGACTTCGCCAATTGGGCGCTGAACGAAAACCAAAAAAGAGTAGACCATCAACTGAACGGATTGAAGATGATCAATCAGTTTGAATCTGATTTTAAAGAAAGCCCAATTTCGAATTGGTCGATGACGATGTCCGGATGTCGTTACGTTGCTCAACTGGCAAATAAAAATCTTGGATGTGAGTGGAAGTCTTCTCCAAGTCTAATCTATAAAATTGAATAATTTCAGTCAACCAATTCATCGATTGTTTCGATGTAATAACGTCTTTCTATCTGGAAATTTATTCATATCCTTCACCAACGATGTCCCTATGTGCTGAGATTATCTCTTGGATTTGCGATGCCAAAGAGATTTTCGATGTGAATGACCCAGTTAAAAAAGAGCCATATTTCCAATCATTATCAGTTTTCGCAAAAACTGTAAGTATACTTTTAATAAAAGTTTGGGCAACAAATAATCTTCCAGAAATGGAACGAACTGAATGATCTCGCGATTGAACAAATAAACACTGTTTTCGGATCTGGATCACTTTCTGAAGGCGTCAATAGTATCCGCTACCTAATATTTGGACCGGAATCGGAACCATCATTAGAAGAATTGAGTCTGTTAGTCAAAAACTATATTCGTCTTAATCAATCAACAGTGGAGTTGCGATCTGAAAAAGGAGACGATAGTCGTCTTCTAAAAAGGATAAACCGATCGGAAACGAAACGTTTGGATATCCCGTTGGAGGTTTTGGCTGAAAAAGTCAGTCAAATGAATCGGGAGGACTGGAGACCAGTTTACGTGATTATGGACTACGATACAATACTCAACAAATCGCGTAATGCCAGAAAAGTTTGGAGTATAGACGATTTCATCTGTATCCTGCCATCTAGCGTTCTTGAGCAACTTGACAGTCAAAAAATGAAGATCAAGTCTGTTCGTCCAGTGATTCGAACGTTGATGGAGCTCCAAGCAGAAGGAAGAATTATTCTGAAGGCGTGTGAGAATGAACGACGGTGTGCCGAAGAATTAGTGCAAAGTGTAAAAGGAACGGCAAACGATCACAAGCACATTGTCGCATTTCTGTGTAAATGTCCAGAAGAAGAAAATCCAATCGAAGGAGTCACATTCTATGACATCGATAAGTTCTATACCAAGTATCTGAATAGTTGAAAATCTTATTCTACACATTCGGCTGAATTGTTCGGTGGAGAAAAAAAGATTCTAACTGGACTGTGATACCTCGAACTTGTTCATTTTTATGCAAATAAATCTCTCATTAATAAATAATTTGAAACGGTATTCACAATGAAAGGGAAGAAGTTAGTGTGAGAATCGGAGGCGATCAAGATTTGAACTCCGGTGAGTTTTTTTAGTAACAATCAAAGCGATTCTGAATAGAATAACTATGTGTGTTCTCAAGGGAATCGTAAAGAAAGTGCACTGAGAATATGTACAACGGCATCGGGAAAAGTATGAATTATGAAAGGTGTTTAAAATAAGTTTCCATCTGAATTGAAAATACCCGGAAATGGTGATTTGTGTCGGCTGAGAAAAGGGGGAGGGAAGATGCAACACTTGACAGTAGGTTTAAAGCTTTTAGCGACTTCCAAGAGAACACAATATCCGAGCCGATTGATACATTTAAAACATTAAATAAAAGGATGAGCAAGTAGAGAGAATTGTCAATTCAAAACAATCGCTCGGATAATTTTTAAAACAAAATCCGCCTCTTCTGTTCATCAAATTACTTTAAAGACTAAAAAATCGAAGGGGAGGTGTATATCATAAATTAATCCGGGTGATTTTTTAAAAATTGACAATACTATTTTTGAAACGGGAAGGATATAAAAAATCACAGTTTTTGCTTGGTTCGTTTTGTTTTCGATTTTTTTCTTGAAAAGTTCTCAATAGATACTAATAAACAAAATGAAGTATTAATGAAGTCAGCTGATCAATCAATTGTTGCTCCTTCTAGAGAACTTGACGTCGTCTGATTATTTGCTGTGTAGGGAAGTTCCCCAGCCGCAGTGTTTTTCCTATACACGAATACTTGTCCCAGGATGAAAATGTCAATTGAAATCTGAAAAATCGAAATAAATTTACGGTTGTCAATAGATCACTACCGACCTGAAGAATGGCACAAATCCAAAACTGAAGTGGGCTGCCTGTTGCTACAAAGTATCCAGTTTTTGCAAGGTCTCCTGCCAACCAAGCCAGAACCATTGGGATACTGAAAAATAAATAAATATATTTTTTTCAAACAATTTGTTTTCGTATTCTCCCAAATCCAGAAATTCTTCAGAACCGTCATTTTCAGGTGAACATAAACGAAAAAAAGCCCATAGAGTAATTCTCGAAATCCGATCCGTTTTCAAATAGACACTTTCTCTTTTTTCATGTATCTTTCACTCTGATTTACGTTTCGTTCCGAAACGAACCTTGCTTTTTTTCGTACTTTATGGTTATGTAGCAAGAAGATTTATCTAGCGTTCCCAAAACGTTTTCCAAATATTCATTGAATTTACAAAATCTCTAATAGAGCTTCGATTAGCTATTATGAATACAAACCTCATTCCCTGTGTTGACTTCCTCTGGAAATTTCGAAGAAGTTGTGGTACTCCAAGCGTCGCTTCCGTGAGAAGTGCACACATTCCGATCGCTTCAATGTACACTGTTTGCTGAAAACACAGTAATTGGTGAAATGGTGTTGTGTAGAAGCAATCCTACGTTGATCAGAATCCATGTCGTGATGGACCAGAAAGCCGTGAAAACAAGAAGTGCGATGATGAATGATACCAGGTCGTGCCATGCCCAGAAAGCGTTGAAGAAGTCCCCTTCTGAAAATAGCGATTGAGATGTTCTTGAATTTTTTTTGTTTTATGAAACGTGGGCTTTTCTGCTTCACTCTTTCCACCACAGTAATCATATAGTAGGGGTTTCAGATAGAGGGAGAAAGAGAGTGAGACATATTTAAAAGTCCAGCACAACGAAAAGTTACTGTAGAAGACGTTTTGTGGTTATATCACCTGTGAAGTGATCCCATTTTCCATGAGAAATCACGTAGTAAGCGTTCGCAATGGAGTTCCGGTGGTAGGTTTGCTCTAAAATAAACTGAACGAATGATACCAATCACCACACGATGAATGGGGGAAAAAAGGACTAAGGTGGGACTGTAGGATGGGAGTGTGCAATAGGACAGTGGTTGACATTCACAAATGTTTCTTGAGGACGTTAGCATGCCAGATTGATTAAAGTTACCGTAAAAACTCTATTAGATAGCCACCCCTAATTGAATGCCAGCCTCTAATATGGTGCCATCCTTGAGCACCTCCGAACAATAGAGTGTCAGCCCCTAATTTAATGCCACTGCGGATTTGATGTCACTGTGGTAAAAGTTAAAGAATAACGCAAAGAATCATTTTCTGGTTTTTTTCTCCGAACAATAAAGTGCCAGCCTCTAATTGAATGCCACCCCCTAATACAGTGCCACCCCAGACCACCTTTGAACAATACAGTGCCATGGATATCTAATAGAGTTTTTACGGTAGGTTCATATCGTTTAGGCTTTTATTGCTAATTAGCTTGCCAGTTCTTTGTTTTAGGTTAACTGAATTTTGTTAAAAGTAAGTGCATTTTACAGAACAAACGACCCAGTTCTTACTATTCGGTGACTAGGGAAACATACAACCAAAGGCGAATCTTTTTGAATGGAAATTCATCAGGATTTCTTCTCGTAATCTTTTATTCGTCGAGTCACATCTTTTCTATTCCAACCTTTTTTCCCTCTGGTTTCTTCTTCCTTTTCCCTGATACATAGAAGCGAGTGTTAATGATGCTCTACTCTGTGGTTGCCCATTCTCCGCCCATTTTTTTCGTCTTGCAAGAATTCGCACGACTTCTCCTCCGAGTTTGGTCCACGTGCGCTCTAGCAATCATTGTTTACCACCACATCTCCTTCATCGAAATCAAGAAACAAAAACGATTTGGTAGCTTTTGTGGTTGTGGTGCCAAGCTTTTTTTGCTTCTAATTTTTCCTTGAGCATGACTAAAGGGATTTTTTTTGTTTTTTTTTCTCCAGACTCCATTTCTATTCCTGATGACGCCCCAATTTTTTCAAAGAATCATAAATGTGTTCTGAACTTCATCAGCACTTGCATAAAGTGTGAGGGTACTCGTCGCAAAAATTTTTGTCCAAGTAATCCATGCATCTGCTGGAATTGAATTGATCTCTTCTGACGACAAAAGCAAAGAAAAATTCAGCAAATTTTATTCTACTTTTTTCTTTACATCTAGGTTTCGCCTCTTCCGAGCCCACTTCTTCTGTGTGAGTGTGTGCGCAAAAAGTAGTCGCATCACAGCAGAAGAAACTTCGGAAGAAAAGAGCAGTCCTCCCCGTTATTCAATATTCTTCCCCATTTTGACCTGATCCTTGACTTTTTATGGTACTTGAAGGAATCCTTCTTATGCACGTGCTCCCTACTCTCAAAATCTTTCCAAAACGTCTTCTTCTTCTTCTTCTTCTTCCTTCTGTTCGGTAATTTGTGTGCAAATCCGTTTTTTCATAACATGGACAGAAGGAGTAACGAGAGAAAAGGCGATCAGAGGGAAATACAAAAAAAGACGTTTGAAGAGAGGTTTTCGGGATTTTCCAAAAACACATCATAGACCTTTGCAATTTGCATGGCAAATCGGATCGAATTATGTTGTTTCAAAGCACATCAGACGGCAGTGGTGGTATTGGACATTGAACTAGGTGACGGAGTTAGAATCTGATGTTATCGTATAGAGTTCCATTAGTATGTTAATTCTTGTTTCAAAGCAAAGCCACTAACGCTCTGAAAGCTATACAATTGGAATCTCACAAATCTTCTAGAACTTTCTAAAAACTTGCTTTCATTATTTGAAAACAATACTTCAGATGAGACTATTTCTTAGTTATATTTCATTATTCTGATAGAGTTCGTTTAGTTGCACTGATCAGTTTTTCTGAGTCCGTGATACTTTATGGATTGTTTCAAAATTAAATAACTCAATTTTGGCAATAGAACTATTCCAGTAGTGGTTCGAGCTGAGCGACTAATGTTTTAGAGGAGCGTCTGCTCGATCGGACTGAACGTTTCTCAAATTAGACTCTTCCAACCGACAAAACACAATTATGGTTGATATATTTTATGAAGTTGCTGTCAGGGCATCCAATGGTGTGAGTCTCATGAGCTTCAGCACCAAGATGTGTGTGTGCACCACACGCAAAAACCATAGAACGCTATCACTAATTCATAAACCAGTGCGACGGCACCCCTTCTTCTTACGCTTCTTCACACTTTTGCCCTCAACAACGAAGACGTCAGGAAGAAGGAAAAAAAGAGTGGGGTATTTGAGAAGATAGCAGAAGAAAGAAGAAGAGACCGCTGAAGAAGGACTTCCGTCCGTCCGATTCTTTTCGAACATCCACAGCACCACACCCTTTCTTTGTGGACAGTTGACAATTCTAGAACTAATATCAGTGTATGGATTCAGGGCCAACTATCAATAGAGCACAATTCTAATTAAAAGAAGTGTAACTATAATTCAAATACTTGTGGCGTTTTATCACTAGTTAGGTATCTGCTTCTGTAGACTCTTCATCTTCTCTAATTCCTCCTGATTCTCTTTTCTTTATATCCTGGCTCTTGTCTGATTCAGAAGACATGCTTGACACAAACTCCTACTTATTTTTTTGAACTTGAACTTCTCCTTATCCATCCTTGTCAACTCAAGTGAACTTTCGCTTATGCATGTTGACGTTCTCACGGTTGAGAGCCTTCGAAGGGACCTCTCTCTCCGGTTCGCGCTGAACGCGCAACGACTGCCACCGGTTCATCATAATTTTCCCATCATATAACCTCTTTCCAAGGACATAGCTTAGCAATTTCTGATGAGAACTTTGTTGTCCCCCATGAGAATCAAATTCAATCTTTGAGCTCTTCCGCTGACTTCCTTGATTCCCTACTTCCAAATTCCACCTCCTAATCGTCTCAATTACCCAGGCTCCTCGCATCCGCCGATGTCGTCCGATTTGTTCCAAAAATAGGAAAATATTTCTAAATTTTACTGGGCCTCGAGATTAAATGATCCTCGTTTTTTGTTAAAAAACAGATGTGTTCCATCTATCACATTATTCCATAGTCCGAAATCCAGACAAATCGATATTGGTCTGATCTACCCCTGGGCACCTTCTAGAAATACATATCAAGAGTCCAATTCCTACTTCTTTACCTACTCCTTCCATTTTCTCACAAGTCCTTCTTTCCCTTCTGCTTCTGCTTCTTCTGCTTCCTTCAACTTCATCGTCGTCCTCTTCGGACGTGCCTTCGTTGTGTGTGAGAACCTGCGCGCGCACTCAATATCACATGATGATGAGATGATGACCGCAGCTCCTCAACTCCATCTTCTACTTTTTGACTCATTTTTAAGTTCTAGATTCAGAACGCCCAAAAAACGAAACATCTTCTTTTGACTTATCTCCTCTGTCACAATGTGGGCGGTTTAAGGTGTCTCCTCTCGGATTGCGCCCTAGAATAGTTGGACACGTTTCCAAAACGGGATCCGAAGTAAGAGCACCTCTCACCCGCACGCGATTTCGTCTTCTCCTCCTCCTCGTCCTTCTTCGCGCCCTTTTTTCCTTTACTTCTTCTGATTATCTTCCCATTCATCCGCGCCAAAATTCTATTTGTCCTCTTCTTCCTCCCCGTGCTCCTCGCTGCTCCTCCTTACCGCGCTTTTTTGTGCACTCGTTTTGTGCTGATTGTCAGTTATTTTTTCTTGCTCCGTTTTCACATTCGCAACAAGTGTCTTTCATCTCACTCAGAAGTTGTAGCACCAGCAGCGGAGCAGTCGGTTGTTCTCCGTTCCCCGTCATGTTTCTGGTCTCCGATGGAGATGGCGGTATCATTGAGGAAGTCGACTACTCAAAAATAGCTAAACTGGCTGGAATCAGCATGAGCAATGAATCTGATCTGGTTTCCGAGTTATGCAAAGAACAGGTTGGGATATATTTTTTAAGTGTTATTCTATTCCGAATTTTCAGCTGAGAATCATTCTTCGGGAAAAGCTGCGAACTGGGGAGCAACTACCTCCAGCTGTTCTCATTCTTTTATGCATCCCTGCAGTCATAATCATTCTTCTGACCGTTTTTGGTAATTTACTGGTGCTGTTCTTCAAAGCGCGAGTCGGGCGGACCAATACCACGCTGCTTGTCTGGAATCTTGGTCTAACCGACTTTTTAGTGGGTGTTATCGTACTCCCCATGGGAGCTGTTTATTTAATATACCGTAAATGGATATTCGGGCGATTTTTGTGTCGATTATGGGTAGCAGCTGATGTAACATTCTGCACGTGCTCGGTGGTAAGTTATTCGATTTTTTTGAAACAATATTAATAGATTTTACATCCAGGTGACAATATGTGTGATTTCTGTGGATAGATATCTTGCAGTGACAAGACCACTGAGGTATAAAAGCATTGTAACAAAGACCAAAGTAATTACCGTGATGTCAATTATTTGGGTTTTTTCTTCGTCGATTCTTCTGACGACTGTCAGATGGGAACAACCAGAATGCTATGACGACGTAAGATTTCTCATATTAAACTAAACTAATTACATCAACTTCAGTCCCTATGCTTCGTTGGAAATGAAATTCGGCATCTGGCTCACAGTGTGGTTTTCGCTTTTTTCCTTCCAGCTTCAGTTACCCTAACTTTATATTGGCGTATCTACAAACTGGCCAGAAACCGCCAAAAAGCATTGGATCGTGGATTTCTCATGATACTCGGTTCAAACATGAACTTTCTCACGAACACACTCAGTCAGCAGGTATGGATTTTTTCTGCGAAGACAAGCGAACTTGTCTTTCAGCTAGATTCTTTGATACAGTTGATCCGAAAATTCACATTTTCAGACAACACTCCGCGTACACTTCGGAAAAACAAACGGAATGGTAGAGCATCAGCGGCGAGTGTTGCGGACCCATGAAAGGATTGCAAAGACGCTTGGTGTTGTCTCCTGCTCTTTCCTATTCTGCTGGTTGCCGTTTTTCGGGTTATACTTAACAAGTAAGTTTATAATCTGAATACGACCATTAAGTCCGTTTTTTTCAGATTACAAATGCTCGGGTTGTATACCACCTATCGCCATCGATGTGGCAAGCTGGCTAGGTTACTGTAACTCGATGCTGAATCCAATTATCTACTCATTCACAGTCAAAGAATTCAAAAGATCAGCCTTTCGACTTGTTGTTCCAATCTGGCAGTTCGTTAATCGGTGCTTACCGTTTGTTCCTGCACCACCAGATAACATTTTGCAAAGAATCGCAAGACATGTACATCGGCATAAAGAGAAGGTGAGCATCATTTGGAACTTTGCCGGAAGATTTTGTTCAAATTTTAGGAAATGCAAACAAGACATCGATCGTTTGAGATGTCGTCCAACAAAAACGGAATGCTAACGACTAAAGTTCGTTCAAAGAGAAGACAAACTGAGCCAAATGTAGTCGGATTAATCACACCTGATCACAAAGTGAGTATTTTTCCCTGAATACCTTTTCGGCCTCAAGAGATTCAGAAGCTTTCAAATCTCTCAGCCACCTGCCATTATCTCAAAAATCTATGAAATTCCAGTTGCAGACAGTGGTCTCGTAACAGATCGAAATCTTCATCTATCCCCCATCATCATCTCTCTTGTCTCTTCTCTGGACGTGTTCATTTCCCCATGCCATAATTAATTTATTTTATCTATTTTTCTATGTCTCTTCTTTGACGTTTGTATCGACCCAACCCGTGTTCAACTGGCTTGCAAATCATCCTTTTTTTGTCCTTGTATATAAAATCCATACCAATTCGTCACTGTACACCAGTATACATGTATTTTTCTCATGTTTACCACGATGAATTATTCGACAGAGCGAAGACGTACTTCGGAATTTGAACTAACGAGAGAATAGCTAGAAGGGAGAAAAAAAACGATTTTTGCAATACACATACAACTAGAGAGCTGCCCGGTTGCTGCGGAGATGAATTATAGATATGCCAAGGTTGAGGGAAAAAATTCGTGTATGTGCAGAATAGGAAAGAGGGATCACACACTGAAACTCCCTAGTTGGAGAAGAGACCGATGGGTGTAATTAGTCAAATTGCAATGGGATAAAGTATTATATGTATACTGAAAAGACGGGGAAGGTTCCAGTGGTTCTTGATTTTCAGGCAGCAATACATTCATGCATATCTTCTACATACTTGGGCCGGGCTTGGCCAAAATCAGGATTCGCTAGGTCAGTCTAGGGTTCGAATGATTATTCCCCATTGTTTTGAATTGATGTTTGATTACAACATAAAAAAGCCACAACATCTCTTATGCCACGGCATCGCGGTTGGGAACCTGAAAAACGCGCGCTTCGTCGCACATAAAAGTTGGCTGCGTGCCAGATTCGAAAATTTCAAAACGTGTTCTGAAAAAAAACGTGAAGTTAAGCATTGTTGAGTCGCTACTCACCGAAAAGCCGCGACGCGACCGCGCAACGCGTCCAAACTTGGCGCGCTTTCCAATTTTCAAATATAGGTTCCCTTCCGCGAGGCCGTGGCTTATGAATAATACTAAAGAACTTTAGATTTTTAAAGAGAAAAATCATTTGTTTTCTAGTTTAAAATCCGAATTCTTGTACATCGAAGAGAAGCTTGGAGTACAATTCCGCCGTTACAGAATTTTGATGGTATCTCGATTAGAAGAGCTATTTCCAGCACTACTATTATTGGACTATATAGAAACTTTACGTCACATCGCTCGGTTTTGTATTATGAATTTGTTTGTTAGACACTCATCACTCGAATCCGGAAATAACTACTCCGATACCCAAAAATATATCCTATCTCTGTTTTCCTTTTCCCGTTTTTTTCGTTCAAATTCTGACAAATTACTCGTTGACGTCACATCGTCTTCTCACATTCCCATTCCTATTCATCGGGTGAAAAAGCGGTTGAAAGCATGCGGAAAGGCACATTTATACACAGACTGGGATGGATCGAGATAGGCAGTCAATTCGATACTTTGAAGAAAGTTTTGTGAATATAAAAACTCACTGATAATTGACTTTCGCAACGGTTTCGCAGTGTGTTTGCGGTTCATACGAACGGCGATTTCCAACCTGCAGACAAAAAGATAATGATTGAGAGAACTAAACTGCAGAATTTACATCAAGACCATACACACCAGCATCACAATACTTTGGGCGAGAAGAGCATTGTCGAACCGTTTTCCAAACCTGAAACGGATTTGAAACTTTCTGGCAATAGAGGGTCCTATCATGTTCCAGCCGCCACAAAATCATACTTGAAACGGACGGGGACAGGCTATTTTAAAGTATTTTCTCAGCCCAGGTTTCCAGAACTTTTTTAAATTTCAGACTTTTTTGAATGTGAAAAATCCAGGCCGTTATTTTTCAAATATGCACAAAGTCATTCAGTCTAAAAGGCTATTAAAATAGCTGAAGAGTTAAATTTGAATTCTACCTTCAAGTTTTTCGGAGTGAAGAAAATCTTACCAGAACAATATACGAAGGATATTGGCAACACACAATGCCAGGCACACAAATAACGAGAAACCAGAAGCATTCCGACGATGATGAATTTCAGCATATTGGAACACATATGGAATCGCTCCTCCAACTAAAAAAACAGTTTTGTTCACAGTTCAGCTTGATTTTTAACAAGCAATGAATCCAAATAAACACTTACCTATGATAAAGAATTTGAAAAAGTATGTCAATCCTAAGACAAGCCAACCGGCAACTTGATCCCAAGGTACGAGACCGAGTCCTTGCGACTCGACTACGAGCATCTTTTCAGTCTGAAAATTGATTAAATAAGAATATGATACGAGTAAAGAAGATAGCTTTATACGGCTCGTAGTTGTAGTTGGTTGCTAGGAAGGGATTAAGAGTGCGTGTGCGTATTCGAATAAAAGTTGTATTCTAGTCTCAATTCATGACAACTGCTGATTGACTGCATCTTTTCAATGACTCCAAAATCTTATTGACTGCAGTTCCAAATCCTATG